AAGTGTTTGAGGGGAAAGAATCAGGTTTGGGGATTTCACTAGCAGTCCAGTGGTTAGGGCTCCAAGCTTCTACTGCAGGGGACGTGGGTTCCATCCCTGGTAGGGGAAGTAAAATCCCACAAGCTATGCAGTGAGACCAAAAAAGTTAATTCGGAGGGGAAAAAAAAAAATCAAGTGTGGCACATGATTAAAATTCCCATTAAAAAAAAAAATTCCCATTAGATCTTCAGGCATGTTACCTAGATCAGAGCTCTCCAAAAGAAATATATTGCAAGTCACAAAATGCAAGCTACATAAGTGGTATTGAATTTCCTAGTAACCACATTAAAAAGCAAAAATAAACAAGTGACATTAATTTTAATAATATATTTTATTTAAGCCAATATATTCAAAATATCATTTCAACATAGAGCCAAAATAAAATTGAGATATTTTACGTTCTCTTTTTCATTTTTCATACTCAGTCTTCAAAATCCAGTATGTGTTTTGACTTAGTACATGCATGAGTGTGTGCTAAGTCTCTTCAGTCATGTCCAACTCTTTGTGACCCTATGGACTGTAGCCCCCTAGGCTCCCTCTGTCCATGGAATTCTCAAGGCAAGAATACTGGAGTGGTTGCCATGCTCTCTTCCAAGATCTTCCTGACCCAGGGATGGAACCCATGTCTCCTGTGTCTCCTGCATTGCAGGTAGATTCTTTACTTACTGAACCACCTGGGAAGCCCTTGTCTGTACAGTACAGGACAGTACATCTCAATTTGGACTAGCCACATTTCAAGTGTTCAATAAACTCATGTGGCTAGTGGCTACCATATTGGATAGGGCAAATCTAAATCATCTTGGTCTCTAGCTATGGTGCAAATTAGCACATAGTACTTTCCCTCTCCCATTTATGCCAAGAAGCTGTCCTGATTCATTTATTTGGGCAAATAAGACTCTCACCTTTATTGTGTTACTATTTACATCTTCTCCCAAGGCATATAAACTGCCTTCGTGATCCAGCATATCTTAAATTCTTCAGTCCAATTTTGAATAATATCAACCCTCAGTTGTCTTGGAAATGGTTAATATCTACACATTTATTGAAAATTATAATTTTCTACTGTACAACCAGAGTGAATATTCCCTAAGTTGACTGGCTCTTTGCCAAAACCTTAGTCATAGGTAAAGAGCAAAGAACAAAGGAAGACTCACTAACTGTATAATAAATGAGAGAGCTGGATTTTTATTTATTTATTTTTTTTATTTTTTTAATTTTTTTTGAGAGCTGGATTTTTAAATGGGCAATAATTCAAAAAGGAAATCCTTTTAAGGAGCCCCTCCACCCATTTTATTTAATTCAATAGAATAATCTATTTTTAATAAGATCAAATTTTTATCACTTAATAATTTTATACTTTTTAATTGAGAAATTGCTTTTAAAGGGATGATTTCCTAAGCATGTGGTTCAAGATTCACCTAGAGGCTTCCCTCATAGCTCAGTCAGTAAAGAATCTGCCTGCCGGGCAGGAGACCTAGGTTCAATCCTTGGATCAGGAAGATCCCCTGGAGAAGGAAATGGCTACCCACTCCAGTATTCTTGCCTGGAAAATCCCATGGACAGAGAAGCCTGCTGGGCTGTAGTCTATGGGGTCGCGAAGAGTCAGGCAATGCCTGAGCGACTAACAGTTCACTTCACAGAGAATTCTTGAGTTAACTCTTAAATATAACGAGAGAATATAAGGAACAATGAAAATAATAGCCAGATTGACATTCACTTTGATTTTAAAAAAAAAAAGTTCAGGACTTCCCTGGTGGTGCGCAAACAGGAAATACCTGCCAAAGCCAGGAACATGGGTTCGATCCCTAGTCCAGGAAAATGCCATATGTCATGGAGCAGCTGAGCCCCTGCACCACAGCTGTGGAGCTGGTGGTCTGGGGCCCTCAAGCCGTATCTCTAATGAGCCCCTGGGCCACAGCTGCTGATAGCCATGTGCCTGAAGCCTGTGCTCCACAACGAGAGAAGCCCCCACTCTCTGCAACTAGAGGAAGCCCGTGTGCAGCAACAAATACCAACACAACCAGAAATTTTAAAAACCTCAACACTCTTTCATTAAAAAAAAAAAAAACTTTAGTAAACTTTTATTCTCTTCCTTACTCTGGCCATACAAGAGTTGTGTTAGAAATAGCAGGGAGAGATGACTGGAGCCAAACCATGCCAGTGCCCTGCTTCTTAAGCTCCTCCTTCTGCCATTTTCGCTCCTCCTGTGAAGCATACTATCTGATTTAGTTCGGAAGGATTCTTAGTTTTTGTAGTGTCATGACCCACAATGGCAGTTTGATGAAGCCTATGAACTCCTCAGAATAATATATATATTATTTAGAATAATATTTTTAAATCAGTAAAATAAAAGACATTGGATTACAAAAGAAGTGATTTTTTTAATACACAGTTATCAAAATGCTTTTAAAATATTTGATAATAGATGTGCTTTTTTAAGCATAATACTGTCTGTAAGTTCTAGTGGTAGGCCTGGTGACTATCATAATTTTGAAGTAGTGATGAGTAGAAAGGCTATTCTGAGATACCGATAATAACTGTAATGTAATATGAGAATATGTGCAATTTCTATGATGAATTAGGAATGCTAAATTTCAGAGTTTAGTGAAAATGAAGATGTAATTTTTTCCCTATAATCACAGTTTTCAAAACCCTGTGAGACGCTGATGGATGGGAGATCCCTTTAGCCACGTTTAGTTCTCTTCAGACACCAGCTATTGGTTTGAGAAAAATAAACCACTCAATGGGGAATAGGGTAGTGTGAAGAGAGTAGGGTTGTGTAGCAGAGAAGAACAAGAACTAGAGAACAGACAGATCACAGCTATGTAGAAAAGTTACAAGAAGAGGAGTTGCCTTTTAAAATACCAAATGATCCTAACTAGAGCAAAGCCTGGAGATTTAAAATCTTTCTCCAAGCAGTTTTGGGTAAGCTAGATTTCTGATAGTAGAAAAGGACTTTTTGCTTGAAAGTCATTCTTCTGTATTCTAGAACATTGTGCCAATTTTTTAAACTACCTACAGAAAATTTCCTTGGAGTACCTATAAATGTATTTTTGAAAAAAGATTGTCATAACATCACCAGTACATTTTGAAAACATATACCTTCATCCGCTACTCTTCCTGTCCCTGTAAAGTGATTGTTTTTCCTCTTTTGTAGACTAGTTCTGTTTATTTCCTTTTACTGAATGCCCAGCAATCCCAAGCCCTCCACACTGATTTGTTTAACCTAGAAATGTCATACCCATGGTTAAAAGACTATTCCCCCCCTTTCCCACTCCATCCTTTCCATAGGGAAAAATCTGTGACTGAAAAAGTTGATGCCTATGTTAACTAATCAATGTCTACATTGCCTAAAGTTAATCAGCGATGGAGAAAACTAAAGTTCTTGGCTAAATATCCACACACTGTTCAGTTTTGTCCAGGATCCGTTGAAAACAACTAAGGCAGTCTTCTTTTGACTGTCTTACTTCTTGATTCTTAATATTTTTAATTGAAAATTCCCTATACTTTTCAGGCTTGTAGGCCTAGCCTGGAAGGATTTTAGGTCTTAAGCTTCAGTTATGATAGAACTTAGAGAAAATGTGGGGAAAGCTATTTTTAGGTAAAATAAAGAAATTTAAACAGTTCAGTATTGCTTTCTTTCCTGGATAGGTGCTAGAATGGAGCCAACTCCTAACTGGTTTGTAGTCAAGAAGAGCTGTGGATAGAGAGCCAAAGGAATAGTTTTGGGGGGAAATGTGTATCTATCTAATGAGAGTGAAAAAAGAGGACTAACCAATCATTATTTTTAGAAACAAAAAGACAAATAGAACCATGTTTCAGAGCCTGGCTAGTGAAAGAGCTGTGGAAAACTGCAGCATCCAAGCTGTTACTGTGTTGCAGGCATGTTTTAATGAAGGAACATAGCCAGGCAGCCTCAAAGGGAATTTTGAGGGTATCATTCTTTTGAATTACTGCTGTTCATCTGTTCTCTTCACCACCCCCTTTAAAGAAAGGGGGGAGCATAAATTACTGTCCAGTAACCCTGTCTTACTTAGTCATAAACTGAGGCAGATCTAGCCTCACATTTTCATTGTCCTTTCACCAAATCCCTAAATAAATAAAATCTCCATACCATCTCCTTTTTCCCTTCCCTCATCCTGCCTACAGGCTTCTCCCTACCCTAACAAAAAAAAAAAAATTTTTTTTGCTTGCATTTTTATTCTAACATTATGTAGTCACCAGCATTGCACTGGCCCCTTTATGGCTGATGCAGCCCAGGCGGGCTGCCCGATGAAGGGAGACAGCATTTGGCCGACGGGGCTGGTGTGTGCCACTACTGTTGGCCATTGGGCCTCTGTCCTCTACAGCTCCATCCTGGCTCATTAAAACCCTGAGCCAAATAGCTGGGCAGGCGCCTGCTGCAGCACTGTAGGGGCCAGGAAGTTAAATGGTTCTCCTAATCCTGCATAATTTATCTCTCTGTTAGCCCCTCATAAATAGTCCAGTTCAGCCCTACCATGGAGAGCTAAATTTCCTATATTTTTGTGATGACCAACTAGTACCCAGCCTTTCCCTTCTCCTTTCTTTATTATCATTATTAAACATTATTTTCCCCTTGCTTGCTATGAGCTAGCCTTAATGTTTTTTTCATTTGGAACCTCCTGCCTGGATCCCACTTCACCAACAATCTGTCCATTTCTCTCATTTGGACCTGGTATTACAGAGCAGTTGGTGCTACAGTCTTCCTCTCCCCTCTCCTCCAGATTTCTAGTGCTTCCTTTTCTCCTTTCCTATTTTCTCTTTTTTAACCCATCTCCTCTCCTTTTCCATCATTTCCATTTTTTTCTTCCTTCCCATTCCCTCTCCAGTCCCTCTTTCCAGGGACCAACCTTACTGTAGGATGTTTGGTAGGACATTTTAGAAAGGGCACTGAGTCACTTTTTTTTTTTTTTCACATCTCTGTTTCTGTTTTGTTTCAGAGATTTACAAACGAGGACCACCTGGCAGTTCATAAACACAAGCATGAGATGACATTGAAATTTGGCCCAGCCCGAACTGACTCAGTCATCATCGCAGGTATTTGCTGCCCCAGAAGCCACGTGCCTTGATATCACCAGACAGTTAAGATTAATACCAGGGACCAGATGTACTGGGAGCTGTACTCCCCTTCTCCCATTAAGAGCCCTTATGTGATCTGCATTTAATCAGGAGAAAGGAACAGTAAAAGCTCCCAAGTTTCTATTGTGCCCTCCATTCTCTCAGTTTTTAATACAAGGTTGGGTTCTGCGGTTTTTGAGGTGGGTGTGTTGAGGTTTTTGTCTTAGCTGTTTTCAGTCTGTTCCCTCCTTGCCTTCTTTTTATTAAGACTTTGAAAGATTTACAGACAAAAGATGCCTTTGACATTTTTCCCTACCCACAGTGAAGGGGTGAACAAAAGAAAGCAAGGAAGTTGACCTAGTCTGGCTGCTTCTCTTCCACTGGGTGTCAGCTTTCCCCCAAGCAGGCAGGTTGTCAGTTCGTAAATTCAACTTCCCTTTATGACTGTGGACACCATTGAGGGCAAACAAGACGCTTAGTCAGTGGGACTTCTCTAAGCCAGTTTGGGTGAGCTGGGACATCTCACTGGTTGTGTGAGACACTGTTTTGCTTACCTGTGCCGCTCTCCAGGGAGCATTCTCAGCAGCTCCTCTCAAATAGTGCAGCAGTTCTGTCGTGCCATCTTCAGCTAGACAGGCAGACAAAGTGGGCTCTTTCTTTGATACCACGAGGGGTTCTGATTTAGCCTGAGTTAGGCAAGCTTACCTCAGTGTTTAACCAATGGAGAATATAGTGATGATTATTGTATTGTATCAGTTAATAATTCAGGTAAGGCACAATTTCTCTGAGTGTGTGTGTGTTCAGTCATGTCTGACTCTTTGCAACCGCATGGACTGTAGCGTACCAAACTCCTCTGTCCATGGAACTTTCTAGGCAAGAATACTGGAGTGGGTTGCCGTTTCCACCTCCAGGGGATCTTCCCAACCTGGGGATCAAACCCACATCTCCTACATTGGCAGGTGGATTATTTACCTCTGCATCACCTGGGAAGCCCAATCTCTCTAAGTACTACTAGCCAAAATGCTGCTTGAGACACAGAGGAGAAAAGAGAGAACCTCTTCCCATAGTTCTGTACATGAGGAAGGGACTTGTCCTACAGATCTCCTGTACCTTACTATTTGTTGACTATCTACTGTGTGTACCAAGCACTTTGCTGGTAGCTTGTGGATTGTAATTCCTGGAAAAAGACTTAAGTTGGGGACACTGTCATTAATGATCCTTAAGAAAGCCCAGGAAAAAAAAGAAAGCCCAGGGAAGATCCTTGGAAGAGTGGAGAGGGCATAAACATGTGTGCAAGCAACAGATACTTAAATTTATCATTGGGGCATGTATATATGGAAAAATTTTTAGTATTTTAAGTCAAGCATAAGTGAATAATACAAACAGCATCAGTACTCAAAGAATTATTATTAAGTGAAATTGACCAAAAAAGTTTATTAAAGAGGTAAATTTGGGGCTTTTGAAAGTTCCTTAGACAGCAAGGAGATCAAACCAGTCAATCCTCAAGAACATCAACCCTGAATATTCATTGGAACGGCTGATGGTGAAGCTGAAGGTCCAGAACTTTGGCCACCTGGTGCAAAAAGCTGACTCATTGGAAAAGACCCTGATATTGGGAAAGATTGAGGGCAGGAGGAGAAGGGGGCGACAGAGGATGAGATGGTTGGATGTCATCACCAACTCAATGGACCTGAGTTTGAACAAACTCTGAGAGATAGTGAAGGACAAGGAAACCCAGCATGCTACAGTCCGTGAGGTTGCAAAGAGTTGGACACGACTTAATGACTGAACACACACACCAAATTTGGGGCAGAGTTATCAAGCTGGAGAGGTTAATCCAAATGCGTGGAAATGCCTATGCCACCCTCCATGAGTGGGGAGAGAATATGATACAGGACAGTCCCAAAGAGATCAAATGTTTTCCTGTTATTCTTTGCCTTCTGTTTCAGGGCATTCATCCCATTGCACATTTCAGCTATCCTATCTAGTCTGGTGATTCTCATATCTCCAAATTAAGACCTGGTACCTCACATGTATTTCAGCCCCTACTGAACACTTACTTGGCTATGTTTCTGTTTTCAGATATTCATGTCAGTGACTGTCAGTTAAGGAATTTTTTTTTGTCCCCAAAACCAGTTCCTCCGCTTTGATATTCAGTGATATCAATATTCTCAAAATCTTGTATAGTTTTATTCTTTCTTCAATTCTGACTGCTGTATTTCTTTCTGTGCTTCCTGTCATCCACCAGCAGTATGCTTGAATTCCTCCATAGTCTCCTAGCTGGCCTCCTTGACTGGTCTCTCATTCTAATCCATCTTGCATTCTGTTGAAAAGCCAGACTTCCTGAAATTCTTGTCCTCTGCTCAAAATCTGTCATTATCTTCCTATTTTCTCTTACTTTAAGGCTATTTTTATTTGGGTTTTCAAGCTTTCTATAGCCTTGCCCTGTGGTATTTACCCATCTTTAAATGCAACTTTTATCCCTAGCATCTTTTGACCTGCACGTACCTTTTTCTCCTCGTGTATTGGTGCCCATACCTGCTTCTCTCTGTGCCTTCACCTGCCTGATTCCTCTTATCCTACTAATCTCCTCTCTCCTGTACCCTCTGAAGCCATTCTTTAAGGCCCAGCTCAAGTCCCACTTGTTGAAATCTTTTTCCAATTGCTCCGCCATTAATTTGTCTTTATTTCTGTAACAGTTTTATTCTCTGCCATACATGGCACATATCTTTTGTATACAGTGATACTCTGTATATAAATTAATTTTATTTCCTCAACTAAAAAACATCCTCAGTTCTCTATGGCAAGAACCATATCTTCTTTTTGGCCCAAATTCCTATACTTCTATCTCTCCCCCTCCCCCAAATGTTCACACAGTTTATACATATAGCAGCAAAACACAGAAAGCATTCAATAAACACCTGTTGATTTCTCTGGAATTATCAGAGCAAGCTAAGGATTTTCTTATATACATTTTCTGGCTGTTTGTTCAAGAATGGGAGAAGTTTATATGAGCCTCAGATCAGAGATCCAAAAGGCCCTCTTCTGCTGTAACCATGCCCTTAGCTGCCCTGTCCTGTTCCACTCGAGTTGTGATTTTTTTATGTGCCCTTACTGAAGTACTCTCTAAGCATAAGGGAATATTACCTCCGCTCACCCGGGGATGGAGGGAAAGTGGCTTTATCGTTGGCCAACCAAAGCTGCCAGCAAACCTTTTAAAACTATTTTGGGAGGTTAGTGGTAAGTTTTCCAAACACTCTGATTCAGAAGAGGTTTTGTTTAAATTAAAAAAAGGGGGGGGGTTATGTTGTTTCCATGGAAAATCCCACTGGACTATTCCCAACTGATCATGCTAGGAGGAGTGATTTTAGCCCCAGGTCTCACTCCTTAAAATATTGTTTAAACATCGTTCTATCCCCATCATTCGGTTTAGTGGCTTGGAATATGAGATGAATCCCTGAGGTGATTAGCACTGCAAGGAAAACCTTCATAATAGAGTTAGGACTGGAGAACAAGATTCAACTGACCTAAGAGAGAAAAGGGGCTTCCCAGGTGGCACTAGTGGTAAAGAACCCACCTGTCATTGCAGGGGATGTAAGAGATGCGGGTTCAATTCCTGGGTCAGGAACATTCCCTAGAGAAGGGCATGGCAGCCCACTTCAGTATTCTTGCCTGGAGAATCCCATGGGCAGAAGAGCCTGGTGGACTGTAGTCCATAGGATCACACAGAGTCAGACATGGCCGAAGCAACTTAGCACGCAAGAGAGGAAAACTAGAAAAACAGGATGGGGAGAGAGAAGCTCAAATCTAAAATTCAAGTCGCTTGAAAAGTTCCCGTGGGTTACCCAGAGCCTTCCTCTTCCCAAGGGCAGAGGCTGTGTGCTGAGGAAAGATTTGTGCAGCCTCTGAGAGGATATTTTGGCTGGCAAATCTAAATCCAAATATCCTGGTTTCCGGAATTTGCTCTTGGTCCCAGGTCTCCATGCAATTAGGTCTATTGTTTGCAGTTTCCTTTTCTAGCTCACAATCTTGCTGTCTTGCTCCCCAGCCCCTTGATGTGCCTGGAATGCCCTCAAGAAGGTAACACTCTTACCTTAGTGACAACTGAAAAACAAGGCACTATTTCTTACTTTGTAGCTTTAGCAAGTAGACTCAGCCATCTGATCCTCAGTCTCTTCTCATCAGATTTTAGTGTCCATCTGCTCACACCTACTCACTTCAGACCTAGCAGAGAATAAGTGTAAAAAGAAAATGTCACTTAACTATACTTGATTTTCCGACCTAGAAGTTTCACAGACTCCACCTGGGTGGGCAGTTTTGTTTTGTTTTGGGGGTGAGGGAGCTGAAACCAGCCTCTGAGAGAAAAGTGGTTACATATAGATAGTCACACAATGAGACATTGTTCTGTCGTCCCTCTGCTGGCCTTGAGGCAACACAGCACAGACACCCTCTGGTGGCCTGACACCAGTCTTTACTTACTAGTGCTCCATGAAAACAAATTTGCCTAAACACAGAGATTCTTTCCAAACAGAATAAAAATGTGTTCTTGATGTGCTCTCTAGTTTTAATTTCAGATCAAAACTAAAATAAAGGTTCCTTTTCTTTTCACGTCTACAGATCAAACTCCTACTCCAACTCGATTTCTGAAGAACTGTGAAGAGGTGGGACTCTTCAATGAACTAGCTAGCTCCTTTGAACATGAATTCAAAAAAGCTGCAGATGAAGATGAAAAAAAGGCAAGAGGAGGGACTTTGGTAAAAAACTGGTGGTGTTCAGATCTAGGCAACTTGCACTGTGCCCTGGGATAATTTGCATAATTGGTTAAAGCAACAAATTATGGGCTTGGTTCTGTAGAACCAGATAATACTCACTTACCTTGTCAGCCATTCAAGTCTTCAGGGGGTCCAGGTGATAGATAAGCACAAGTGTTGGGTCTTCATCAAAAACCAATTTTCTTGCCCTTCCAGTGGACATTGTTCAGTAATCTATTTTTTAATTATTTTTGTTCTGAATATGTTGAAGATGTTTTTTAAAAAAAAGTATAAATTACTCAAATTTTGTTATATAATTTTTTTTTTTTTTTTACCAAATCCCACTCTTTCCTGAGCTAATCAGACTTCTCACCTAGATTGTTTTATTCAGCCAGCCAATCAGTAGACATTTACTGAATTTTGACTCTGTTTCAGTGTATGTAACTCCTACCTCCAAGTAACTGTAGTAATAGTCAAGACATTAAGCTTAAGGAAGGATCTTCTTAAAAGCCTTTCAAAGGAGATCAGCCAGGATGGTGAAAGAACCAGAAATTAGGTGACTTTGGGAACATTTAAAGAAACCGATTTTTTTTTTTAATTTTTTTTCCTGCATACACATGTATATATATTTTATTGCATAGAAAGGATGATATTTGTCTCCTGTTTTATTTTCTTATTTTGATTTGGCCACACCCAGTGGCACTGGGGGGAGAAGGCAATGGCAGCCCACTCCAGTACTCTCGCTTGGAAAATCCCATGGACAGAGGAGCCTGGTGTACTGCCATCTATGGGGTCACACAGAGTTGGAAACGACTGAAGCGACTTAGCAGCAGCAGTGGCATTGGGATGGTAGTTCACCAACCAGGGATCAAACCCGTGCCCCCTGCAGTGGGAATGTGGAGTCTTAACCACTGAACCACCAGGGAAGTGTGAAAAGAAATTTTATTGGAACAAAATTGCAGTCTTCAATAGTTGAAGAGTTTTTGTGTAAGAGAGGAGTTAAACTTAACTCTGTGTGGCCCAGAAGTAGAAATAGGACCAGAATAGGAAGCTATCACAAGGTATGTCCAATTATATGGAGGTCCCTTAGGATAGATATTGTGGAGAGGATTAAAATATTGGAATCACTTCAGATTCTGAGATGCTGTGATCCTGATTTTAACCTTTATATTCAAGATCCCTAAAGAATCCTTTAGTTTGGAAGATCAGAGGAAATAGTTCAAGAAGCAGAGTCAAAGAAAAATAGTTCCCATGGAATAAGGGGTTTGGGGGAAAAAGAAAAAGTCAGAGTTTACTCTATTTTGGAATTATAATTCTGGGTTATTAGTCACTACTTAAAATCAGATCTGTGTTCCATAATCAGAAAAAATTCCAATATCTCTGTCTCAGAACATATACATATTAACACGTGTACCTCCCACAATTGCATGGTGCAGTGAGGCATGGAATCCCATCAAAATACAGGAAAGCCAAGACTTAAGCAAAAATTTCCAGGGAGGACTCTTTCCCTCTAAGAGGGAGATAGCAGTGAGAGAGTTTATTCTTAGTTTGGTCGATAAGGAGACCAGGGCCCTTGAAGAAAGCTCTGAGTTGTATGGCAACAATCTCTTTCTACTGAGACCAACTTTCTTTAAGTCCAGAGCTAAGGATTACACAACAAAACAGCACATCTTGCTCAATGGTATGTTTTTCCTTAAACTCTGTATATAGTATATAATCATTATATAACAACAATGTATCTTTCTTGAAGACATGTTTCTCCTTAACAGAAACCTGACTAATCCTATCAATTTAAGATTATGTTGTGGGAGTGGGTCTGATAAGACCTTTACAACCTGAAGATACTCTTTTGATCTGTTGTTGGTACCAATTGCAAAAGTATATAAAGCCCCACCCAAACTAGTGATTGGGGCACTCATTGCCCACTTCTGATGTCTATGTCAGAAGCTGTCTCTTTTCACTGTAATAAAACTTCTGCTACACAAAAGCTCTGAGTGATAAAGCCTTGTCTCTGGCCCCGGATCAAAATTCTCTCCTCTGGAAGCCACAAATCCGACACCATTCGCTATAAACTATCAGCAGGTAAATCAAAAGAGTTTGTGCACAATTTTTCCATCCATCTTAAATTATAAGAATGAAGCGTTCCTATCACTGGGGGTCTTTCGAAGTTCTATAGCTTTCTATCATCTTCATTTCCTGTTATCTCCCACATATTAAAAGAAAGTGGGGGAAACTCAGTGGCATATATTTGTAGTTCTCATTTCAAATGGCAGAACTTGCCATGGTCTGCTCATGATTCTTTTTATCAATCAGTTGCTTACAATCTGTGTGGTATAATTCTATTTTACAGTTTCCCTATTTCATCCTCCCTGTCATTTCTTCCTTCCCCCAAACAAAGAAATCAGTCAAACTGTTTCCACCAGGTTGTGAATTATTTTAAACCAAACTCATTATACGGAAATTCAAGAAAATTAGCCTCCTTTTAAAGGCTCCAAGTCTTTTCCACTGCCCTTTTAGCTCAGTTGACACAATTAGTCAGGCCTTTACTCACTGGGCCTCTCTTGGTGTTTCTTCCTGCTTGGTCAGGGGTGGTCTTCACCTCTTCTTGATGAGAAGCATAGGCTCAGTGGAAAATCATCTCCAGGAGTGTTTTATGAGCCCAAAACTTCTCTGAACCACAACTTTTCTAGGAGATGCCCCTAGGAGATTTTAAACTTGTGGTTGTATTTACTTAGAGGCCTCTCCTTCCCACCACCCTCTGACTTCAGGGATCCAAGAATTAGCCCAGTTGGACCTGACATTGGTGTAGATAAAAATGAGGGCAGAAATTGAAACCATCTTTGCTGTTGCTCATCCGTATCAGATTGGAGAGAAAGAACCATTACCACCTTCTCTAATGTAGTAGATACCAGATTATCTTCAATTTTCTCAAATACCAGGATTTCTAGTGATTAAGATAGCAAGGGATAAATTAAAAACAAGCTCCTCTTTCACCAAGAAGCCTAGGATGTGGGAAGAATAGAACAAAGAATCCCCTTTGTCATGAAACAACTGCAGTGCCAGCCTCCCTGTTGTGGTGCAGTATCAGGGTCATCTTAGATGGTTTACTGTTCTCTTCAAAGCCACTTAACGGCTCCCCATTTCTGTGAGGTGATTGCACCAGTGCCAGAAAAGTACTCTTTCCCTTCTGGTTTTCTCCAGTCCTGCCCCTAGGACCAAGTTCTAGTTTCTTTCACTGATCAAATGATCAGCCTTTCCTTTCTTTGTTACCCCAAAACCCTATCTTCCTAACTTCTAGCCTCTAGCACCAGATTTTGGGGTGAGAACACCATCAGGCATAGAGAGTTCCCCAGAAAAGACAGTTCTTGTTTCATTGACAGTACTTTAATAGCCAATTTTATTTTGTTTGCATTTGATAATTGGGTAACCTAGTCATTCTGATTGTCAGAAAACGTGTTCACAGCTCTCTAGTAGCCAATGGAACTGGTTGAGAATAGGAAGGCACTGGATTCAGGAATCGTTGTACTTTCCTGAAAAATAATCATAGTATTTGATGGATAAATGACATCTTTTTATTTTCTCCTTTCAGGGTCTTCATAGGCATTTTAAGGTTTTTTTTTTTTTCCCCTGCTTTCAGAATCTTTTATCAGCATTCATCCATGGTTAGGCAGCTATAAATAACTTCATTTTATAGTTGGGAAACAGAAACCCTGAGAAGTTAAAGGATTTGGTCAGAGTTGTGTGTAAATCCTGGGTTCCACGTTTCTTTGACTTTCAGTTTGGTACTTTGACCAAGAATTGAACTTCTTAGAAGTATAGTCCTTCATCTTTTAACTGGAAAGATATAGATTAAACCTGAAGGGAATCATGGGATTGAACTATGCTCATTTCTCTCTTTTAACAGGCTGCTTCTGGGCCTCTTGACATGTCTCTGCCTTCTACACCAGACATCAAAATCAAAGAAGAAGAGCCAGTGGAGGTAGACTCATCCCCTCCTGAGAGTCCTGCCTCTAGCCCCTGCTCCCCACCACTTAAGGAGAAGGTAAAGCTGTTTACCAAGAGTCATCTGAAACTTGAATTGATAGATGATGTTTTGATGCGATAGTTGTATAAACATAGGGTGATACAGAAGGATTGATTAGGTTTAAATAAATGTTAATTGTTTAGAGGATTTATATAAATTACACCTATTCTCTGACCCAGCAACTCCACTTCTAAGTCTGTATGGAAGAGAAGTCAGTGCATATGTCCACCAAAGGAAGTATATAACGATGTTCATAGCAGTTGTATTCATCAGTTCAGTTCAGTTCAGTCATTCAGTTGTGTCCGACTCTTTGCAACCCCTGAACCGCAGCACGCCAGGCCTCCCTGTCCATCACCAGCTCCTGGAATTCACCTAAACTCATGTCCGTTGAGTTGGTAATACCATCCAACCATCTCATCCTCTGTCATCCCCTTCTCCTCCTACCCTTAATCTTTCCCAGCATCAGGGTCTTTTCAAATGAGTCAGCTCTTCACATTAGGTGGCCAAAGTATTGGACTTTCAGCTTCAACAACAGTCCTTCCAATGAACACCCAGGACTGATCTTCTTTAGGATGGACTGGTTGGATCTCCTTGCAGTCCAAGGGACTTCCAAGAGTCTTGTCCAACACCACAGTTCAAAAGCATCAATTCTTTGGTGCTTAGCTTTCTTTATAGTCCAACTCTCACATCCATACATGACCAATGGAAAAACCATAGCCTTCACTAGACGGACCTTTGTTGACAAAGTAATGTCTCTGCTTTTTAATATGCTGTCTAGGTTGGTCATGACTTTCCTTCCAAGGAGTAAACGTCTTTTAATTTCATGGCTGCAATCACCACCTGCAGTGATTTACGAGGCCAAAAAAATGAAGCCTGTCACTGTTTCCCCATCTGTTTGCCGTGAAGTGATGGACCGGATGCCATGATCTTAGTTTTCTGAATGTTGAGCTTTAAGCCAACGTTTTCACTTTCCTCTTTCACTTTCATCAGGAGGCTCTTTAGTTCTTCTTCACTTTCTGCCATAAGGGTGGTGTCATCTGCATATCTGAGGTTATTGATATTTCTCCCGGCAACCTTGATTCCAGCTTGTGCTTCTTCCAGCCCAGCGTTTCTCATGATGTACTCTGCATGCAAGTTAAATAAGCAGGGTGACAGTATACAGCGTTGACGTACACCTTTTCCTATTTGGAACCAGTCTATTGTTCGATGTCCAGTTCTAATGGTTGCTTCCTGGCCTGCAAACAGATTTCTCAGGAGGCAATCAGGTGGTCTGGTATTCCCATCTCTTTCAGAATTTTCCAGAGTTTGTTGTGATCCACACAGTCAAAGGCTTTGGCATAGTCAATAAAGCAGAAATAGATGTTTTTCTGGAACTCTCTTGTTTTTTTTGATGATCCAGCAGATGTTGGCAATTTGATCTCTGGTTCCTCTGCCTTTTCTAAAACCAGCTTGAACATCTGGAAATTCACAGTTCACGTATTGCTGAAGCCTGACTTAGAGTATATTAAGCATCACTTTACGAGCGTGTGAGATAAGTGCAATTGTGTGGTAGTTTAAGCATTCTTTGGCATTGCCTTTCTTTGGGATTGGAATGAAAACTGACCTTTTCTGGTCCTGTGGCCACTGCTGAGTTTTCCAAATTTGCTGACATATTGAATGCAGCACTTTCACAGCATCATCTTTTAGAATTTGAAATAGCTCAACTGGAATTCCATCACCTCCACTAGCTTTTTTCATAGTGATGCTTCCTAAGGCCCACTTGACTTCTCATTCCAGGATGTCTGGCTCTAGGTGAGTGATCACACCATTGTGATTATCTGGGTCTTGAAGCTCTTTTTCATACAGTTCTTCTGTGTATTCTTGCCATCTCTTCTTAATATCTTCTGCTTCTGTTAGGTCCATATCATTTCTGTCCTTTATCAAACCCATCTTTGCCTGAAATGTTCCCTTGGTGTATCTAATTTTCTTGAAGAGATCTCTAGTCTTTCCCATTCTATTGTTTTTCTGTATTTCTTTGCATTGATCGCTGAGGAAGGCTTTCTTATCTCTCCTTGCTATTCTTTGGAACTCTGCATTCAGATGCTTGTATCTTTCCTTTTCTCCTTTGCTTTTTACTTCTCTTCCTTTCACAGCCATTTGTAAGGCCTCCTCAGACAACCATTTTGCCTTTTTGCATTTATTTTTCTTTGGGATGGTCTTGATTCCTGTCTCCTGTACAATGTCTCAAACCTCCGTCCATAGCTCATCAGGCACTCTGTCTATCAGATCTAGTCCCTTAAATCTATTTCTCACTTCCACTGTATAATCATAAGGGATTTGATTTAGGTCATACACGAATGTCCTAGTGGTTTCCCCACTTTCTTGAATGTGATTAATATTCATAGTAGTCAAAAAAACTGGAAGCAGTCTAAAGGTCTTTCAACAAGAGAATAAATAAATGGTGGTATATTTTAAAAATGGAATACCACATGGCATTAAAAAAGAATAGAATAATGATATATACAGCAATGTGGACATTATGTTGAACAACAACAACAAATTTCAGACACAAAAGTACATACCATGTGAAGCCATTTACATCAGATTCAAGAAGAGGCAAAACTGGGACTTCTCTGGCAATCTATTGGTTAAGACTCTGAGCTCCCAATGTAGGGGGCATGGGTTTGATCCCTGGTTGGGGGACTGACATCCCACATGCCATATAGCCAAGAAGAAAAAGTAAAGAAGAGGCAAAACTATTTGAAGATGATAGAATTCATCTTCAAACTCTTTGCCTATTTTTTTTTTTCAATTTATTTATTTTTAATTGGAGGAAACCCTTTACCTCTTGAGGGAAGGTATGAATTAGGAAGGAACACAGAAGAATGTTCTGGGGTGCTAAAAATGGGCTTTGTTTTTAGTTTGCATATATAGTTTTGTTTTATCCTTTAAATTTATATACTTTACTATATGTATATTGTACTAGATCATGTATGTTGTACTACTTCAATTAATAAGTGAAAATGAAAGATAACATAATTCATACATTGAACATTCAACCATTTAGAAAAAAAATCTTCCCATAGGAACATTTTTTAGTGATTCAAAGGAAATATTTATCAGAATTCTTAGTGTTACTTTTTAAAGCAAGCACTTTGTGAGATATTATTTTTCATAAATTTATTTAAATATAGTACACATACAGAAAAGTGCAGAAATTTTAAGTATACAGCTTACTGAATTTTCACAAAGTTTACAGTGTATATAACCAACACCTTGAAAATACTATCAGAACCTCAGGAGTCTCCTTATGCCCCCTTCCAGTCTCTACTGTGCTACCTGTGATTATTTAGTATCCACTGTGGATAGAGCATCTGTACCTCATCTTAACCTTCCTCCAAAACTAGTTTGCTAACATCTCAAAACTATCCCCTCCATAAACACTGCAGCTATCCTCCACTCCTCCTCTTTCCAGCAGCAGCCAGGTCCTAGAAGCTGCTTAGAGAGGTTTTCAGGGCCACCATGGGCACTGGCAGTCTAAGATCCTAATGAGTTAACAATGGGAAACAGTTTGTTTTATTCACAATATGGTCATTATTCAAACATCCATAGCCCTTTTTTTAACGGGTCTATAGGAGATACTGGATTGCCTTATCACCAGTCTTATACTTGTCTTTTCCCATTAGAGATCAGTGGACACTTGAGCATCAAGTTTAGAATGAAAGTACCTAGATCATGAAAAATTATAATGCTCCTGGGATTTCCCTTTTGGTCCAGTGGTTAAGACTCCATGCTTCCACTAACTACAGGGGGTGCAGGTTCAATCCCTGGTTGGGGAACTAAGATCCCACATGCTGCACAGCATGGCCTCAAAACAAAAATTATATCACTCCTTAGAATTTATATGATACTGTAATGCTTCTACAGAGATTTCAAGTGGTCTTCCAACTGTCATCCCACTCATATCGCCATTATCCCTGGAAGGGAGATGACCAAAGGTCTTAACTCAGCAATCCTTCTGAATGGGTGAGGGATTCATGATCACCATGGAATCAGGTCATGATTTACCTTAGTAGCCTGAGTGCTCTTTCCAATAAATTTATACTAGATTTTACCAGCTCTGTATTTCCCTATAAGCAGCCCCTTAAAGCATTTTGTGATCTGTTGGTTCTTCTCCCCAGGATGTTGCCCCAAAGCCTGTTGTGATCTCTACTCCCACGCCTACCATCGTACGCCCTGGCTCCCTGCCTCTCCATTTGGGCTATGATCCACTTCACCCAACTCTTCCTTCCCCAACCTCCGTCATCACACAGGCTCCCCCATCCAACAGGCAACTGGGGTAAGTATAGAGAGCAGGGAGAAGCAGCAAAGCTTAAATCTCTTTTTTCTGTATGAAATTATTTTATAAAATAGAGACTGTTTCTGAATTCTCAAGGAAAACAAGTAACTGAAATTGTGTCTCAAAATGAATTTTTTTTGCCCCATAAACAGAATCTTCTTTACCTTTTTGGTAGGCAAGCAAGTATTTATTTGAGCGTGTACTTCCTTAATTTGGAGGTTTAATACTTATTCAGCCTAAAAGAAGAATCCTTCGAACTTTAGTGGTTGAGGTCACACAGGGAAGTAAATATTTAGTTCTTGGCCTCAATTTTATAGAAGTTTATGGAGGAACTACTGAATGAGGGGCTGAAACCCATTAAGTCATCTTTTTTTAAGTCTGGTTGTTCCCCTCAGTCCCAGTTAAGGTTCTTGGTCTTTGCTATTCCTAATTTTGTCTATCTATTTGTCTTCACTCCTAGCATGGCCCATGCAGATTTCCTAATGAGATGACTTAAGATCCTGTCTCCAGGTACCCATGGGTTTAAGAGGTTGTTGTCAGGCCTCAGCCTCTGAAAGCTTATTGTTTTCTAGACCCATTAAGGAAAATACAAAGGGATGGCTTCCTTCTTAGAGTAGAACAAAACATGGGAAGGAACAGGAGTAACTTACTAAGATTTGGCTATCATATGACATAATTCAGCTTTGCAAAATGGCAACTTTGGTAGTAGTCCTTGTCTAAGGCAGCACAGAATTTTACATGCCAGTGGTAGGAATGTTTGTTTATTTGTTCTAAACTCAATAGTTAGCTTCCCTCCCACTTGAATTCAGTGGTGTTTGCTTAATTTGCAAGGTGTAAAAATCTTGCCATTTCTCTCAATCTATAAGGTAAGGTAAGTAGCATTCCCTGCTTTATCTGCATTCATGAGGGTGTCAACATTTTGCAGTGTTACCATAACTAGAAAAGACTGGGAAATCTGCTGTAATTACAGGAGGAAGATCATTGGCAAAAAGGTCTGTATCGTGAGCATTTCACTTCATATCTTCTGTAGGTCTCCCACCGGCTCCCTCCCTCTCGTCATGCATCTTGCTAATGGACAGACCATGCCTATGCTGCCAGGGCCTCCAGTACAGATGCCTTCTGTTATATCGGTGAGCTCTGTAGTTAGGGCAGCCAACCCTAACAACACGTGAAGCCCTCCCTTCCACCTGAATGCTCATAAACACACATGAGCCCCAGGGAAACATGGGCTCTGGTCTGTATTAGTTGAGCATGGCAGCCTGCCCATACTTTTCACTAACCTCTGCCAATCCAGCACTATGGAACACTAGACAAAGGCTCATCTGGACCGTTGGCTTCTGGTCTAGGAATTGATCTTGCCAACCTGCTGATTGGCTTATTTCACTTGGCACTAAGTACCTCACAAATTGCCCACCACTTTCCTCAAGATAAAGCCTCAGCCTTTCCCATAGAAACTGTCACAGCACTGAAGGAGTAGATCCCTTATCCTGTGGTGCTCCATGAGGGAAGGTATTTCCCAGACTTTCTGCATGCCCCATGGGCAGGGTGCATAGAACAGGCCCTAATGTGCCAGCCTCAAAAACACTTCATTTGGGGAAGCTATTGCCCCACTAATAGCATTGTGTTCCCTTCTGATTTTTCTTCTTCCCTTGGTCCAGCTGGCCAGACCTGTCTCTATGGTGCCCAACATTCCTGGTATCCCTGGCCCACCAGTTAACAGCAGTGGTTCCATTTCTCCCTCTGGCCACCCTATGCCATCAGAAGCCAAGATGGTGAGTACATCCCAACCTGGAGCAATGCTGGCCCTTCTGAAAGAAGTGGTATCTTCCGGGGCTTGCAGAGCTAAAAGACCTACCCAGTTGTGGGGTCTGGAGAAGAATAGACCCTGATTCATGACTCTTATCTCCTCTCTTCCACCTTTAGAGCCTAGTACATAGGCCATGGCAGTGAAAAAAAGCAGCACAGATTGTTTGGATGGAACTCTTGCTGTTTCAGTTCCAGGGTGACAGATGGAGGGTGGATGAGTGGGCAGGAGAGCTGGCCAAGAGGTGAATAACTGCGTAACCAGCCCCTGGCCAGGTTCCAGGGTAGAGCTTTCATCTGGACTCTATTGCTTCAACAACCCCAACCCTCCAACTGTGCCCAGAATGATAGTGAGGGAACAGAATAGGTATTTTAGGGGTCATGTGCACACACTCTCTCTCTCTCTCTGTCATTTTCTTTTAATTCCTTTGTTAAGGGAAAATCAGTGTGGGAATTTTGTCTGTAAGGTCAGTAATAAAATCTAAGCCCACTTTTCTCACCCTTAATAAAATCTCACCCTTGACAAGCTATTTTTTTTATCTTTTACCACAGAGACTAAAAGCTACCCTAACCCACCAAGTCTCCTCAATCAATGGTGGTTGTGGAATGGTGGTGGGGACTGCCAGCACCATGGTGACAGCCCGTCCAGAGCAAAGCCAGATCCTCATCCAGCACCCTGACGCCCCATCCCCTGCCCAGCCACAGGTCAGTTAGACCCTTGGATGGGGGAACCAGCTTGTCGCTATTACTCTTTAAGTCATATCTTGTTTTTTCAAGGAGCAGGAAAATGAAGGAGGAATGGATTTCAGCCTTCTGGGCTTCGACTTGCACTTTGTTTCTTGTTGACAGTTTGACAGTAGCAAAATGCACTCTGCTTCATCCATCCTTTTGTTAGATAAAATGCAAGCAGACTGGATAATGCAGAACTGCCACAGAGGAGGTCTCAGTTTTTGTTTTCTGCTTTTTTGTTATTTTTACATGTGAGTGCTCTATCTGCAGAACCCTCTAAAATGTGACAGAACCTCATTTCAAGCTACTTTATACAACAGAGTCTCTAGTCTCTCCTATCTTAACCCCCACCAACCCCCCAAAAAACTTAACTGATTATATTTATGCAAAAATCAGATACTAACAATATATTAATAAAATATGATGTTACAGGATTAAGATGGCTCAGTAAACAAACATACCCCGAAAAACACTTTTTCCTTATCAATTTAATCTCTTTTTATCAGGAGGAGAAATTAAAGTCTTAAAAAAGCCAGAGAGATCTTCTTTAGAAGCCCAATTCCTTTTTCTCAAGGAGTCCTCAGTTTTACTAAGTTTCTCTGGAAACTGAGTAAGCCTTGGTTTCGTATTGTCTGTACTGGTTAGTGACAACAACCTGATATCAGTTTGTAGAGTTACATCTTTGGCCCATCCCCTTTTCCTGATGTCACCACCTGCTTCATCAGTTACCACCACATGTCCTAACATTAATGACCATATGCTGCCTTAAAGCTTGGCCAACAACAAAAGCTTTCATTTGAGTTTTCTTGTTAGAAGCTAAGCCTGCCCACCTTCTTGTAACCACTTCTGATGCCAGTCCCTTCTAGAAATGGTAAAGCAGCATCCCTCTTGCCCAAACTGTGCTGCTTCCCCTTGAGGAAATGACATGACTTCATTTTTAGTTACCACTAATTCCTTTCCTTCTTATTCTTCCCATGTTTCTCTTGGTCTATTCTCTTACCTCCATTCCCTGCATGTATTAGTACATTGCCTATGAGAGAGTAGGAATCCATCATTTCCTTTTTCCCATTCTCCTCCTCAATCACTAGTCTTTACATGTGTACCAGTGAGCTCAGGACAAAGAGCAACTTGAAAATCACAAGAGAATCTGTGTAAACTTCCCTTAGTACAGTGAGAAGCAGCAACCCCAAGGCCTGTAGCTCATTAAAATGAGTTTGAAATTTCTTCTCCACTTTTTTTCTTTTGGGGGAGAGACTATTAATCTAAATAATTAAAATTATCTCTTCATTACCCATATTACTGGAGACTATGATTCATTAGGGCCTGAAGTAGAATAAGATTCTGTTTTCTTATGAGTTTATGTTTATCCTCATGTACCTGATTTGAGCTCTAGCATTGGGAAACTACCAATATAGATGTTCTCTAATAGCAACAGATTCAGGAAGAATTTATTTTTGGCATTGTTTTACATTACATAGTTTCTTTTATACAGATGGTTGACCTTTCTATATTTTAATTTTGGCCATTATTATAAGATTGGTCTATCTTCTTTGAATACATACCAGCTAACAGAAAAGGAAGATGATTCAAAAGTGCTTTAGAAACAAGAGACATCAGCCTAAAGCTTAAAAATAAAAGATAAGGGCTTCCCCATCAGTCCAGTAGTTTAAGCATCCACCTTGAAATGCAAGGGACACCCATTTGATCCCTGGCCTGGGAAGATCCCACATGCCATGGGTCAGCTGAGCTCGTGCACCACAACTGCTGAAGCCCAAGTACCCTAAAACCCATGCTCCACAACAAGAGAAGTCACCATAATGAGAAGCCCTCAGAAAGCAAGGGGAGAATAGACCCCACTTACCACAACTAGAGAAAGCCCACGCATAGCAACAAAGACCCAGCACAGCCAAAAATAAATAAATTTTTTTTTAAAAAAAGATGGTCTCAGGGACTTCCCTGGTGGTCCAGTGGTTAAGACTTCACCTTCCAATGCAAGGGGTGGGTGCAGGTTTGATCCCTGGTCTGGAAGCTAAGTTCCCACATGCCTTGAGACCAAACAAACATTTAAAAAAAAAAAAACTAAATTGTAATAAATTCAATAAAAACTTAAAAAAATAAAAAGATGGTCTTAAATCACCAACTTGTAAAGGGATTTTAAGATGTTTTTCTTTTTAAAAACAAACAGAACAAACAAAGCAGGAAGCAGGGACATTGTTGAGGATGATTAATGACTGATTTTACATAGAAAGAATATACTAGGGGTTCCCTGGTGGCCTGATGGTTAAGATTCCAGGCTTTCACTGCCAGGGCCCAGGTTCAGTCCCTGCTCAGGGAATTGAGATCCCTCAAGCCTCATGGTACAGAAAAAAAAAAAAAAAAAAAATTTGCTAATTCATATATATCTCCATGATAGTTCATATCTCACTGATGGTTAAATCTTTTCTCTTTTTCTGGAACTTACAGCATGCAGTTGTTTGTCTATATTGCTTGGCCAAATCAGTAATTCTCCAATTTTTTATCCCACAATCTCCCTATAGTTTCCCTGCCCACCATATTTCCTGTTAAGAAACAAAAAATGATCCTAGTTTCATTTTTGTCTGTCTGTCTCAGAAATAATCAGAGTTTCCAACTTAGTTTGTCTAAGTATGGAACTGAGAAGACTGAAAGGAAACAGGAGGCAGAATGAGGAACTACTGCAAAAGAGAAGCTAAGGGCCATAGTGAGATTTGCTATGGTGACAGAGGCTGGTAGATCCTTTAATCGGATCTTTGCCAGATCTTACATCAGGTTTAATTTGGAAAGGATTGACATTCCCTTCAAGTAACTCTTCCTTCTGGGCAACAGGTCTCACCAGCCCAACCCACTCCTAGTACTGGAGGTCGACGTCGGCGCACAGTTGATGAAGATCCAGATGAGCGGCGACAGCGCTTTCTAGAGCGTAACCGGGCTGCAGCCTCCCGCTGCCGTCAAAAGCGGAAGCTGTGGGTGTCCTCCCTAGAGAAGAAGGCTGAGGAACTCACTTCTCAGAACATTCAGCTGAGTGTGAGTGGGTCCTGGGTGCTTATTAGGATTGTTGAATCTGGAAAGTGATGTTGAATCATGAGAAAGTGGGACAATATAGTAGAAGATGATAATTCTTTAAATTAAGATGGATTCAGAACATATGCCAGGAAGAATACAGAAAGAATGTCTTACGAGTCAGACTTGAAATCTCTTCCCTGGGGACTGGAAAGTTCACTCATCATCTAATCCCAAGTCTGCTACAGAATGAGTCATCCATAGACCCTTTAGGATGAAGGAAAATAGATGAAGTGCCCCAGGGTGCTCTGTTAAATCATCAGTAAAATCTGCTAGGTAGTGGAACACCTAGAGGGAAAGTATTTGTCCAGATAATGCAGCTTAATAAAAGAAAGAAAGGCCTCTCTGACCTTCTGAGATGGCCTAACTCTATGAAGTGTGTTTCTTCCCCAAATGAGCTTTCTTTCGCTTAAAAAAAGAAAAGAAAAAAACCACACAAGTACAAATAGAACAGTTACAATCCAGATATTTTCTTGAATATTTCCCTTCTTCTGATTTTTTAAAAATATTTAGTTACAAAGATAATATATTTATATAATGTATGTAGTATACACATACATACACACACAGAAGTAGAGATTAAAAATAAAGTCTCTCTTCAGTATGTCTTTCCCAGTCTCATTCTATTCCTTATAGATAAGTTTGTACCTACCAGACCTATATATATTTCTAATATTTTTTCCATTTTTTAGCTTTTGTAGGGGAGCCAGGGAGGGACTGTATGTCTGTTTTAGCATAAAACAGTTATCTTCTGGAGATCTATTCATGTATACAGAGAACCTACCTAATTTTTTTCAATAGCTGTACAGTGTAGCATTCTATAGTTTGGTTATAAGATTCAGATATTTATAATGTTTTTAACTTTTTGCCAGAACAGCAGTGCTGCAGTGTACATTGTATGCACTTGAGTAAATCGCTCTGTTAAATAGATTCGTGTAAGTAGGCTTTCCTAGTCGAAGGACATATGTATTATTAATTTTGATGCAATTATATTTACCCTACAAAGGAGTAATTTTTCTGTGTAAAATTCCTACTATCATTGTAAGCAGCTCCTGTCATTGAATTTGTGGCTCTATTGGCTCTGGGCTGTCTGAAGCTTTGCTGGATCTTTTCTAGACTCAAAGGACAAAATCCAGGCAGCCTTCTGTCCTCACTCTGAGGATAGTCAGTGGGGCTTCAAGAGTGGAGCATGAATTTTCTTCATATTCTTTTCTTACCTTCCTCCTCAGAATGAAGTCACATTACTACGCAATGAGGTGGCTCAATTGAAACAGCTACTGTTAGCTCATAAAGACTGCCCAGTTACAGCACTACAGAAAAAGACTCAAGGCTATTTAGGTGAGTGACTCACAACCTAAGCAATGTCAATCAGTCAGTAAACTGCATGTAATGAGTGTCTCAACTGTTTATAATTTTATAACCCCATTGTGAATGTTCTGGGGGGCCCAGACAGATGAGTGAGCAGCCTATGTAGAACAACCAGTCCTGCCAAAAAAATTTTTTGAAAACAGTATCCTAATTATCCTTTTGGAGATAAAGGGTAGAAATATATATTGGGTACCTGTATGAGGTACTGGACCATCTTCCCAGTTCTCTCATGAAACAGATATTACTTCGATTTATACTCACTCACATTAGTCTCTTACCTGAAGTTACACCGCTGGTGAAGTGGCAGAGTCAAGATTCACATCCAGCTCTTCCTTATTCCAAAGCCACCATCTTAGTCTAAAGAGGATATAACAGCAGATGATACCTTGGGGTTTGTCAAGCATTGAGATTTGGCAGTATGTTTTATCTTTCTATGACAGGATAATGTTGGTTTCTGTTTGTAATCTGCGAACACATAATATAGGGCTCGGAAGAGCTGGTCACAGTCATGCCTGGGATAAGCACAATCCTGAAAGTAAAATTACTGTGAATAATTTGTTTATGGACAGTAAAAACTAATAAATCATTTCCCCTTACAAATTAAATTCATAGAAATGTTGGCTATCAAATTTTGATATATTGAATTATTTTTCCACTAACTATCATTTCAAAGATATGTTCCCATAGAAAGAGAGTGACTACATCACCAATTTTAAACATCTCTATTTAAATTTAATTTAAATTAAAACTCATTGGAAAAGACCCTGATGCTGGAAAAGATTGAGGGCAAGAGGAGAAGGGAGTGACAGAGGATGAGGTGGTTGGGTGGCATCACCAACTCAATGAACATGAGTTTGAGCAAACTCTGGGAGATAGTGAAGGACAGGGAAGCCTGGTGTGCTGCAGTTCATGGGGTCACAAAGAGTCAGACACGACTTAGCGAATGAACAACAATTTTAATTTTAATGTGTACTTCAGAGTACATTCATTCATCCAGCAGATATTGATTGAGCCTGTTCTAAGCACTGTTTTACATGCTGAGGGCGTAATAGGGAACCAAATAGATTAAAGTCCCTGCCTGTAAGGGGCTTATGTTTTAGTGGGTGAGACAGACAATAAGATAAATAGGTACAATATATATTATGTCAGATAAGAGTAAGTGCTTAGAAGAAAAAAAATAAAACAGGGAAGATGAATATGAAATGTTAGCAGCAGGGTTGAAATTTTAGATGAGGTGTTTTTTAACTTTTAAGGAATTGAGAGAGCTAGCCACGCGTTAATATGGGAGAAAAGTACTGCAAGCAAGAGCAGCAACAAATGCAAAGACCCAAAGTGGGAGCATGTATGGCACATTCTAGAATCATCAGGGAGGCTAGTGTGGCTGGATTGGAGAGAATGGGAACTAGAGAGTATTTGGAGATGAGGTAGGAGAGGTAATGGAGCATTTTTCTTTAGGGCCTCATCGGTCATAGAGAGGACTTCAGGTTTTGCTCTACTTTGGGGACCCACTAAAGGGTTTTCAGCAGAATAGCAACATGACTGATCTGACTTAGTTCGAACAGGGTCAGTCTGTTAGTAAGGAATGAATGGGCAGAAGCAGGCAGTCTGCTTAAGAGACTGTCACAGTCATGAGCAAAAGAGGATGGAGCCTTATACCAGTTGGTGGTAGTGAAAGTGGTGAGAAGGGATTTAATTCAGGATATATTTTGAGGTTACAGTAACAAGGTTTGATGATGGCCAGATGGGACAGTATATATGAGGGAAAAGAAGAATCGAAAATTGCACCAAATTGTTTGGCCTGAGCACCTGCAGGAACAGAGTTGCCACTGATTGAGACGGGCAAGTGTAGGAACAAGTGGACTGGATGGTGTACTAGGAGCTCAGACTTGCAAGCCTCTTAGGCTTGCAGGTGGTGCTCTCAGGCAGGCCATTGTATGGGTCTGCAATTCCAAGAGAAGGCTGAAGGTACAACTTTGGCAGTCAGCAGAAGATGGTTAGTTTTTAAACCCATGAAACTGAATGAGATGTTATTGTCAAGACAGAGTGCATAGGTAGAAAAAGAGAAGTTCCAAGACTGAGCCCTGGATACTCCCAACATTTAGAGATCAGGGAGGTGAGAAGGGACCCATTAGAGACACTGAGAATGAGCAGCCAAACAGGTAGGAGGAAAACTGAGTTAGCTGGGTGTGGTGTTCTGTAAGCCAAGATAAGAAAGTATTTCGGGAAGTTTAGTGATTAGCAATTTCGAATCCTTTTGATGGGCTAAGGAAGACAAGGACTGAGTATTTATCAGTATGAAGTCTATTCATAGACTTCAGTAGGGTTTCTATTCAGTCCCTACAAGAACTCTGACAGGTAGTTAGTCTTTGAAATCACTTGTTACAGCAAAGATATATTTAGTTCCTACTGGGTGGTGTGGACATTGCGGTGAGTACCTGACACAAGACCAGCAAGACTCTCCTATCTTTGAGAGACTCATAGGTAAGGTGAGCACAAGTGTGCCAAAGAGCCCCTAGACCAGAACTTCCTGTGGACAGGAAGCTTGTTTATTCTTTGTCTACCCCAGTGCCTGGTACATGGCTAGTACTCGGTAAATCTTTGATGAATGAATGAAGTATGCTCTGAAAGCACAAATGATGAAATAGTTAAATTGCCTGAGCATAACAAAGAGGGCTTCACAGAGGAGGTAATATTTAAGTTGTGAAAGAAGACGCAGGCATTTATCAGGAGGTCAAAAATACAATCAACTGTTGGAATTTGCCCTTACTGAACACATCTCTGTTTAAAGAGCCAGAGAGGCTATCCAACATTTAGTGAAACTCCCTGATTGTTGAGCAACATGGGGATACCTTTGTATGCACCTCAGACACTTGTGTTTAGTAGTAAAATGTTACTGTCACTTTATGTGAAGTGGTATAACTCAGAATAAATGTGTTAAATCATTAATGCCTAGCTAGTTGACAGCCAGGAGGGTCTGACAGATCTCATGTAGTTGGTTGTGTTAACAGCGTTGGCCAAGGACTGGTCATTCATAACATGATTTGAGTGTAGCTTGATATTTATTAGGTTTATCTGTAGTGCAACTTCATGCTAAAGGAATATTAAAAATAACAGAATGATTGCAGTGTTGTGAGCATTAATGAGAGGATAGCTTAAAACAAGAGAGATTTATTTTAAATCACCTTTAAAGACATGAATAACAAGAAGAGTATTCCAATGGGTTAATGAATTATGTAGAGACCAAGAAGCCAAGTAGTGTAATTAACATGTTGGGGATTTGCTTTATTGGGATGAATAGGTTAATTTTGGCCTAGCTTACTTCCCTTCTCACAACTGGTAGTTTCCTAGCTCATTTGTGCCCTATAAGCCAAGATTCTGGGAAGTTTCTCCCCCTAAAAATATGGGCTTCATTTTCCTTTGGGGTCCTTTAGAATCATGGGGAAAGGTAGTTCTGCCTACTTCCACATTCTGTTTCCTAACCACTTGCTCTGTTTTTGCCCTGCTTCTTGGCAGAAAGCCCCAAGGAAAGCTCAGAGCCAACGGGTTCACCAGCCCCTGTGATTCAACACAGCTCAGCAACAGCCCCGAGCAATGGCCTCAGCGTTCGCTCTGCAGCCGAAGCTGTGGCCACCTCAGTCCTCACTCAGATGGCCAGCCAAAGGACAGAACTGAGCATGCCCATACAGTCGCATGTGATCATGACCCCACAGTCTCAGTCTGCGGGCAGATGATGCCTCCCCTGGTGGAGAGGTCCCCAGCCAGAGCTCGCCCGACCGAGAGCCAAGAGAGATGTCATCTTATCCTCTCCCATCTGCCTTGGACACGGCGATGTAGGGGAGGGAATTGCGTGTCGTGAGTAATGGTCAGATGTGGGGCTTTTCTCACACAGTCATGTACGCTGACACCTGCACTAGGAGCCTCCCAGCCCCAGAGCCACATAGATCGTTCCCCCAGGGGGAGTTTCTGGTGTTCCCACAGCCAAAGGCCTTTATGGATGGTCCGAACAATCGCCCTGCCCATGCACGCGTACCTGTCTCTTAACACTAACGCTTGCACTTCTGGGATTCAGTTTCCCAGTTGCCTCTTGTCCCACCAAGCCATGGATGATACCTTCTTGATCCTTAGCAGCATGCCACTTCCTGCTCGGTAGAGGGAGGCTAGAGTTGACGGCATATCACTGTTGACCCATCCCTAGCCACCCCGTGGACTCAGGACTTTGTCTCCCAGTAGCTGCTTATTGGTCCCCTCATAAATTCTAGTTAAAACATTGACTTACAGAGAGTGTAAGGTTACCTCTGATGTATGAAATAGCAGTATTTCCCAGCTCTTCCATAAACTTTAGCCCTTCTTCCTACCAGCCACCAAAAACAAAAAGAAATGAAACCTTAAAAGTTCTAGTACTTTCTCATTTATTTCAGAGCTATTTGGGTACCTCATTTTCTCTCTTGAGTTTTCCCAGTCTAGTGGTGGGGTCTTTTCCACTCCCCACTAAGCCTTAGCAACCTCATCTATGGCCTTATTAGATACTGCTCAGTAGCAAAGAGAAAACGCCCAGGATCTGACTGGCTGATTCCCTGCCCCTCCCTGCTCTATCCTCCAGGACAGACAGGAACAATGTAGTTTTAAAGCTTGTTCCATCAGGTGACTGGATTGATGATGTTTTACAACAGTATACCAGCCAAAGCATACATAACTCCTTTTGGTCATCTTTACACTCCTGTGTCTCTCTGTCTTCGTCCCCCTGCCTGCATCCCTGCCTCTGTCTCTCTTCTGTAATTGGTTCTGATGCAGCCCTCTGGAAGCTGTCATGTGGGGGACTTTTGTGCTCCCTCACTCCCCTCACCCCCCTCACCCCCATCTCTCAGCCTCACATGTCTATCTTCTTTTATGAGCAAGGGTCTTATATGCACAAATAATCCTCACTGGATCTACCTTCTCTCTCTTTCACCAGACTCCTAGCCTAGCCTCTAGGTCTCCTGGTTCTGTAGTGTTTCTTTCGCTCTTTTCTGCTCTCTGCCCCCTGGATGTGATGCTTCTCTGTAGTCTAAGCCCCAGGACTCTGAGGCATCCGAGTGAAGGTCCGGAGTGGTTTTCTTGAGTATGAGGTAGGTTGGAGGGAGGCGCGGGAAGGGGAGGTGGAATACTGATGTCCACCAAAGAGCCCTGTTTGTTGAAAGGTCCAACCTGCTGGGAAATTAGTGACTATTGCTCTCAGCCATTCTTACTTTGAAAAGCTGGGTTGCAGGGGGATATTTTTATCCCTCTTGCCCCTCTTTCTTCCCCATTAAGACTTCTCATCTTCCTTTGGCCCTGAACTATGCAATTTCTACCAAGGCCATAGGAAGCAGTCCAGAGCCAGAGGCCTGTGGATAGATAGGTCAGCTTTAATAGCCCTTCAGTATGAATCCCTTCCAGTTGTCCCAGAGCCACTTTCTGCCATCTGCCCATGCCAGTAATGTCCCTTTCTCTCTCTCTCTTTCCTACCTCCATCTTATACATGCATACAGAGTAACTGCCAGCTTCCTTTCTTATCTTCCAAAATTGGCTGTCAGAGAGGAATGAGGAAATGGTCTAAACTACAAGATCCCTGTCTCCTCAGACTGATAAACTGGTGAGCCAGCCAGATGACATGTTTACTGCATTTGTTTTTAATTTCCCCTCCTGTGTTCAGAGCTGGTGCTGAAGAAGCTACACCTGGTGAAGAGAAAGGAGAGAAAAACATGGTTTTCTCATCCTCCCCCACCTAGGACCCAATAGGAATAACCCCTGAGGTGACTCAGACTAGCAAACGGCACGACAGATGGTCAGGATGCAGGTTACCACCTCCGGGGACTCTGCTTGCCTTTAAAACTTCACAGCCATACTTATGCTCAGGACATTTCCTTTAGATGGTTGCTCTCTGGGATTTTCTCCTGCCTTAGCTGTGTTTCATTTTTTTGTTATCTTGATTTCCTGCTAGTAGCCTTGCCCTAAAGCTTGACTGAGTTTATGACTCCTAAGGAGCCTTCATAAGACCCTTGGCTATTCTTCTTCCCCCTTTAGTCAAGTGTTCTTCAAGTTAAGAATCAGGTTGGCACTGCACATGTGTGCTGCCTCACTGGTTGACCTTGAGGGAAGTTGGAGTCCCTGCTGGTCTTCCCTGGGTAGGATGTCTAATTTATGGAGAGGGTCTTAATTTCTTAGTCCCCATGTCTAAGTCCTTATTTTATTTTCATCAGTGGGAAATTAGTCCTGGGGACCTGAGAGGCATTGGCAGAACCTTAGTAAAGCAGCAGTGAGATGTGGAAGGAACACGACAGGACCTCCCCCACCCCATCCAGCTCTCTTGTTGGTCCTTGGTCTCACTGAGAAGGCAGAGCAATTGCTTGAGCTGAAGCCTTTCCTGTAGTCAAGGAGAATGACACTTACCTTGTTAGTGCAGCCAGCTGTGTGGCCGCTCGCCCCTGCTCCTTGCCTTCAGACCCCTCTGAACCAGAACAAACATGGAGGGTGTCGCTTACCCCTTCTTAAGGACCATGGCCTCCCTGTGGGCCTAAGGGAGGGCACATTCTAAAAGGGGCTGGGAATGGGCTTCCCTGGTGGCTCAGATGGTGAAAGATCTGCCTGCAATGTAGGAGACCCAAGTTCTATGCCTGGGCCAAGAAGATCCCCTGGAGAAGGGAATGACTAACCACTCCAGTATTCTTGCCTGGAAACTTCCATTGACAGAGGAGCCTGGCAGGTTGTAGTCTGTGGGGTCCCAGAGTCAGACACAACTGAGCAACTAACACTTTCACTTTTAAGGGAAGACATTTTCTGAAAGGGGCTGGGAATATTGATGCCTTGGGACTTTTCTAAGTGAACACAGGACTCAGGCCTCCTACTCGCTTCAAGGACACAGCTGCTAGAGATGCAAGGCCATAGAGGAAGGGGCCAGAACCAGGTCTTCTGGTTCACAGACTTTATGCCACGTTGTCTTAAAGCTTGTTTAGAGTTGAAAAGTCTGAGAAAGCCTCCCACTCTATTAGGAAGGACGAGAAAGAGTAGGATCTCCTTTGCTTCATCTTTCCCTGTTGGTTGTACGTCCCAAATCTGGCTTCCTTTGGCCTCTGCTCCTCTCCTTGGCCCTAAGCCCTAGACTATACACTCTTGGTGGCAGTAAAGAGGAGATGGCCTAGCTAAAATGCATTTTGCTGCCTTCCCATGCCTGTTCTGTCGTTCCAGTTCCTTTCCTGATTTACTGCCCTCCAGCACCACCCATCCTGGTAGACAGGGTGCTTAACCATAACAACGCCCCAACTACAGCCTGAATCACCAAGCAGACACCAAAGTATCCCTCCCCTGTTTGCTCACACTGAGAGGCTCCTTGAAAGGTGCTAGCCCTGAGACGGCTCTTCCCCACAAAGATCCCATTTCTCTCTTAACTTCCTTCCCACCCCCAAGTCATTATTTTTCAGTAATATTATACATTGTATACACAGGAAGGAAATGTACTCTTTTTTTTTTTTTTAATGTCATAACCAGTCTGTTTAGAATCCAGTCCTTCTAGCTGTATATCACATATGCCTTTGTTGATACACTCTTTCTGCTTTCTTTAGACTTGTTTGACATGGGTGGAGGGAAGAGCAGGACAGGTGAGGCTCCTAAGGCAAATTAAAGGATCCTGCACCCCCAATCCTACTTCAGCCTCCCACAACCCTAATCATTCCCTTCGTCGTAGAGAACTGATTTCTCTGTTTCCGCATGCACACATGCAGGTGCGCACAGGCCTAAATGCTCACCACCCAGGGTCAAGCAGGAGTGAGCATAGATGGTGCTGGCCAACATCCCCACCCTCCAGACCAGTTCATTCTTCTCTGTTTGGGGTAAAATTCTTCCCCGGAATGAGAAGGGCCTGGGGAGTGTAGGGCAGCTTAAGGCAGCTTACGTCCTTTGCAGATGCAGGTTTGTATCACAGCTGCTAGAGTTTCTCTTTTTAATGGGGGCTGGTAGCCTAGAGCAGTCTCATCAGCATTAACTTCTGGTGAGTGACGTTTTAGCTTTAAGAAATGGCTATGAGCACTAGTTTCACTGACTTTCCCTTAGGGCAGTGGTTCTCAGAATGTGGTCCGGGACCAGCAGGACCATCATCTGAGAACTTGTTAGACCTGCACGCTCGGGCGCCATTCCAGACATACTAAATCAGAAATTCTGGGGATGAGCTCTGACAAGCACTCAGAGCCATTCTCATACACACTGAAGTTTAAGAACCATTGCCTTAGGGGCAAGCTGGGAAATCCTTGTAGGGTGTACCATCCTCTGCCTTAGCACTAACATTTTTCCATTTTGTCCAGTCCCTCCCTCCACTGCCATTAAAACAATAACAGCATCACTCATCTCAAAATCTAGATTTGTCTTCCTTTACTTACCCCTAAAACCTGTCCTGCATGGATCCGGACAGGACTTGGCCCATATACTCCCTTGCAGATGGATTACTCCATGTTCTTTTTTACAGGAAGGACCAGCTGTCCTGTTCTCCCACCCACCCCACCCCCCAACACACCTTTCAGGCAGGGAGATGAGCCTCCAGCCCCAGCAGTGGAAGCCATAGTCTCCTGACATAGTATCTGTTGAAAAGAAAGCTGTGTGTATCTATGGTTATATCTCTGTTCATCTGTATATCTTTGACATGTAGCAACACCTCTCCATGTCATTAAGGAACTTGACTCTGGGTCTGGGTTTCCCCAGCCCCCAGTGGTAGACTTTGACAGGCAGGAGATGCAGTGCTACAGGCTGTTTTGTTACAAAACTGTCTTCTCCCTTTCTCCCCCGACCCACTTCAGCATGATCCCTGTGAGCAGGTTCTCACAGTCTCCTGGGACGGGGCTGAGGCAGAGGCTTCGCTCTATTCTCCCTTCCCGTCCCGCCTCCTCTCCCCTCGCCACATAGCAGTTACCCCCAGCCATGCCTTCTCCCTCTCCCAAACTTGCCCTGACATATATTGTGCCTTATTTATGCTGCAAATATAACATTAAACTATGAAGAGAACCACTGTTCTGTCTGATGCTTCAGTAATCGACAAGTCCCATTCTTTCTGGGAACTCACTGGGCTCTCATGCCTGGATCTTCACTCTCCCAATTCTTAAGACAGAAAGGGCTGGCATTCGTATCCCTCCCTCCTTTTTATGCAGGGGACGACACAGCCTAGAGGAGGTGGGTGGTTTGTAGGAATTACATAACACACCAGAAGGCCCAGCTCTGTGCACTGCCCTGGGGACAAGGGCCCTCGGCATTACGGGAGCCCACGTAGAAAGAACCATGTGCTTTGTGTAGATGGAGATGAGATGATGTTGGAAGGCAGGTGAGATGTCCTCTTAGACTTTCAGCATTCCCACTTCCCCACAATTAGAAAATAATAAGCCCTACCCTCAAGAAGTTTCCAGCATGTCTAGGAAGTGCACAAAGACTTAGACTTCTGTGATTCTGTGAGTCTATGAGTGTGGGAAGAAGCGAATCTAGAAATGAAGAGGTGGAGTTTCTTTAGAAGCAGATAAGATAGGTCACAAGAAAAACAGGTAGTGCTCAGGAATTGTGAGGAGGTGTGGGGCAGTCACTACCAGTGTCTTGTACCTATGTATTCCTTGATACCACAAATGAGGAGGGTGAGCAGGCTGAAGAAGCAGACTGGGAGATAGCCAGCTGCCTCCAGGGGAGTTTCCGGGAGGAGAGGTGATTTACATGCTGTTCACGGCTGATGTTTGGTACAACTGACACAAACAGGGAGCTCCAGTCTCTGGGAGAGCAGGAAAAGCAATGTGGTCTTCACTGTGGTTAGGAGCACATGAGAATCCAGAGAGTGGGAAAGGAAGCTGCTGAAGGCCAAATACTGAAGCCAAGACTGAGGGGTTTTGGAGGCTGAGATGAAACTGAAAGCAGGACAGTTTCCCAAGTTAGAAGAATTAACCCATTCTAACTTCTCGCCAAAGGAGACACCCATCACCTCCATCCTGGACACAGGAACCAGCTAGAACAGCTCCTTTCTGAATCAGCCTCAGCTCAGATCCATTTGTAAGTGGTGATCAGAGAAATAACGGGATAAACGTGTTTGGGGAGCCCGCCCTGCTTGGTGGAGTACTAGATGCTTTGCATTCATCAAGTCACTTACCGTCCACAAGCGCTCTTGATAACAAGTAGTTGCCTCCTGTTACGGATGATGAGGTTTAGGTTGAGACACTTGACCAAGGCACACAGTGAAGTGTTAAGAGCTGGATTAAAACATTTCAACCCAGGAGCTGCTCTGCAGCACCCCACCTACCTCATACCCTGCTCCTCTGAACTTTGTCAGATAAGAACGGACAAGGACCTCAATATGGTGCACAATCCATTTCCCATGGAAAACCATCTACCCATGGACTTGATAGTTCCTTCTAAGAAGTGGTGAAACTATAAGATACAATGATGATGAATGTCAGGTTCTGTGCTTGGGACCATCCAGGAGACAAACCTTACAGAAAGGTGCACCCTAACTTAGGTTGCATGGATAGAAATGAGTATCTAGGCCATCCAGATCAAAACATGCTCTCATCTACCTTTCCAAAGTGTGAGTTGGTTTCTAGATGCCTCACTTTAAAGAAAGGGAATGCTTCCTAACTCTACAGAGTGGAAGAATCGCAATCTGTCTTCGAACATGGGAAAGGTTTGTAATGTGAGAGATGAGAGGTCCACTCAGAGTGGGGCAAACCCCTGGTGGAGGCCACAAGATGAAAGCCAACGCCTTGCAAGGATGATTCTGTCTGGACTTCTCAGGAGATGGTAAATTCTCCAGGACTCAGATGTGCAAAGACAATCACAGCTAGTGTTGTAAGGACCCCTGCTCTATGCCAGGGTTACCAAAAGTGTCTCAAATAATGTTCCCCTTTGAAAGTGCTTTTTAATGCTGCCACGTTTTAAGTGAAGAAACTTCACTTACAGAGAGCTAAGCATCTTGCCCAAGGCTGATTCATAGACCCTTTATGTCATGACACCTCTCTGGCATCCACTAAAGAACCACACTGGTGGGGGTACTGAGGAAGGACTCTAAGATCAGAAGGGTGACTTGGAAGGGAATGCTTCCTGAGAGGCAGTGACTGATGTTTCCTAAGGAGGATTCTGCCCCAATCGGTCAGAGGCAGAGCCAGGCAGAGGATGGGCTGACTAGAGGGAGGTGGACAAAAACAACAATCCAACCCCAGTATCCTGCCCCTGCCTTCCTGGGACTCTGAAATCAGGGCCATTGAACTCTTCTCCAGAGAAAGGAAATGGCCAGGCCGACCATGCACAGTGGCGACCACAGGGTGGCAGCAGTGCTTCAGCTGCAGAGCGCGGCTCCGGAGTGCGAAGTGGGGCTGGTCCAGGGCAGCGCTGGTGAAGACGGGTCTGCTACAAACATCTGATGCAATCTCCACTCTCTGGAGGCTCTGAAACCTCTTTGTCTGCTGTACCTCACTTTTCTCTCCACAGGCAAATTTCAGAGTACTGACTCCATTTTTAACCCTCCAAGAGGCATGCCTCTTGGGCCAGGAGGGCCAGGAGACCCCGCCTGCAACCTCCCTAGTCCCGAGATGGGATCACCCTGGCTCTTTACTCCTTCTTTTCCAGCACATGATGCCTAGCCTGACAGGGCTTTCTCTGTGTTTTATTCTACAAGCTAGCAAAGAGAGGAGGTGATCCATTGGAGTGCTCCAACCTGTTGAGGGATTGGGAGTTCTTGAAGGCCCCCCAGGGCTCTGACAAAGCATCTGCAATTAATGATGCTTCTTGAGCTCTGGAGACAGGATTTATGCATCTAATAAAGTCTATAACTCCAGGCTTAGGGGCTGGGACCGGAGGCTGAGAGCACGAAGTCCCACAGGGGCCGGGGAGGGGGGTCCCAGGCGGCTCTTAATGGAGCTGTGCATTTCCATTGCCTTCTCTAGATTCCCCCTCAGGCGGCTGTGGGAGGTGAGGAACAGGGGGACAGCAGGTATAAGAGGTGGGTGTGGCCACAGCAAGGCAGATGGCAGCATGGATGCCAGGCAGGCAGCAGCGCTGCTGCTGGTGTTGCTGTTAGTGACAGACTGGAGCCACGCTGAAGGACCAGGGGGCCAGGATGGAGGAGACCAGATCTTCATGGTAAGTGAGCATGCCCGTCCCCTTCTCATCATTTTCCCGGACCTCAGCGTGAGACTTCTAGAGAAGGAAATGGCAACCCACTCCAGTATTCTTGCCTGGAGAATCCCAGGGACAGGCTACAGTCCATGGGGTCACAAAGAGTCGGACACGACTGACTAACAACAGCTTGAGACTTACACTCCAGGTTCAAATACTCTGGCTGCCAGGGTCACTGGGTCCTCACATCTGAGGAAATGACTCCTTAGCCTCCTACAACTTGCCCTGGAGGTCACTCCCTTCCCCTTGTGATCTAAATGCCCAAGGCCCTCACCCATCTTCCTTCCCGGATGGCTCCATACCACAGGAGGAAGACAGTGGTGCCCACCCACCACAGGATGCCCAGACCCCCAGGTCGCTCCTGCGCTCCCTGCTCCAGGCCATGCAGAGACCTGGCCGGAGTCCAGCCTTCCTGTTTCAGCCCCAGAGGTGAGTCTAGGAGGGACAGAGGCAAGGCCAGGGCTGAAGGGAGAGGAGTGGGAGGAGAGGAGGAAAGGGGGGATCTGGAAGGACCTATAGCTGAGGGTGGATCTTTCCTAAGGTTTGGCAGAAACACCCGGGGCTCCTGGAGCAACAAGAGACTGACTCCTCGAGCTGGAGAAGGGCCGAGTTCCCCCTTTTGGAGCCTGGCTGCCCCTCAGCGCTTTGGGAAGAAGCGACATGTCATCCTCTGAGGTGTGCATGCAAGGCCCACACCCCAAACTGCCATGCATCCCCCGCAAATAAAGCTGTCTGGCTTCTGGATCCGTGTGCATGTGTCTGCATCTGCATGAGACATGGGAGGGAGCCCCAAGACAAGAACCACAGCCTCCCCCACCTCCGCTAAACCCAACTCTCCAGGAACACAGGCGATGGTGTGCCCAGATGTCAGTGCACCCACCAGAAAGGCAAACATGGGGACATGTTGGGAGCAAAATGGAGGGGGCGGGCGCACCGGGGATGTGACCTGGCACTAACCTCCTCTGAAGCTGACCACTCAGGGAAACAGACCAGGACTGATGAATCCAAAAAGCAGCACATTTATTTGGGGCTCTAATGGGAGAGCCCCCAGTTTCATTCCCCTTGGTCATCACCAGTTACATGACGGCAGAACCGGGGCCAGCTGAGGCCCTGTGGTCCCTGGTTCCTGGCCCTGTGCCCCCCTCAACCTGCAGTCTGTGTCAGAGGTAGAGGTGGCACCTCCAGGGGGTACCAGCGCTGGGCAGGCGCATAGGCCGGGGGCAGGAAGAGCAGGGAGCGGAGGCTGTAGTTCATGAGTCCCACCAGGGCTTCACTTGCTGCCCGCCATGATCTTGAGGTACTGCAGGGCACGGCGCGCAGCCTCGCCACGGGCGGCCTCCCTGGTAGCGGCGGAGCCATGGCACACAGTGGCCGGCTGTGTGGACAGCTCCACCAGGCACTGGCGGAGCCCGCTCAGGCTCAACTCCTCTGCAGACCGAGAGAAGAGGGAGGCAGGGTCGGGCAGGAAGGCAGCACCGAGGCGGCCCATGTCCCTTTCATGCCCTCCCGAGCCCTCATTCCCATCCGTACTTGCTCTGGTCTAGTCCCCACCATCCCCCGGCCCCCCGACTAGCCATACCAATATCCAGGTAGCTGACATGGAAAGCCTGCTCCTCAGATAGCTCAGTGAGGACACTGCAGCAGGCAGGGCCCAGAGCGCCCAAGGAGCCCAGCGAGCAGCTGCGGAGGGACAGGATCTTCTCTCCCACCGAATTCCGCAGAGAATCCCAGGTGCAGCCTGGGCCCCGGTTCCGAAGTCCATCTAGGCGGGAGCCCACACCCTGACAAGACAGGGACAGGGGGAAGGATGCAGCCAGGGGCTCTGAAACCAGGCACTGAAGAGACAGTCTACGCCCAAGGAGAGAAAAGCCCGAAGAATACTTCCTCCTGTTTGAGCCCCACCTGCCAGGCAATCCCTGGATTGTTTGGTCGCCAAGTCGTGTCCGACTCTCCCGCAACCCCACAGACTATAGCCCACCAGGCTCCTCTGTCCATGGAATTTTTCAGGCAAGAATATTGGAGTGGGTTGCCATTTCCTCCTCCAGGGGATCTTCCTGATCCAGGGATCGAACCCGTGTCTTCTGCTTGGCAGGCGGATTCTTTACCACTGAGCCACCCAGGAAGCCCAACCCCTGTGTGGCCCCCTCTGATGACTAGACTGTGGACCAGATGGTCAGGCAGTCTTCCTTATTCCAATAACAGAAGCCTACAGGTCCCTTGCCCTGGGCCAGCTCCCTCCCCCAAAGCACTCACCACGCAGGCCTACAGCTGAGGCTGAAAGGGGGTTCAAGAATCCCTGGGTCCAGAAGGAAAATGGGCAGAAGTAGGCCTGGGGCCCAGGAGGCTCACTTCCAAGTCACAGACCCGAGTCCTCAGTGCCCTGCCCTGGCATGGAGGATGGAGCATGGGGCATGGCCCACAAGCCACTCACAATGGAAAAGTGATCGTCTTCGGGCTCTGCCTCGTTCCCGTCCCGGGCATCCAGAGGCACTGTGTGCACTCGAAGCAGCATTTTGGCCGCTGCGTTCCGCTTTGCCAGCTTTTTGGAAGTGCCACTGCCTGCACAGGGGAGAGGGCTGCTGAATTATGGTTCCCAATAGACCCATTGCTTCCACCCAGCTTAAACTTGGGCTGAGGGTCCCCTCAGTGGCTCAGGACCTGCCAGGCACCCGAGAACCTGGCCGGCCAGAAGAGGAGGGCAAGAAAGGGTGCAAGGAAGCAGCAGGCAAGCCAGGGTCTCAGCCAGGAGCGTAGAGAGAAGCTGGGAGCTGCCCGTGGCCAGGGCTGGAGTGCTGCGGGGTAGTCACTACAAGCACTCCCCTCTGCCCAGTTACCAATCTCAATGAAACGCTCCACTCGGCAGGTCATAGTAAACTCTTTGCGGTGGGCTGGCCCAGACTCCTGGGTCACCGTGTACTCAGGCAACCGCCAGCCTTTCTGCACCACCAGCTCCTTGGAAGGGAGAAACAAGGGTGCGCAAGAGTGTGAGAGAGGCGTCCTCACATCCTCTCCCCCTCCCATCCTGGGAGTCTCAGGTTCCAGGTTAGAGGAGGAATAAAGGGAGGTGGGTGGGAAAAGCCCTCAGAACAGGGTAGCCACCCCCCATCAGCTTCCCCCATAGCCCCGGGTACAAGCGAAGGCAGGCAGGCACGGGAAATGAGGGTGTAGCACACCTGCAGAGCACCGACCGGGTTGCACTCGGACTGCTGAGGGGAGACTGGGGGCTGCACCTCCATGGGCGAGCTCCTGAAGGACAAAGGGCCCAGGGCCAAAGCTGAGGGGGCTGGCTCCTCTGCAGCCGCCCAGGAGTCCTCCGCCCTGCTCTTGTTTTCCCCTCTGCCATCTCCCTGCTCCCCACCAGGCAGGCAGCTGTCTCTCCAAACATCAAGCCCGCCACCCCCTCCCCCTCCCTCCGGCAAGGTCTCCTCAGGTCCCAGGCTCATTTTGATTTTCTGGAACACTTGATCACCACCTAGACAGGACACTGGAGAGGAGGGTATATCCAGTCCCCAGAAACACCTGAAGGGACTCAAACACAGAACCATCACGTGGCCAATTCAGAAGAAAATGGGACCAGCAAGACCTTTAACGTGGTCAAATACCATCCACATGGTACTGCCAGATTATAAATTACCTCCTGTCTCAAGAGCTTACCAGCTGGTGCAAATTCTTCAAACTCTGGTCCCCAACTATTCCATCCTCTGTTCACTCTCAGACTTCCTCATGCCTGACCAGCCTGGGTCTGAGGGCTGGGAGGCCAGGAGCCAGGACCCCTTTCCACCCTCCTCAGGCAGTCAGGGGAGACAAGATACCTGGTTGGGACAGCAGATGGAGCGGGAGTAGCAGCCGCTGCAGCTGTAAAAACCGGCACGTCCTCAGGCAGTGACGAGTCTAGGGGAGAAAAAGAACTTCCCGAGGGGAAGGGGGCCTTTGATTCACACCCACATGGGGTGGTGGTGGGGAATAAAAGGTGGGGGACCCAGGTCCTCCTGACCTGCCCTCCCCTAAGAAAATCTCTTCCACTGAAGCCAAAAACTCAGGGAAGCTCAACCACCAGTTCCACCTGAGATCTTTTGGTGTCAAACACTTGACGAAAAATACTAAAAAAAGTGGGAAGGGTGTTTCTTCCTACCCAAGAACTGTGGGAGCAAACAACGCCAACCTGAGTGCGGAAGAGGGAACAACATCTTGCTGGAGAGAAGTATGTTGGGGAGCAACCCCCTCCAGCCTCAGCCTCCACCCCTCTCCCTCCCCAGGCCCAACCTGGGACCCAAACCACAGCCACAACCCCACACTGCAGCTGGCCACTGCCTCCCAGAATCCCTCACAGCAGCAGGAGCCCTGGAAGCATCCTGCTCGGGTTTCAGAGGAAGCTCTCAGGAAGCAGCCACGTCAAAGTAGTTCAGTGTCACCAAGCGAAGCCTATGGGGCAGAGGGGCTGACGCAGGGGCCTGGGTTCCTGACAGAGCCTCTAGGATCCTCGGCCGTTCCTCCCTCACCTGCTGTCCTCCAGGGCTGGCTCCAGCATGCTCCCCCCTTTGAGGTGTTTGAGGGCCACCTCAGCTGCCTTGTGCTTGGCTGCTTTCTTGCTGGGGCCCTGACCTGAGAGAGGGGGTGTGGGCAATACTGGAGGTCACTAGAAGGATGGAAGAGAAACCAGCATCCCACAGCCTCTCTCCTCGAAGCCAGAGGGAGTCAACCAAGCCCCATCTCACCAACCTCCCCTTGCCCAAGGCTGGAAGTGTTACTCTAATTGCTTATCTTTCCACAAGTTCCCCAAATCAAGTCATGCCAGGTAGAACTGACTGTCCTTGAGGTTAGCCACCTGGAAGTTTTTTCTCTGCCCTACTTTCCTCTGGGGAGCACTTTCTTTGAATAGAGATTGCTGGGAAAATAGAAAAAATGTAGGCTCCAGAGTCAAAGCCTGGTTCTGCCATCTACTAGGTTAGTGACCTTGCCCCAGCCATTGGATCTCTCTCTCTTGGTTTCCTCACATTCAAACATGAAAATACTACCACCTACATCACTGGATTCGACCAAGGTTTAAGATTAAGTGGGAACTTGATTAAGCACCTAGAAGAGAGTCCAGCACAGCAGGCACTCACTTCCCCAAATGCTGCACTGAGATTTGATTTACCTCCTTTTTCCTCTAGGATGACAACGATCTGCCCGATCACTGTGGCAGTCCTGCTTGGTCCTCTAACTCTCCTAAGTCCTAGGTACCTCCTCACGGACCTGTTCTCCCAATCCAGTCAGTGATTTTTCCCCTAAAATCTCTCCTTCCCTCGCTGGTCTTGGAGAAGAGGACCATGAAGAGATTCCAAGTAATAAAGCCAATGGGGCCCTGTGAATGCACACCCCAGCCAGGCTGCCCAAGCCTTCCTCACCAGTGCAGCTGGTGTCGCCAACGGTGACCCGAAAGGTGAAATTAGGCTGGTGGGCTTGGCCCTCGGCTTTGAGAAGGTCGTACACGGGCGTCTTCCCTATTCTGGTCCCATACTCCTGCAGAAGGCTGATCGGGGTCTTGCCCGGGTTGGCTGCCAGCATTTGCTCTATACTGGGGGAGGGGCACAGACCCTTCATCACACCTCCCCTCTCTGCACCCACCTGGCCAAGCACTGCCATTATCAGACCCATGCACACTATGGGGGACATAGGGTCCAGGAAACCTCAGGCAGCCACTGGCTGGGTTCAAGTGGAGTAGAGGTGCAGGCTGGGAAAGCAGGGTCCACTGCCCCAGGGCAAGCGGGGAAAGCACTGTTCCTGTCTCAGTTAGGGCGGGGGATCCTGTACCCCAGTGCGGGTTGGAAGTGCATGTCCCCTGACACAGTGCAGGCCAGGAACCCAGTACCCACCAAATGCACTGAATGTCGGGGGCATAAAGCCCAGTGCCCCAGTGCAGTCTGGGAACCGGGCCAACCCCAACTAGCTAAAGCTGGAGGCAGTGGCCACTGCCGGGGTGCATGCCGGGAACCACGGCCCACTACCCCAGTGCTTGCCGGGAACAACCCTCAGGCCAGGTGCATGCTGGGGCCGCGCCGCTACTCCCTCCGCACCGCGCCAAGCTCTGCGCCCTGCAGGGATCGGTACCAGGCGGCTCACCTGGGCAGCCCGCAGCCCGTGGTAGTGCCGGAGCCTTGCTCCTCTTCACTCATTCCCTCCTCCGTCCCCGCAGGCGCCACCGTGACTGCAGCCTCCACGCGCCCCAATACACCGCCGACGAGCTAGGGCCGGGGCCAAGCCCCAAGTCGCGGCCGGTCGGGCCCGCCGCGGGGCATGCTGGGATATGGAGTCCCCCACCCACTGGACTCTATGAGTCTCCATCAGGAGGGGAGCTATCCGCCCCACAACCCTCCGCGTGGTTCGTTCAGGCAGGCAGCACCGCCTTCTGGGAGGAGTGGACCCTTCCACTGTCACTTTCCGAGCTGAGGGTGGTTTTTTGGTTTTTTTGTTTTTAACAACGTCCCGCCTCCTTCCTTCCGTGTCTCCTCGCCCCACGGCTGGGGCTCGGGGCATGCGTACGAGTAGAGTGGAAGTGGCTGGGGGCGGGGCAGTAAGGGCGAACACGCGCCTAGGAAGGTGGGGAGGGAATGCTTCGGGTACCGAGAAAACTACAGAACCCAGGAGCTCCAGCGCCATCTTTGTCGCAGCTGGGAGGCAGCATGCGCGAAAAGTTTCGCGGCATAATTGGCTATTCCCGATTTTGCGTGCTCGCTCCAGGTGGATTGCGATTGGTTACCTCATCTAAAGGGGCGGGGACAAGGGAAGAGTCAACCCTCTTGACTCCGCCTCTTTCTTGAGAAAAGGTTGTGATTGGCCCAGGTGAGAGGCCGCTGTCGATTGCTGACTCTTTGCCGTCTGGGAGGGTGGGCCCTGCCAGGACGCGGGAGGTGACTATTTTCTGCCCCTCTGAGCTGGAGCAGTTGTAAATCCTCGTGCACCTCAGTCTCAGTTAGCCCTCAGCCTTTGGCCTAGTCCTCTGGCTCTCGGGCATTCGTCTTACAGAACCTGCTTCTTTTTCCTGTGTTGTCCTTCACCACCCTTCTCATTAATTCTGCAGCCTGTCGATTTCCGCTTATCTTCTAAAGCCTTTTTAGAATGGACCTACACCTTTTCCCCTTACGCTAGGAGATACCCTCCGGGGCCTGAGAATCAAGCTATAAGGGACAAGATTAGAAGGACTAAGGCACACAGTGGTCTCATTCCCCTCTGCCTGTGTCCCGGGTCTCATCAAAAGAGAGGGCAAGAGAGAATTCTGGCCTCTTAAGATTAATCGACTAATCTGTGAGGAACAGAACCCGTATTTTTGAGTCCCAGAGTTCTATTTCCTCCTCGCCAAAGTCTCACAGCCACTGGCGTGAAAGATGTAGGGAAATTTTTGTGACCTTGGAGAGAAAGAAATCACGAAAAATGTCTGTCTGACTCTAATGAGGGTTCTGGGAATGGGTCAGAGACAAGATGGGCTTGCTCCGTGCGGGGCTAGAGGTCCGGTGGAATCTTGGAATAAAAACGAGGGGTCATCCAGGAACACTGGAAAGGGACGGGGCGTTGAGCTGACTGGATTCCAGTTGGTGGACCCGGAGTGGTGGCAATTAGGGAAAAGAAGACAGGCAAGATCGTTTGGCAGGGGGAGCGATGCAAGAGCGCTGAGCGGAGGAGGGGGTTCCCATCTGAGGGGTTGCTGTCTCAGGGTATAGGAGGGAGCCTATAAGACCAGTCTATAGGGCTTAAGGTCGGGAGTGGGATCGCTCCAGGTCACCGCCAGCAGGGAGGTGCGAGGACCAGACGGGCCAGGGACTAGCCCGGAGCGTGCCGGATGGCAGCAGCGGGCTCCTTTAAGAGGCCGTGGCTCCAGCGCAGCATCCCCCGCTCAGGGCGTGTCCGTCCCGGGGGGCCTGGGGCGGGGGCCTCGGAAGGAGCGGGAGTTCAAGCCGTGTGAGGACGGGGTTTGGGGTCGGGGGGTGGGGGGAGAAAGCTGGAACTGACACACCCGTGCACCCGGACACCTCACGAGCATCGCCTGTGACGGCGCCCCTGGTCCGGTCGAGGGCAGCGGGGGGAGGCGGGAAGGAGGAGGAGAAGGAGGAGGAGGCGGGAGCAGCATCCGGAGCCGAGCTGCAGCAGCGCCGCCTTTTGTGCTGCGGCCGCGGAGCCCCCGAGGTGAGAGCCGGGCCGAGTTGTGGAGGGTGGGGGGCAGGGATGGGTCTGGGTCCTGGTATCCAGGTACCAGCGAGGGTCGGGACGCAAGATGTGGCGGGGTGTGGGGAGGGTGGCGCGGGGATGCTGAGACGGGATGGAGGAACTGGGGACCTGGACCCGCCGCTTGTGGGGATGGGAAGGAGGGGAACCGAGCCGAGGGACGCCGCGGCCCAGCTTGGAGGCAAGGGCCTCCAAAGCTGGAAAGGAGTGTATGGGGTGGGGGTGGGGGGATGATTGGGGGACAGACTTAAAGGACAGCGGGCAAGAGAACATCTTCCTCTCCTCCCACTCACCCTCAGGAAGGGGGAGAGGAAAGGAGGAGGAGGAAGAGTTTCAGCCCCACAGGGAAGGAGAGGAAGGACAAGGCCTCATGGGTCCCTCACTCCTCCTCCCCACCCCTCGCCCGCGCATCGGCACACTTTGCAGGCTGGACCTGAGGATTATAGGCAGACAGCACCTGTTCCTGGATGCCCAGGTGATGGTCATCTTCCCCTCCCCCATCCTTATATGGCTTTCTCCCTTCTCCATCTCCATCTGCTCTGGCTCCCCTAACCCATTTCCCCAGTCCAGGCCTTTCATGAACCTCCTGCCTTTTCCCTACACACTCCTTAAACTCCTTGGCCTAAAAATAAGCAAGAATCCTTTCCACAGAGTTAAAACTCCTCTAACCATGGCCTCGGCTAAGGGGTCAGAGTGTGCATGGACAGTGGAAGGAAATAGTGGGGTGTCCCTTAGAACTGAAGGAAAAGTCCCACCATTTAGCTCCCTCACCTGATCCCTCTTGGGAGGAGAGCAGGTCAGGGCCTTAGGAAGGGGTGCACACGAGGTCCCTCCCGCACTCAGGGTCCTCTGAAGCCACAGTCAGTGCCTCCCTCTAAACACCATTTCCCTTCCAGCTCACAGAATGGACTCCATGGCTTTGAGAGCTCTGATTTTTCAGCCAGAGGGTCATACCTAGGGAAGGCAAGTAGGAGGGATTTAGGAAGGAAAGGACCTGAGTAAAAGCCCTGGGTCTTCCTGTCCAGACACTGAAGGGTCTCTGAAGTTTTAGGGCTTGCTCTCTCCTATCTCACACTTTATGGTGGAAAAAAATTCTGCCCTCTCCAGCTGGCCACCCATCCACTCACTCACTCATTATAGGGACCGGGGGATGCTGGGAAGCCCAGTGGTGTGAGACACTAATGCCAGCACTTGTGAAAACAAGCAACTAAGTATCCATCCTGTAATTCAACCCAGTTAAGGGCAGGAGTCAAGAAGTTTACATAAAGTGGCTCAGGACTTCCTGGGTGTCCTTCCAGCTAAGGAAGGCAGAACCCATCTAAAATCTGACTGCTGTTTGTAGGTTCCTCCCTGAGAGGTGATGATGTGCTACTCTGGCTTTGCCAGGAAGAGGACCCTAAATTCTAGTATCCGCTACCCTGGATTCGCCCTGTGACATAGCACAGGCAGTTCCACCTTGCCCTGCTGGGCTGGGAGAAAGAAAGGATTAGGGAATCAACCCTTTCAGGAGTCCCTGTTGGGGCAGAACAGAGGATAGTGTGGAAATGACGCCAGCAGGGGACCCGGGAGCTTCACAATGGCTGGCCACAGACACTGGTCTGTCTGCTTCATGCTCCCAGAAGAACTAGGGGCAGCTGTGTGTTGGAGAAAGGTGATGAGGAGGCAGGGGTGTTTACTTCAGAGTAGACTAAGGGTCTTCCTCTGGTTCCTTCTTTCTTTCCTCCCTTTTCTATCCCCTGTGTTTACCCAACTTCCTCTCCATCTGTACCATCCCCTCTACCTCTTGCTTTGAGGAGGCAGACAGGGGAAAGAAGGGAAGGGACACCCTTTATAAAAACCTACTGCTGCTTGTTAGGTGCTTTCCATATGTTAATGTTTATAGGGAGCTTCCTGTAAGCCAGGTAACAGGCCCACGAACTTTATTTGGATCATCTCAGTACCGCTCATAACAATACTGAGAGGTAGTGTGATCATAATCTCTATTTTAGGGATGAGGAAACTGAAACTTAAAGAAGTAACTTGTTCAAAATCAAAAAATCAGTGGCCAAAGAGTTTAGGATTTGAATCCAGGTCTGTCTGACTCAGAGCCTATGTTCTTAGCCACGTGATAGCTTGCATTGCCACAGTGTGAATTAGTGAGCACTGTTCCCATTTAGAGATGAAGAAACTGAGGTTTGTTAAGTCTCAGGCAGGGACTTGGCAGGCGGTCCAGTGGTTAAGACTCCACGCTCCCAATACAGGAGGCACAAGTTCAATCCCTGGTCAGTGAACTAAGATCTCACATGCCTCATGCCACGTGGCCAAAAAAAAAGTCTTGTACTCCAGGTCACCCAGCTGGAGACTGCGGTCAAGAGCAGAGACAGGACCTCAACCAAGCCACTCTGCTTCTCCGGTCATCCATCCTCCCTCCCTATCTTACCGTCCAAGGCTGAGTGACAGAAATCGATAATAGACATTCTGTAATTTTCGTTTCTTCTTTTTCAACTTAAAATAGGTTTTTAAATTTCTTAATAAAATACCCACAATTCTATCTACTTAGAAATGGTTATACATTGGTATCTGTCCTTCCAGATCTTTTTCAATAGCACCTGGCTCAGGAACAATTTGTTAAAAAATACACAGAACTTCTTCCAGGCCCACCTGAAGTCCTGAGTAGCAGGGAACCCTGTGACCCACCATACCTTGCTCCTTGCCTCCCCTTCCCCTCACACCTTAACGGTAGGGCTGAGGGGTGATCCTGGGCCACGAGAGCCATGGGGTGCAGAGAAGGAGGCCTTCCTCCTCAGTTCAGAGGAGGTGGGATATAAGGATTTGCAGAGGAAGGACGGGGGGCTCTAGCACACCACTGCCATTGGGACCTGGTTCCCCAGGGACCTGAAAACAAGTTGTGTCCTGGGGAAACAGAAGGTTGGAGACCCAAGTCTCCCTTCTGACCAGAGAGAAGAGACGGCCTCTCCAGACTCCAGAATCTACAGAGAAAGACGTGGTGTCCAGCCAACCAGAAAGACAAAGCCAGGAGCCCGGCACTGTGCTAATGGCATTCCCTACATCATCTTACTTAACCCTCACTACCCCAAAAGGTACGGTTGGGAGTCTCAGAGGGATTATGGTCCTTAAACTAATTTGTGACAGAACCAAGGTTCTAGTTCTGATCTCTCCAAATCCAAAGCTGGTTCCTCTTTTCCTAAGCAGTACTGCCCCCTCCCAGCCCTTTCGGTACCCACTCTACCGGAAGAAGAGGTGGTGCTGGCTAGAGGTTTAGGGGCTAGACCTGTGTGAGGCTGGGGGCCTGGAGTTAGGGGTGATCTCCAGTTTTACCCTGGCTCTCAGGAGAAGGCATTCCCCCTCTCAGGAGGACACAACAGAAAAGCTGTAGTTCTTTCCAGCTGAAAATAATCCTGGGGCCAGGACCATGGATTCTGTAAGAAGCAAAACAAAAGCTGCAGCCAAGTGGCCAGGAGCCTTGGCCAGGAGGGGTTAGAGTCCTTTATTCTCTCAGGATCTCAAAGCCTGCACGGAGATAATTCCCCGTCCCGAGTCTTGGGTCTTCTTTCCCTGGGAAGACATTCCTTACACCCCCACTCAAGAGAGACAGGGAATCTTCCTCCCTTTCCTGAGTGCAAAACAAGAGTCCAAGACAGTGGCGAGGGCTCATTATGGGAGCCCAAGACTTAGACAGATGGCCTGGCCTCTCAACTGAACCCCCAAGACAGCCAGACAAGCAGCCCGGCGTTGACATTCTGCTGTTAAACAGGAGGGAGAGAGAAAAGACTTAAAGGGTTGCTTTGCCACAGGCCTCCAGCCTCTCAGGCAGGAGAACCAAGGTGGGGGCGGGGGGAGGTACTCCCTGCTGCCACAGTACCACCAGCAAACAGAGAATCTGGTACCTGAAACTGATTTGGGGCCTCCCAGGGTGTCCAGAGCCTCTTTTGCATAATTTTCAGACCACTCTGTGTCCATACCCGATCTGAAGCAGAGTTCTGCACAGTGAGCATTTGATAACTCTGGTTGACAGAATGACTGACAGATCCACCCTCTCCTGTCACATCCCAGCCCTTCCCCCATGCTCTGCATAATTGATGGCCAGGGAGACAGTTCCCCTCCCCCAGGGTGACCGAGTGTCTGGGCCAGGGGCTCCTAGCCATGTTATCGCCCTCCAAAGCCTCGGCGCCAAGGCCCAGCTGGGGGGCAGTGGGACACAGCTGGCAGGGCAGAGATAAAGGACAGAGAGAGAGGGTGTGTGCTGGGAGACAGGAATCTCTCCTTTACTAGAATTCCCTGGGGCCCCAGCTTCGCCACCTCCACTCCCCTCGCCACACACTCCTCCTTCACTCCTTCAGGTCAATCTGGAAGAGCTGTCATTAGCCTGAGAATGGGGAAAGGGTGGGTTGAGCCTGGCAGGGTTCTCTCTTCTTTCCTTTGGTCCCATCCACTACTTCTTCAGCTTCTTCCACTGCCCGAAAAGACAAACAGGTGAAATGGCTTCTCTCTCTCCCCAGCTGCCGGCCCTGGATACAGGAGGGCCCCCTGGGGAGGCCTGGGCAGCTGGAGAAAAGATCAGCTTAAAGTGTCATAGAGCGTGTCACCCTCTCTATGCCTAATCCTCCTGGTTGCCAAACACCAGATGAAGGCTGAAAAATTCCTTTAAAAAGCCAGGTGTTGTATCTACTTAGACTCAGCTTCTAAATAGGAAAGGAATCGGGGAGGGCACAGATCTGTTCTTTAATCCCCTTTCATTCAGCTCCTTTTTCCGTGTCCTTTGCTTCCCAAATCAGTTTTTCAGCCCATCCTTCTTAGGACTGCCTCTCCCTGCGTTTCACGCTCTTCTGTTTGTCAGGTAGATAGGCCCTCCTTTTCTGGTCTGCCTTTCGCCCTTTCTCCTGCCCAGTCTCCCCGTATTCCTATTTCCTGCTTTCTCTACGGCACCGCACCCTCAGTGCCGACCCAAGTCCCCTCTCTCCACCACCACAGCTCTCCCTCCCACCTCTCGGGGACGGGGGTGGACATGGGGAAGACGGGACGCAGAGGTGGTGGGTAGCTGGGGTCGGTGGTCCCTGCCTGCGAGCCCGCAACCAGCACGTGGGCCAGCCCAGGTCAGGGGCGGGGCCCGGGCGCAGCCCCACCCCCGCGGTCGCCGCTCACGTGACTCCGGGCTAATCTTGTCCCGGTGACTTCACGCGCCGCCTCGGGTCCAGTCGTCATGGTTACGCCGCAGCGCCCAGCGCTTCCCCCAACCCGCTGCGTCCCTTCCCGACCCCCTCCTCTCGCGGCCGGGCCCCCGCCCCGCCCTCAGCCCCGCTCCACGTGACGGCCAGGAAGGAGGTCGGGAAGGGGGAGGGGGCGCTGGGGCCGTAACCCCTTCCTCTCCGCTGCGAACCGCCCTCACTCTGGCTGCTAGCTGTCTGAGCGCCCCAGTCCCGCTAGCCACCCCTGCAGACCCGCCCGGGCGGAGCGCCGGGAGCCCCAGCCTTCGTTCTCAGCGGTCCAAAGGGGCGGCCGGCTTGAGGGGGCGCAGGCAAAAGCCCTGGAGTTCTCCAGCGAATTGGCACGTTGCTTGGCCTGCCATTTGTCTTACTATGTGCATCTCACTTCCGTTATCTCGCAGGATATGTTGGGGGTCCGGAGGCTGGGATTTCATCTTTCTGAGCCTCGGTTTTCTCAAGAGTGTAAAGAGACTTATAATAATACCTCCTTCTCTGGGAGCTAATGCTTGCGTAGGGTACATGTGGTCCTTAGGACGGTCCTCGGCTGCATAGAGCAGTGGTTGCACCTAACTGGGCACCTTCATGCGCTCTGGATGCTGTTGGAAGCCCTGGGATCCCGTGTTGCGTCGTCACTCTCAGGAGTACAGGCTCTCAAAGGAACCAGACGCCCGACCGCACTGTGCCTCCAGGATCATGGGAGCCATGATGGAGGAAGCACAGCTCAGAAGGGACATTAACTCAGAGCACGGGGAGGGGGGCCACTTCCAGGATGAAGTGAGACTTGGAGGACAACAGATGGTGTGTGAGAAGCACCTTCCAGACTGAGAACGACTGGGCACTGAGCTGGAGCCTCATCCTAGCTGAAGTGCTTTGGGCAGGTTATTTAAGACCTCTAATACCTCTGTCAAATGAGAGTAACTTAACACGCCTAAGTTAAGAGATTTTAGGATGAAATAAGCTAATGGACCTACAACAGAGGCTAATGTGGGTGGTAGCTTTCCGTAAGTGTGAGCCATTCTCATTAGGTGTCCTGGCCCAAACACCTGATGAAGCTGGGGAACAGTCTCGATTCAGTATGGCCTGGGTATGAACAGCAGTGGATAGTGAGGCTGGGGAGGGACCAAGAGCATGGAGGTGAGGCTACAGGACCAAGGAGGGGCTACTAGAGGGTCTGAAGAAAAGGGGAGCTCCAAAAGGCCAATTTGTGCTTTAGAAAGATCCTTGTAAAGGGTGGGTGGAGAATGGGGTGGAGGAGGGTCTTGGAAGAACTTGGAGACCATTCAAGGGGCAGTTGTCCTAGGTCAGGTGACAGCTAATGAGGCCTGAATTAAGGCAGTAATGTGGAATAGAGAAGAGAAACTAGTAAGGCATTGGTTCTGGCCTTTCCCGATGTTCCAGGCATAAGAATCACCTCAGGTGCTTGTTAAACACTTAGGTATTTGAGAGACCTGGAAATGGTTACAAGAGCTGAGCCCATCAGAGGTGCCAAGCCTCTCTGTGCATACATCCCCCCAACCAGGGAGTCCTTTTTATTGTAGATTCCTGCCACCCCTCTCCAGTAGTGACTCAGAAGCTCCAGTGCAGGGGGTCAAAGAGGGACCCTACTATACTGAGTAGTTGTTAGAGAGGAATTTTGGCCTCCGAAATCCCTACCTCTCAGAATCTGGTAACTGGCAAGATGTGGTGGGAGATGGAAGATGAGATGACTTCTGGTGTCAGGCTGAAAAATCTGTACCTGAACGATAGCTAGTCTGTCCTTTTGTGCAGTTGGAGAAATCAAGGCTCAGAGACAGCTTGGCTGAGGTCAGCTATCAATTGAGACAAATCTCCATTGATAGGAAAGCTAGGAAGTAGGGGATAGAGTAATGAAGAGGAAAGGAGATAGGCCCTTCTCTAACTGAGCCCTGAGGGAGCAGCTGGACTAATAGGAGGGATAACATGGGGTGGGGGGTGGAGAGGGGGAGATGCAGTGAGTAGGCTGCACAGCCTGTCCTGACAGTTTCTGCATCATCCGTGGACACTTCTACCTTTTTCCCTCTGTCTGTGCTGGGCACAGAACTGATCGGCTGTCACTTGGATCAGCCCAGGTGTGTAGCTGTGAGCACCTGAGAGAGAGACCCAGATGTGAGCCTTGAGTGTGCCTTAGGATAAGACTCTCAGCAGGATCATGTATCAAGTGCATGAGTGTGAGGCCCAGGTGTATCACATGGACACAGGAGGGGTGGAAATGTCATCTGAGAGTGCCTGAGCGGCACAGTCTGAGCAGTGTCATCTGCCTTTGCTTCAATGCGAGGGAGGCCTACATGTTACTGTTAATGTGTGTAAGATTGAGACTCAAAGTAAAAGTTGGGTATCTGAAAGACCCTCATACAACACATGTGTGCACCTGAGCCTCAAGTGAAAGAAACATGTTTTCCAGAGGTGATTACACTAATCTTACAGGGAGAAGGGAACTAGTCTGTTACCATACTTGAGATTGGGACATATTTTCCCAGTATCTACCTGAGCAGGGCTGTTAGCTGTGTCTGCCTGAGAGTGATACTTAGGTATGTTGCCTGTATACCTGAGTAAGGAAGACTTAGGTTGCTAGTAGATGCTAGAGAGGAAGCCTGTGTATCAGGTTTCCCAAGATGGATCCCAGGTGAAACTTGGAGGTAGATGGGTGCCTGAAGCTATGCGTTACTTCTAGGAGTATTCTTGTGTGCCTAGCTCCCCAACTCATGCCTCTGCCTCTATGTACCTGAGCTGGGCACCTGTGGCTTTGACAGCTCCTCCCTCTTTTTCCCACAGGGCCCACTGCTTACCACCACACTGGGGCCCAGAGGCCATGGCCTGCCTCCATGAGACCCGCACACCCTCCCCTTCCTTTGGGGGTTTTGTGTCCACCCTAAGCGAGGCATCAATGCGCAAGCTGGACCCAGACACTTCCGACTGCACCCCCGAGAAGGACCTGACGCCTACCCAGTGTGTACTCCGAGACGTAGTGCCACTCGGGGGTCAGGGCGGGGGTGGGCCCAGCCCCTCCCCAGGTGGAGAGCCGCCCCCTGAGCCTTTTGCCAACAGTGTCCTGCAGCTCCACGAGCAGGATGCAGGGGGCCCAGGGGGAGCCACTGGGTCCCCTGAGAGTCGGGCGTCCAGGGTCCGAGCGGATGAGGTGCGGCTCCAGTGCCAGAGCGGCAGCGGGTTCCTGGAGGGCCTCTTCGGCTGCCTGCGCCCTGTCTGGACCATGATTGGCAAAGCCTACTCCACGGAGCACAAGCAGCAGCAGGAAGGTAGGCTGTGTCCATAAGGGGGACCTTTCCCTGTCTCCCTAAGCCCGAGATCTGTTTGGACAGCCACACCAAAGTCATCCGATGACCCTTTTCACCGCCCCCCAGAGCCCAGCCCCTGCCCCTTATTTGTCCATCAGTCACTGACTGCCCAGCTTTATTTCAGGCCACCTCTTCGTTTCCTCCCCTGTCCCCTCAAATCTAATCTTCTTGGCCCATTTTAGGTGCTTTTCTACCTCACCCTCCTTGAGTCATTTCAGCCAACCCCAGGCTTTCCCCCGTGCCTGACCACCCCAAGGCCCTGAGTGTGGCTCTCTGAGCCTATGGCACTGTACCTCCTGTCCACAGACCTTTGGGAGGTCCCCTTTGAGGAAATCCTGGACCTGCAGTGGGTGGGCTCAGGGGCCCAGGGCGCCGTCTTCCTGGGGCGCTTCCATGGGGAGGAGGTGGCTGTGAAGAAGGTGCGGGACCTGAAGGAAACTGACATCAAGCACCTGCGAAAGCTGAAGCACCCAAACATCATCACCTTCAAGTAAGGTCCAGGGCAGGGGCCGTGGTACTCTGCCCTCAGCGTACTCTGTTGAGGGCAGAGACCTACTTGGGTAGCAAGGGATCTTCCTGCAGTGGGTGCCTGCAGTGGGTGCCAAAACGGCACAGTTGGGAAGGGGGTACCAGGTGTGAATCAAGGGGCTGTTGGGATGGCTGAGGCCTTCATCCCACTGTGTTCGGCCCCCAGGGGTGTGTGCACCCAGGCTCCCTGCTACTGCATCCTTATGGAGTTCTGCGCCCAGGGCCAGCTGTACGAGGTGCTGCGGGCTGGCCGCCCTGTCACACCCTCCTTGCTGGTTGACTGGTCCATGGGCATCGCTGGCGGCATGAACTACCTGCACCTGCACAAGATTATCCATCGAGACCTCAAGTCCCCCAAGTGAGTAAGCGAGCAAGCAGAGAGAAGCGTCTGCAGTCTCCATAGGTATCCCCACCCAGGGCAATGTGGCCATCTCCCTGCTTTCAGACCCTGCTCTAAAGTCCACATGGCCATGTCAGAAACCCTCCCCAAGTGACAGCCCTATCTCGAGAGGGCTGTGGTAAGCCCTCCGTTTCTGGGTGTCCCAAATGACTTCAAACAGTAAGAGTTGCTGCAGCTAGACGAGGCGCGTGGAGGGGCGCGGACCCCAGCTGACTACACTCTTTACCAGCATGCTAATCACCTACGACGATGTGGTGAAGATCTCCGATTTTGGCACTTCCAAGGAGCTGAGTGACAAGAGCACCAAGATGTCCTTTGCAGGGACAGTAGCCTGGATGGCCCCTGAAGTGATCCGCAACGAACCTGTGTCTGAGAAGGTTGACATCTGGTGAGGGCCAGGTTGAGGCCTGAGGGTCGCAGGTGGCCAGCGGGGGCTGGGGAGAGGGTTGTTCCAGGGCCTGAGTGCATGTGAGATCAGCCTGCAGTAACCAGGGCCTCTGGAAGAGGCCCTCCTCCAAAGTGAGGTCCCCTCTTTTCCCTAGGTCCTTTGGTGTGGTGCTGTGGGAGCTGCTGACTGGTGAGATCCCCTACAAAGATGTAGACTCCTCAGCCATCATCTGGGGTGTGGGAAGCAACAGTCTCCATCTACCTGTGCCCTCCAGCTGCCCAGACGGCTTCAAAATCTTGCTTCGCCAGTGCTGGTAAGGACACCTGGGAAGCAAGGGAGTATGGATGATGGTTAGCCAGCACCCAGGACCCAGCATCCAGGCCCAGAATTCTCAACAGCGAAAGGGGAACCGTGCTCCCAGATATGGCTCTCCAAGGCCCTAGGACTCAGTGTGGATCAGGGGCACTAGGATAAAGAACTGAGAGAAGTTGGAGTGACCAACAGTCTGCAGGGGTGTATGTGACCTATTTCCTTATCTGCAAAGTAGGGACAGCAATGTCTGATATAGAGGGTGCTTATCAAGTGCCAGTGAAGGACCAGCACAGCCGCTAAGCGTGGCTGGTTGGACCCTCAGGTAGACTGCCTCAGAACACTCCCTGGAAGGCCAGGGCCCTGCATCCTTGTTTGGAACCTAGACCATGGAGGAAGGTGGAAGATTTCTAATCTTTCATTAAGCATTTCCTGAAGTGTTTTTTTAATGGAGTTACTCAAAAAGGTTTGTTTTGGCAAACAAGTTGGAAGACAGAATTAAATAGGTTTCCTTACTGCAGGACTTTGACATACTACAGACCGATTGTAACATGTCCTGGCTAGTTGACCAGGGAATCCTTTTGTCACAGCAAACATTCTAGGGTTGGATTCTCCAGGACCAGGACACACTTTTGGAAAAGGTGCTCTAATTCCTTCCTGAACCTCCCTGAAATGCCTCTCCCCCCTTCCATCTAGGAACAGCAAACCACGAAACCGCCCATCATTCCGACAGATCCTACTGCATCTGGACATCGCCTCAGCCGACGTACTCTCCACACCTCAGGAGACTTACTTTAAGTCCCAGGTGTGCTGTGGAGAGGAAGATGAATGCCCCAGCTCCCTCTCTTTGCAGAAATAATGATACCCTTTGAGGGGAGGCTGGGAAGAAGGGTGGCTGGGGATGGGTAGATCAGCTCTTGAAGGGCTGGGACCTGTCTTGGTTGATCCTGTGCCCCAATCCTTTGGGCTCCCACACAGGCACCTGCAGAGGCTTTCTACAGGTCTGCCAGGTAGAGGGATGTCCCTCACTGCTAAATGTCTCTCCACCCCCAGGCAGAGTGGCGTGAAGAGGTAAAGCTGCATTTTGAAAAAATTAAGTCAGAAGGGACCTGTCTGCACCGCCTAGAAGAGGAGCTGGTGATGCGGAGGAGGGAGGAGCTCAGGTGTGTGCCTGTGTTTGGCAAGGTGACTTCAACTGCAGGGCCAGTAGAGCAGTTCCCAGAGACTGGGATAAATGACGGCAGCAGGTGAAGCCAGCTCACCTCTGAACACTTCTACCCATTTCAGACATGCCCTGGACATCAGGGAACACTATGAGCGGAAACTGGAGAGAGCCAACAACCTGTACATGGAACTTAATGCCCTTATGTTGCAACTGGAGCTGAAGGAACGGGAGCTACTCAGGTAACCACAGACGCCCTCATGCACCAACTCCCATCTTCCTGAAGCTGTGCCTGACTCCCAGAGTCTGCTGAGCCTTGGCCCAGCTTCCTGGTCACATGCCTAAGGTGTTTTGTCTTTAGGAGGGAGCAAGCTTTAGAGCGGCGGTGTCCAGGTCTGCTGAAGTCACACCCTTCCCGGGGCCTGCTGCACGGGAACACAATGGAGAAACTCATCAAGAAGAGGAATGTCCCACAGAAACTGTCGCCCCACAGCAAAAGGTAGGACCAACCAGAATTGACAAGTGCCATGATTCCAGAATGGCAAGGGGATGCTGGAGAGACAGGTATAGGGCTCGAGAGTGCCAGGATGATGATACTTAGGTGGGTGAGAAGTGCCTCTTACTGCCTACGTAATGTGTTAAATCTCCAACTTGCACTTTCCCTCTCCCACCAGGCCAGATATCCTCAAGACTGAGTCTTTGCTACCCAAACTAGATGCAGCCCTGAGTGGGGTGGGGCTTCCTGGGTGTGCTAAGGGCCCCCCCTCACCAGGACGGAGTCGCCGTGGCAAGACTCGTCACCGCAAGGCCAGCGCCAAGGGCAGCTGTGGGGACCTGCCTGGGCTTCGTGCAGCTGTGCCACCCCATGAACCTGGGGGACCAGGAAGCCCTGTGGGCCTAGGAGGGGGACCCTCAGCCTGGGAAGCCTGCCCTCCAGCCCTCCGGGGGCTCCACCATGATCTCCTGCTCCGAAAGATGTCTTCATCATCGCCAGATCTGCTGTCAGCAGCACTGGGAGCCCGGGGCCGGGGGGCTACTGGGGGAGCTGGGGATCCTGGCTCACCACCTCCAGCCCGGGGAGACACACCCCCAAGCGAGGGCTCAGCACCCGGCTCCACCAGCCCGGATTCACCAGGGGGAGCCAAAGGGGAGCCACCTCCACCAGTAGGACCTGGTGACGGTGTAGGGCTGCTGGGAACTGGAAGGGAAGGGACGGCGGGACGGGGAGGAAGCCGGGCTGGGTCCCAGCACTTGACCCCAGCCGCACTGCTGTACAGGGCTGCCGTCACCCGAAGTCAGGTAAAGTATGGGACACATCCTGAGCTCTTCCCCGTCCCTCCTCCCCATTGTCGCTCCCACCTTGGGTTCCTTATCTCAAACCATTCCTGACACTTTATAACCTTGTTTCCTTATCCTGAGTTCTTGGTCTCTTTCCTCCTCTGACCAGTCTGCTCCTCTCTTACAGAAGCGTGGCATCTCGTCGGAGGAAGAGGAAGGAGAGGTTGACAGTGAAGTGGAACTGACCTCAAGCCAGAGGTGAGTGACGGAGATAGGAGGTAATGCATTCTTCCCTTTCCAAACTGTGAGGTCTAGTCAAGCTCTAATCCTGGTTGTCCCCACAAACAGGTGGCCTCAGGGCCTGAAAATGCGCCAGTCACTCTCTACCTTCAGCTCAGAGAACCCATCAGATGGGGAGGAAGGCACAGCTAGTGAGCCTTCCCCCAGTGGTACACCTGAAGTTGGCAGTACCAACACAGATGAGCGGCCAGATGAGCGGTCTGATGACATGTGCTCACAGGGCTCAGAAATCCCACTGGACCCACCAGCTTCTGAGGTGGTTACTGGCCCAGAACCCAGCTCCTTGCCCGTCCCACACCACGACCTACTCAGAGGGGAGCAGGTACGTCACACCAACTAGGTACTGACCAGGGAGACACCTGGACCATTTGAGAGCTACTGGGGAGATAGATGCACAGGCCAGAAAGATAGGTCCTTAGCCTCTATGTCACTCTGTAGCTGAACCTGTTCTCTCCATACTGAAGATGAAGAGCAAATATTCACCTGGTAGAATCTAGGAGGTTTAGACTACTTACTAAAGTTGCTTGCATGCTACCTAGAAATTGCAACCAGGGGGAAATCCTGAAAGTCTGGTGCCTTGGAGAATGGCCTGAACAACTGCTATTTAGAGACAGTAAAATCACTAACTTGACTACAAAGATCTCAGTGGTGGATTCTGAAGGAATCTATTTGCCAAGATGCTGAGTCTCACCTCACTGCCTTTTTTACAGGGCCCTCCCAGCTCTGAGGACTCAGACTGTGACAGCACTGAACTGGACAACGCCAACAGTGGTGAAGCCTTGCGGCCCCCAGCCTCCCTCCCTCCATGAAAGCCACCCTTATCCCTGTACATAGAGAAATATTTATATAAGTAATATATATGCGCCACATAATCAATAAAGACAGGGCTGTCCCAGCCTTAAGTTGGGCTCAAGGGAGACTGACCCCTAACCAAGTCACCTGATAAACTCTAGGGACACTGGCAGCTGTGGAAATGAAGGATAAATACTGCCCTAGAGATATGGTTAAGGGCAAACTGGCCCCCTCCTGCTTCACCCCAATGAATTTGGCCAGTGGTGAGGCAACATGAAAGTCCAACTTGTTCCTCTGCTTTTTCTGCCCAAACCCTACGGAGCAGGAAAGGGGGCCATGTAGACTGCACTTTTTTTTGTTTTCTGTTTACTCTGTTTACACATTTTGCACTTGGGAGGAGGGAGGCTAAGGCTGGGTCCTCCCCTCTGAGGTTTCTCAGGTGGCAATGTCATTTCTTTGTCCCTCCATTTCTCTGCCCAAGCCCTGGCTTAGGGCCTAGGGGAGGCCAGGAGATTGTGAAAGCATGTGATGGCTCAGGCTGAAGAACTAGGGTGTTGTTTTAAGTCCCTACTTTTTATCTTGGTGCCTGACTGGGGTGGGGACTGTCATATTGTAACCCCTGTGAAAAACCTTGAAATATAACCACTCCATGCAGGCCCAGCTGTTGAGGGTTTTCTTGGTGAATGAATGGGGTAGCTTGCATGGTTTAAGTAGGAGCCCTGGGCTTTGGAAATTACCTAAAACGCTGAATGACTTGCTCCTTTTATGCTTTAAATACTAACCATTTAAGAGTACCAACCTAAAACCTGCATAAACAGGAGGTCTATTTTTATAAAGGATTGTAGTAGGACAGACCTTAAAAACCACCCATCCTTATTAAACAGGAGAGTGATGTCTCGACAAGGGTGTAGATATATTCCCAGGAAGGTGAATCCCAGTGAGACAAATTCTGCTGCTTCCATGTGTATGCGTGTGCACCCTTCCAGTGGGAAGTGCTTGCTTACACTTTGCAGACACGTCTTAAACTGTAATCCCCGTTCTTTTGGACCAAGGGCACAGCCAGCTTGCTATAGCTATTATTAAGACCACTTTGCAATGCAGGCTCAAGGGCTACAGAAAAAGATGGGAGTGGTAAAACAGAAGAAAACATCTTCACTGGAATAAACACTTATATTAAAAACCCAAGCAGGGTCCTTATCCTTTTGAGGAATAAAAAGTGCAAAAATAACAGCAAGACACCAGAATAAAACCCACATGAAATCACTGTGGCATCCAGTTTCTATTCACAAAGAAAAAGCTCCAGTCCATCTTTTAATTTTTTTGAAAAATTCCTGACATTACAGAACTAAACTGAAATGTATTAATATTCCACTCTTACATTTCCATGACAAACAAAAAAATTCATGAGCCAAAAAAAAAAAAAAAACAGGGAGAAGCTTATAAAACTAAATATGGATCTCAGCATTAACAGCTGAACAGAGAAAGGAATTAAAACGCTTTAATTAAAAAATCACGAGTGGATGATAAAGTGTGTAGAAACTGAAAATTTACAAACTATTTAAAACCTGGAATCGCTGACTGTTCAGAAACTACACAGATGGATCATGGGTGGTGGTGAACAGCAGAAAGGGATTATGGATGAATCTGCATTGTTCTAGCTGCTCCCCATGCCACCCGTCTCCGAGGAAAGCCTGTAACACACACACAAAAAAAAAACTCGAAGTTAGTTTCCTGAGTGCCCAGCAGTACTTCACCTCCAAAACTTTCAGTCTGGTTGGTAAGATGTGAAGGAGTACATAAATCTTGTTTCTGTATAAAGGGAGACATTAATTTTAAGATTTGTTGGGTTAATCAGTACCGTGGTCCTATGTAACACCCCTGCAATCCAAGCTTCCTAGGGCAAATCACCTCAGAACCATAGTTCTCAAACCATGCTCTTCATACTATCTCTGTGGGATACGTTAAGTTAAGCATTCTCAAAAATACACCACACACACAAAAGCCTCCTCTTAGGGGGTCACAATACACAGAAACTTTACTGCCCAGCTTTATTTTGGCTTCTTCCAAACTGACAGAACAGTTCTGGGTTTCTCTATCAATGTAAAGACTATTAAGAGGTACTAGTGTTTTAAAAACTAAGCCATGTTAAAGAGGGAGCAAGTATAGTAAGTTTGGATTAAGAATTATACTCAACCTACAATTTTTAGGTCTAATTTTCAAGACTTGGGAGTGGAAGTCAAAACCATTTTCACCAACTCCCTAGCTTGGTCTAAGAGCCCCCCAATTTGTGGTCCTGTTAGGCCAAACTCTCCATTCAAACACATCTGGCAACAATGCCTGTTTCAAATAGATCATTTGAAGTCCTGGAATCCAGTTTGGAGCTTTGAAGAAAAGGTCTTTAGGTGTTCAGTGATCAGCCTGCTTCTGATATTATTAGGTAGCCAGGAAGACTTGGCTCCCATTTTGAACAGAGCTAAATGTCTAAGACCCAGTCTCATTTTTACCTTTTTCTTTCTTTTTTGGGGGTGGGGGGGGCGTGCGGGCAGCACACTTCAGGGTTTCCCTGGTGGCTCAAGACAGTTTAAGGAATCTGCCTGCAATGCAGGAGACCAGGGTTCAATCCCTGGGTTGGGAAGATCCCCTGGAGGAAGGAATGGCAACCCACTCCAGTATTCTTACCTGGAGAATCCCCATGTACAGAGGAGCCTGACAGGCTACAGCCCACAGACACAACTGAGCGACTAAGCACCTAATAAGCACAGCACACCCTCACCTTGGGGCATGTGGAACTTCTCCATGCCCCCTGCAAAGGAAGTGTGGAATCTGAACCAATGGACTACCAGGGAAGCCCCTCACTTTATAACTTTATTTCATAAAGAATTTAAATGTAATGGCATTCCTTCTCAAGAGAACATGAATACTTCCCCATCTGAATCTCTTCCAAAATAATGCAAATTGAAAAACTGGCCAAGGGGAAAGCCAGGAAACACAGAGGTCCTTCAATTAAACTGCATATAGTTTCAAGTCAGAAATTGTATTTTGACCTCAGTATAAAGGAGAACAGTAGTTCTTAATAGGGGACAGATTCTTGCCAACCTCAAAATGGGATGATGTAGGGCAACATAAAAAACAGACCAATAATCAAAGACTTAAATGGGAACTGAAGGTTCAGGAAAGGAGCTGCTGCAAACAGATCTAAGACTTAAAAAAATTAGTAAGTTCACACAAGAAGGTGGTGGCACTCTGACACCAAAAAGAACTCAAAAAGAATTGTCCAGGATTTATACCCAGTGTGGGCAGGAATTGGGGGTGGCAGGTAAAGAGAACAAAGAGCAGGGAAAACCCAACTAAAATATATCAAGGACTCTAGACAAGAAAGACCACATGGGGGAGCTGTAGGCTGCTAAAAAATTGAACACCAAAGACCTCTGGATGTGATTTTAGTCAGCACTTTCAGGGGAAACAAAAACTGACTTTCTTCCCAGCAATCCTTTAGGGAGTACTCATTAGGTAAAGAACTAGGTAAAAATTTAAAAAAAAAAAAAAAAGGTTTCTAGGGAGAGATGGTATCAGCAAGCTTTTAAAAAAAGCTTACAAAGGAGCGCTGCACCACATGATAAAGCATCATCTAACAACCAACAAAAGCCCTATCTGGACAATGAAATTCACCCCACTACTCCTTCATGCTGATTTGTTTACACTAATTCACAGCCCCAATCTAAAACTGAGGGGCAACAATAGTGTAGTTAATATACTGTAATATAATTAGGTCTTTTAAACAATGTAAGCCGAAGGGGGATGTGGGAAAAGGTCACAGGAAAAAATCTCCACACTGGTTCTCCTAAGCCCTAGGAGCATTGTGCTTTCATTACCCTGACAATATACATTCAGGCTTATTAGAGGCCTTCCACCATTTTACTTAGGGCATCTCTTATGGAGAGAGAACTGTGATCTTGGGATATAAAAAAGAATAAGGCGGCTTTGGAGAAATTAGAACAATCTTAAGTGGATCAATGAGTTAAAGTTCATCTTACAGGTTTCCTTCCAAATCTAGGTCTTTAATCCTCTAAGTATGACAGGGTTGGAGACAGAAAGGTTAGAGGGGATAGAAGGGTAAAAGGACCTGTTCGAGTAATCAGAGTTGATTTAAGATAAACAGGCAGGATCTTGCCAAATTTGAGGCAATGTCACAGGTTGATTGTTTGAGATTTAAGTAATACTAGTTCAGAGGAATGCAGACAGAAGCTGGCAAACTTTATTAGACTTTTCCCAACTTGCCTCCCCATTCTGGGTAAAGAAAAAACTTCTTTCCTTCACAGCAGTCAACTAAAGTTCTTACTGTGGCAACTTTATTACAACTAGAAACACAAATATGGCCAAGAAAGACAGCTGATAACTTAACCATGAAATAATTAAAAGAAAAAAAAAGTTAACGGAGAAATTTTTATTCATTAACACAGAGCCTAACACATTGTTATATTGCAAGGCAGAATAAAGCTACAAAAAAGTAACAGAATGAGAAAGAAGAGCAAGAACTGTGGCTCTAGATAAAGAATTCAACAAGTCAGACTCTGAAACAGGCACTCAGCAGAAATGGCCTAAACCTAAACACAGTTTACCATAGCCCCTACCCCCACCCTGTCATCCCCCCGAAACAGTAAAAAGGAAACGATCACAAGCTCACAATTGTTTGGTTCTCACCAATATTAACAAAGGGAAAAAAAAAACAAGAAATACTTGAGGGGGTGCCCCAAGATATAGGCCATCAGTAGGGAGAGAATCTCTGTTTCTCGCCTTTCAGTTTGTTAGTTACACATGGCACAGCAGAGGTGGTGGTGGTGGTAGCTGAAGCCCCGGTACCCTTAGCAGCAGACACAACATTTAGAGCCAGGAGAGGGATGGGTTTCATGCCAAGCAGACTGGAGACACAAGGGGCGGTCGGAAGAGGGTTGGGGAGGCTGGAGGGTGCGTCGGAGGTCCCCGCTGTGGCGAGCGAGGGGGTGGTGGTGGAGGAGGAAGAAGAAGAAGAAGGGGTGGAGGGTTGAGAGAGGTTGATGCTGAGGTGATCGGGGATCGTGACGGAGGCTGCCTGGGAGGAGGGTTTAGCGTTTTCTAAACTGTAACAGAGGAAAAAAAGGAACAAAAAAAAAAGGGTGGGTGGAAGGGAAGACCACAAAAGGGAAAAGTACAGGACAAAATCCGCTTCAGTTATCAGTAAGTGCCTCTGGTTGCCAATTAGGAAAACTTATATCAGCTTGTGACAAGCTTTTATTCTGTGTCCCACCCTCTAAAAATGTATACTTTGCCAAATTTCATTCCAATGCTATTGAGAACTTCTATGGTGAAGAAAAGGCTGACAGACTGAGAAAACACATCACACACTTTCATGTACCTGACACACTGATCCAACCCAAAGGCTTTCAAGCAGAAAACGAAAGAACGCTCATCACTTTCCAAACAAATAAATGTTTCATCCACCAAGCACTTGTGAAGCTTAAATTGTTTTTTCCCTGTAATTAATATCAAAAATTTGTTTCCATTGCCAGTCAACTAACCAATATATCAGGATGGAAAGGGACAAGAGCCCAAAGTAGGTCACTCATTTCAAACTCTGTAGCCTTTTTCAATGAAAACTGCTAAAAACAAAAGCATAGATAAGCCTTATTTCTGGTGATGGGTGAGGAGAAAAGCAGCTTCTTTTGTTTAACTGACCATGCTTCTCACATAGACTTTACAAAACTAGAGAAGAGAAACTTCATGCACTGCTGAAAAACTCAGTTTAATCAAGTAAAAACATCACTTCTACTTCTAAGTAACAGTGATGACTTGTAGCTCCCAATGCCTGCATGGGTCTATGCCAGAACTGCAGGTATGTGCTGAAGTCTGTTGGACATCCTAAGGCACAAGACTAACTCTTCCAAAGCAGGGATGCTCCTCAAGACTCCCATTTTGTCTACCTAAATCCAAGGATAGCTGCAATCCATTAAAAGCTGCCAGAATCAGCAGAAACTCTAAAAGTCCATTACTAAAAACAGAGAATCTTTCTTGCCTAGTATTCATAATAAAATCAGTTTGCTTTGTGTTCAAATTCGGCCAATGTGAGAAAATGAGTTAGCTGTGTGCATGCATAGTCCTTGCTCGGTAATAAATCAAGTTTTTAAAAAGTTCTGACCCAAATCCACAGCTTGGACAGTTTCATATAAAAAGGATGGTCCTGAAAAGACTGACTAACTCAGGAAATGAAGATGGACCCAAGTTCTGCTTCCTTACGACTTAGCTATCAATTTAGTAGAGGGGTCAGGCAAGTAGGTTACATGGAAACACTATCTGACAATATTCAGTGCACATCTACTCAAGCAGAGGCTTCCAGCTTCTAAGAACGTAATCCTTCCCTCTTAACAATACAGCACCAAAATCATCAACAGGGAAACAAACCCTTGCAAACAACAAGAAGATAGAAAGCAGATCTAGGTACAGAAATCTTTTCTACACAAAGACAAGAAAATACCTCAAGGCATGAAGAGATATGATAAAAGTTGGAACCACTACTGGGAAACTTATAAATTCTTAGGGGATAAAAGACCATGGAATAAATACATGGTCAGCATAAGCATGACAAAAAATAGACCCCATACCATACTTAGAACTCCTTTCCCTGCACTAGATTTAAGAACCCATAGAATTTGTCTGTACAACAGAGACCAACTAGTTGTGACAGAGATAAATAACTTAGATAAAGTCTACATAAAAGGGATAACTAACTCCCTTAGGGAATGGGCTGCTAATACAGCTTTAAGATGTTAGTAAGCAATTAAGAACATGACTTAAGCACATGTGCTGAGAAAGCAAGAAATACAAATGCCTTGCAGGATGCCCACTAACTGTAACAGTGCTGCTACAACTCTGTGTGTTAACATTAGCTACCTTAGGGTAAGAAAAGTAAAACCTCAGCAGGTCAATAAGGGATGAGATGAGATGGTGGGGGATAAAGAAAATACTAAGCATTTCTAAAAATTTCCAATACCTGTACCTCTCCTTTCACACAAGCTCTAAACAATGGAACACAATGGCACAAATGGATGTGTTCAGAATAAACGGTAATGACTGCTTCAAAGAAACTACCTTGCTGTCATTATCCTTATTTCAATTAAGGGTGCTTGGGAGCCTAAACCCAGTGAAGTATTAGTCTGTATGACACCTACAGTGAGACCTACTTTTGATTTTAAGTCAGTATGGATGCTCTAGCCACAGCAGTCCTACAAAGTGAAGACATGCTCCATACCTTCCACTTCCCAACCATCAAAAATTCAAATGCAAACAATCCACTTCCCTTCCCCCAACCCCATGCAAACTCAGTACAATCTGGTTACTTTTTCCCCTATACTAAAGGATGAGAAGTAGAGCTAGATACTTTTTCTTTTGCAATCTCTACCCTTCCCATTTCCATCCCCCAAAGAATCCCATACTTAATATTACAATGTAACTTTACCCAACACACACATTACTTGTGTTGGCATCAATAACACAAAAGATAGGGAACCCTTACCTGACATTGATTAGATATTGAGCCAGGCTAATGCTGGCAGCAGATCCAGTGATGGTAACCTGCCTATCAGTAGATCCTTCCACTGGGTTCGCAATTTTGATCTGCGCCCCAGACATCTGACGGATCTCATTGATTTTGGCGCCTTGACGCCCGATTATGCAGCCAATCAACTTAAGGAAGAAAAACAAGGCATACCAAATTAAGAGTTGCATGGCTAGGTCCCAGCATTCCACCCCACCCCTCAGGCTTCTATACCTCAGGCCCACAAACATGGCATTCAACTCTGAACTGAGTGACTCCTAGAACCATTAGCTCACTTCTTCAGAATACTAACTCCAAAGACAAAATAAAGCAGTGCAAAGATGATGATAAACCTAGTTTACCAGGGCTAGGGATAAATGTAAAAGTATATTCTGGATTTGGCAATAAAGATGCCTTAACTCATCCTGCCATGATTATTACTTTACTATAGTGACAAGGATTCTGGCTAATTTCTAACACTTTTGCCTTGGAAAAAAGTAAACAATTGGTCAACATTTGCACTCTCCAATATTGTAGACACTAATAATGCGATTACTGAACACTGATGTGGCCAGTGAGATTAATAATGATAAACTCAGTCTGTCATTCTCAATGCAAACAGCTACACGTGCTCAGTGACTACCATGTTGGACAGCACAGGTAACACCCAATGACCACTCCATTAGGGATTAAATATTCAGACTCTACAAGAAGCAAAAACAAATGGGAATTTCTATTTGAGACAAAAAGTTTCCTTCTGGCTCAAGATAACTCACACAATATTTTCATTAATCTCCATCAGTTTTTATTTGAGATTTTACAGTTTTAAGAATTTTAGTGCCTGAACTCCTTTTCTTCCCCAAGGTGCTAAGAGGAGCACAACCTCTATTTTTACTTACATCATTTGGAATGGTGAGTTCATGAGAAGTAGTCTGAGCAGATGCATCCAAACCTGCTAAAAGACAGAAGACAGCAAAGAAGTTCAAGGCACAGCATACAACTCCCACTGATTTGCACATTAACCTAACAGAAGGAAAATGAACTGGAAACCCAGCATTGGCTGTTGGGATTCATCTCTAACTTGGAAGCCTCCAAAGAGGAAAGAGGGGGAGAAGGGTGTAGAAATAATGCTGGAAAGGTTCCTCTGTACCAACAAGAGGCTGATTTCATGCCATTTCCTGCAAAGCCCAGCCTATTAGGGTTTAAGGGGGTGGAAGCAAGGGGCAAGGGGCTGTGGTACCCTCAATTCTCAGGACCAAAATCTAACCAGGTACTTCTGCACTTCTCCCCTTTTCTGGTTGGATTTCCTATTGTTGTATCCCAATTTTATCTCACCTGATGCTATCACCAGCGCCACTACCATGCCTGTTACTGGGTACCATGGGCTTTTGGGCACACATGCAGAGTTGTTTTAAATATACCTATACCAGATTAACCAATCCCAACACCCTTACTCTAACCTACACTTAAAGGTCAGTGAGAATGAAATGGCAGTAAGGTGTGGGAATTTCATTTCTTCAAACTACTCCCTGTCCTTTGCTCAATAATTTGTTCTGATTTTTGTTTTCCCAAGAAAAAGAAAAGAAAAAAAAAGAAAATCCTATCAGCAAACACCCATACCCATCTATATGACACCTGGACTAGACAAGGCCAGCTGGCTAACTCGTTAAGTCTAGTCCTGCTCTCAGCTGTGGCTGCTAAAACATTTTTAGAAGGGGGTAGGCCAGATCCATCAAGGGACCCTCAGGGGCACCAGGCCCACCCCCACTTTGCTCTCTCAGCTCCTTTTTGCCATGTGCATGTTCTGCTGGTATGTCATGGGCAGTGAAACAAGACTCCCACCAGTTTATTAATATAACAGTAGAATACTACAGATTTTTTTTTTAATCATTACCCCAATAGCCTTTCACCTCTGGAGAGCTGGATTCAATGCCTGTTAAGATACAAGTGAAAATGAGTTTGGTGGTCTCATCCTAACCCTATCGGACAAGTTATTCCTTATATAGAAAAGCCCAAAAAAAACAAAACAAAACAAAACAAAACAAAACACACTACACAAATGGATTGTTTCTACCCAGATCTATGAATAGCTGGTGGAGAGAAAGGGGGTGCCAATCAGATCAAAGGGGCAGCAATGAGGATGGGTTAGAAGAAATATCAGCCTACCCTTTGCCTGACAAGCATCCCCAAACCTCACCCCAAACCTTCCAAGGGCCTTTCTTTTTTTCTCTTTTAGAATAACTCACCCCAAATGAAAACCAAGTTAACAAACACATTACCTCCTTTGGTTTAGCCATAGAAAACAGGCAAGTTTAAGCCAGCAGGACGCTGGGTAATGAAGTTTGTTTTAAACAGATGTCAAATGGAGACCTTGGGGCTGGCCTCTTGTCTTGTACTACACCTTACAGAAATCAACACTGAGGTATCCATACCACTGAATCCGGTGTTGCCATGCGTCATGGGAAAATGAGACTGTTGCATTGCCAACTGGTGCAGCTTGGTCAACTGCAGGAAGGAAACAGAAGAGGTTGACATTAGAAGAGTAACACAGCCAAAGCTCAAGCACATTCAAATTGAAAAATGAAGAGCTCCTGATGCCCAAAGTTGGCTACTACTCAAACTATGACAGAGGCTAAGGAATGGGTCTGCTATCACAATCCTGGGGACGGGCACAAGAAGGTGAGGATTAGAAATAGAAAGAATATCAGTACAAAGAGAATATATGCGTTTGGGGTGTGTGAAAAGCAGCAGCACCACCTGATAACCACCCCCTTGTGGGCTATTTAATGAAGGTGTTTGCAGCCATTGCAACAGTTGCCCGAGGGACAAGCACAGACAGGCTAGGTAAACAAACTGTGCAGTGGTGCTAGGGAAAACACACCATGCAGGGTTCCATCAGTACTGGGAGGAGGGAAGGAAATGAGGGGATGGGGAGACTGTGAGGAGAGATTAAGGTAAAACCAAACTGGGTTTAGCAACCACAACCCTATGACTTCTACAGCTATTTTTCTTCATCTATATAAACTGTCCTGGCTGTTGTAAAACCATCTCTCTTCAAGCCTACTTCTCCTCCGGGGTCCTACCACTAACCAAAAGCCAAACTCAACTTTTCAAATCTAAAGCTCAGCACCTGAAAAGGTTAGTAAGGGCAGAGGGTAAGTGCAGAAGGAAATGCCCTTAAAAATCTAAATACCAGCACTTTTTAAATTGGAGTTTTTAGTGACAAGGAATTTCACTGAGTTGAATCCAAGTATTTAGCTTCCTAACCCTCCCTGTGTAAATAAGTAAGTCCCTTTCCCACCCCTCCAGACGCTTTTTACATTACTACCTCAGACTGAGGAGTACACAAAAGCGAACCCATCCTCCCACCCCCTCGCCCTCCCTCCATAGAAAGGACTTCATGCAGAGATGCACAGTCCACTGTGAATTTACATTGTGCCCTGGGATAACCAATGACAGTAAACAGTGGAACATTTCTCTTTCAGAGTAATCTGTAACATGGGAGAAAGCAGAATGTAATAATCTATTAGATTATAATTTCCAGGGATTAAATTTCAAAACAAGGTGCTACTTTTTCCTGATTAAAGATTATTTAAGGGCCAAAATAGAGTTCACCTTGTGAGGGAAACAATACTGCAAATGTCTGAGACCCAACTCACTTCTGCCTACATGGAGAAAGGAGTGAGACAATTTTGGATGGGAGAGGGAGCTTTTCAAAACAAGTGAAAACAAAACTTACATCTGGCTGTGGAATGGCATACTGTCCTTGAATGGTATAGGCCTACAAAAGGAGGAAAACAGTTCCTATTAAAAACCAGTCATGGACAGCCACCCAGTGGGGGGGGCAGTGGGGGGAGACAAATTTCAACTAGCCAGGAAGCCAGAGTTGAACTAGAGAATGGGGAGGCCAGGGGTTGAGGCACTAGATGGTATCTCACAAATACAGTCAGACCCGAGTTGGCCTTCTTTAAACCCTAAACATGATGGCTTATTCCAGGATGCCTATAAAGGGAGCCATGTTCCCTGCAATCAAAGACAAAATAACACATGTTTCTTAACAAAAATGTGGGAGGTAGGATTAAACAATGCCTCGATTGCCTGAGCCCCCTTCTTTCTCCCTTTGTACAAGACGGCCTAGGAGGAAAATTATCTTTTTTCCTCAACCACCCCAACCCTTCTACCAATCACGGTGACATGTTTTATATCTGCACAAACCTACACGGCATGTTAAAACACTTCCCTTTTCCTATCTTATTTTTCCCTACATCTGCCTAATGACCTTAAGTGCACTGGAAGCTAGCTGGGTCCCTAGCACTAGGGAGCTGACCGTAGGAACACACATACAACAACAAAAATCTATGTTCTAGGTCCTGCTTTCTCCCACCTCCCCTCCATAAAAGGCACTTGCAGCTCCCACTATGCCCTCCGCCCCCCACACCATAACCTCCCAAAAAGGGAGCTGGGTCTTTAGGGCAATGGGGTGGGGGACAAGGAGAATCAGGAAGGGAAGAAAGGAGCAGCTGGTTAACAGGATGTGAAGCTTCTCACATCACAGTGGCCAGTACCCCCAAAAGTGTACCCAGGTGGGGGTGGGAAGGTGAAAATGGGGTAGGAGGAATAGGAGACAGGGAAAAGGGGTCGAACAAAAAAAGAAAAAAAAAAGGAAAAGGAAAAAAAAAAAAAAGAGAGTTGGTGTTACCATCTGGTGGGCTACGCAGCCTGTGTGAATTGAGGTGGGGGGGGTCAGTCCAGGTCCCCGTGGACAGGTGGTGTCCACAGCACAAAAATCACCAGCGCCACTGGCCCCCCGCGTGTTGGCAGTCTCGGCTGAGGCGGAAGGATTGAGTGAGCCTTGGAGACTGAACATCCCCTCTCACCTCTAGAGGTGGTCCCTCCAGGTCAGGGTTGAGGCACATGGACGGGGTGGTGTGGGGAAAGCTCGCACTGTCGCTGCCTGTGCTGTACCTGTCCTGTGGATAAATAGAGGATTTCAGTCTCCAGGGCTGTCAATCCGGCACCTTGTCACCAGCATGAAATTCACACAAAAAAAGTTGTTTAATTTTTTCTTTTCCTTTAAAAAGGAGCTCACAACACAATTTGAAACGAGCTGTAATCAGTGAATTAAAAAAAAAAGTTACCTATAGTGGCAGATTTCACACTGCACAATTGGACTATTTTCAGTAAGAATGAAGGAGTGGGGCAACAGAGCTGATGCCAGCTCCTGGTCAATGTGGGATTAAACTGAACCCCTATAGAGCCCACTTTGTCACAAAGGAACAAAAGACACAGGTTCACCTGTGGACAATGCATAAACTGCTCCATTTAAAAAGGCCCATGGGAATAATCCAAGACAGGGCCACTCATGGAAGAAGAAGCTGCAAGCTTTTAGAGTGGTCAACTGAATAAAGGGGAGGGAGGGAAGGAAAGCAAAGAGGTAAGAAGGGGGAAGTGGGAAGGGGAGGGAAGGAAAGGGAAATGAAGGCAGAATTGTAAACAGAGAGGACTGCTGCTGTGCAGTATGGACTCTAGATAATCCCAAGGGACCTGGAAGAATCCAGAATAATAGGAACTTGTAGTTCCAGGGGAGACGGGAAAACACCTAAAGCTAAACCTTCCTGCTACTCTAACTCTGGGCCTTTGTTTATCCGCCTAACTACCCAGACTCATGAAGCGCCCTTGGACCAAACCAGTTTGTACAATGCTAGTATTAACAGGTACAAAACTGTGATTATGATTAACTTCCTATGAAAGCTTCCAGAAATACAAGACAAACTAAGTTCCCCAAAACTTGTTCAGTTTTTTGACAATTCAACAGAATGGGAATGAGATGGACTCTTAAGAGCTTCCCCAGTTTACATACAAGATGGAATTAGGTGAGTTATCTGCGCTTGTTAACAGGTCAGCCCCATGTAGGAAAAGGCACGCTTGTACTTGTTTAGGCAGCTACCAAAATGAAGGTCACTATTTCATCCTGAATCCCCATATTTTAAAACTGACCTACCTATGCCTCAAACACTAACCAAAAAGCATAAAACTAACATGGTGCTAATCAGTGCCTTTTGTCATAGAACTCTAACTTCAGAATAAACCATGTACCAAGGATCCAGAGTTTAGGTGGATGAAGGAGAGAGGCCAAGGGGTGCTTTGGTGTTCTTACTCTAACACCAAAGATCACAGCCCAACATGCTCTCCCCCTCTTAAGACACTAAACCCTTACCCCAGCTGATTTCAGTTATGCCATGTGGGTTCAAACCAGTGTTTGAGGTTAAGAGCCCAGGGACAACACACTGGAATTTGGGAGTGAAGGGGTAGGAGTAGGGGAGGTGAGGTGGGGAAAAGGGGAAGTTTGTAGGACACTCAATTTCAGGAGCCCCCAATTTGAGACCACCATCCAAGAACCTATTTCAGAGGTCCAACTCCTTACTGTGTTTTATTTAGACCTCTAAAGAACACCCCACACATGGAAAAACACGGATGGGGTGGGGATAGGGACAGCAGTGACATCAAAACAATTTTATCTTTTCTTCTAACCCAACCCATCTTAAATTACTAAGTAGATTACCTCTTCCGAGTGCCTACAAAACTCCCAATGCCTGCTAATAATTAAATAAGGTGGCATTCATAGCTTTCTTCAGGACAAAAAATAAAACTGAAAGCAGGTCAAACTATGGCCAGAGTACAGGTTTCAGCAAGCATGCAGAGTGGCCTGGTGTGCTGCTGGCAAAGTTGACATTTCAAATACAATCTTGTTCACCTTAGCCCACCAATGAAAAATTTCTTACCTGACCACCTGCAAAGATGACCGGAGAACTGGACGGCTTGGGCCGGTACGGGATGGTCACGCCCTTCGGGGGGGACTGGGAGAGAGTCAGAGGGGAAAAAAACAAAAAGAGATAAGGTTTCAAAGCTGCTTCAGCTGTGTGGCTTAAGCTCACACAGGTCAGTTAAATTAAAAACTTTATTATTACCACCCCCTCACCTACCAACTTTGTCTCTGGCTATATCTAATCTCAAATCAGCACTTATTTGCCTTTAAAGCAGTAAGATGGTCCGTGGACTACACAATTCACACTAATTCTCATCAAGGCAGATTCCCATGTAATAATTTCCATGTGTTCAAATTGTTCTAATTAACACGAAAAACCAAAACCTCTAGATGTACGCATGTACCTTTGAGTTGGTAATTACATTTTGGCCTGACTAGGAAATAAAATCAAATAGGAAATAAAGCTCCCAAATTTTGAATCTAGGGTAATTCAGAACTTTCCATCAATAGCTCAATGATTCAATCAATAGTATCCTAAACTCTACTTAAAAGTTCTACTTTCCTTTCTCACCAATATGGGACCAATTCCCTATGACAATTCTAGGAAGGTTTAATTCTCCTTAATTTTATTATTCTTATTAATTGAATAGCATCCACCAGGACCTCGTAAGTCATTCAGAAACACTATTATGAATATTTATTATTGATCATTTTGAATAACTCTGCCTTATAACACAGAAATTAAACCTATCAGTTGCATGTAGCCAAAATAAGGTAACCTGAAAGGCAATTTAACTTAGCTTCTCAAGACCCCAGATATATCTTTTGTCCTGAATTCCAAGTAGTAAATCTTCAACTCTGATAAAATTGCTATAAACCAAATGATCACTATTGCTTAAGTTTCTATTTTTGCTTGGACTATAAGAAAAGTCAAAGCTGGGAGAAGGAAAGGATGAACTCAGGGCACCTTTTCCCCACCCCCATGTGAGGCTTCTGACAGCCTCACCTAATTCTAGTCTTTCTAAATATAGAGCAGTCTGTCTCCCTAAATCACCCTCCCCCCATTCTCAGCATGAGCCTGAGGGCTTACCTCCAACATAACCACGCAGATCTGTTTCACACACTCAATGATGGATTGCGGAATGCCAGCAATAGTGATGGCCCGCTCAGTTGAGTTGGGGAGCATATCCCCTGCCACTTGGACCTGAGCCCCTGTACTCTTTGGGGTAAAAAGAAATTTTAAAAATCAGAGAAACAGATCATTCATACTATTTACATCTCCCTGCAGAAATTTTAGAGTCTAACCCAGTAAACATTTATCTAACTCCTATCTGAGCCTTTTTATCCTCCTTTCCCTCTTCCCTTATTACAGATCAAGATTGTTTAATCACAGTTATAAATAAATTAGCCTCTGAAAGCTAAGAATAAGCCTGAATAACAGCCTAAATTTAACCTGCTCTTAAGAAAAAGGTCCTTCTGGACAGTTTCCTCTCATTTCATGATAGCTTTATGGGTCATCAAACAAAATATTCATAAATATCACCCACCTTTTATTCAGCAAATGTTTATATTAAGCCCATTCTATGTGCCAAGCACCATCCCAGGTACTTGGAATATATCAATGAGCAAAATAAAAATCCCTGCTCACAGTATGTATAATAGCCTCCCAGATAAGTCCAATCCAAATAGGAGCCAAATTTCATCCCAACATCCAATTCAGTAACTCCCAGATATAATAAAAGCTTCCATAATTCACCATTAACTTTCATAATTTTGAAGGGAGAATTACATCCCAATATACCTTCATTTCCTCCATGCTATTTAAGAATTTGGCCAAGAAAAACACTTGATGATATTATGTATCAAATTATTAAGTTCTTAAGACATAAAAAAGGATTATGTAGCCTCATGGAAAAGTCACCAACAGGTCACATGCAATAGCTGGAAATTCTGGTTAACTTTTCTGATTTATTATTGAAATATATGAAATGTAAGAAAAATATGCACATCAACCAAATTATAGACTTCTAGGACTATTACTTTAATAAAAACCATCTCAATAAATGCTAACTTTTCCTAGATAATAAAAATTAATAAAGATTAAAAAAAAGAAAATAATAAAGGAACCATATTTAGAATAATTCACACTAACAACTTACACTAAGAAAAAGCACAAATTAACCAACCTCTCGTATTTCCTTGATCTTGCAACCACCTTTCCCAATGAGAGAGCCACACTGACTAGCAGGGACCACCAGCCTCAGGGTGACTGGGGGTCTACTGGCAGCTGTGCTATTGGTCATAGAGCTGCTGATGTCCTACAAAAAGAAATTAGTCAAAAACACCACAGGAATATACAAGTTTAAACAGATCCCTGGCAACTTCTAACTGCCATAAAAGAACCTTATAAGGGACATATTATGTCATGATCTCCACCAACATTGAAACATTGCCCCTGCCCCAAACCTTACTAAAGAGATAAAATGGTCTACAAATATCCTCAGATTTAGCCTTAAATATATGCTCCTTCATGCCAGAAGCAGTGTTCTTAGTAGAGAGAAAACTTATTTTGTTAACTAAAATAGGAAGTTTTCTGAGCAAAATAAAACAATACTGGTGAAGTCAAAATTAAACATTAAGACAAAAATGAGAGACAATGCAACCGAAATTCAAGTGACCAATTTTGTCCTCTTAAACTACATAAAGATTAAAAAATAGTGTACTTTATTGTTTTCTTGGTATAAAATTGAAGCTGAGTACTTACCCCAATCACATCTGAAAAGTTGGTAGATTTTAAACTAAGACTGTATTGGCTTCAAAGCCCATAGTCTCGATGCTGCATCTTGTCTATATTTTAGTATATAAGTGCCACCGGAGCGAGCACTGCATCTTGTCTATAGTTAAATTTAGCCTTCTGAGAATTCAGCCTAATCTCTATGTATAGAGTGTGTATGTATTTAGATAGACCTGGGAATTCCTCAGACATAAGCCCCTTAAGTCAAGACCATGTTTCTTATTTGTTAAAGTATGAATAGATTTTCTGAATTTTTTTAAAGCTACAAGCTCTGGATTAGCAAGGTCTTACAGGTCAAAAAGATAACATTTCTGATCTTGGCAAGCATAAGATTTCAGGCACCATTAAGGCATTAGCAGCAGCCCAGAAGCTCTCCTCTGCCTGCAGTATCAATTGCATTATTAGCAGCATTACTACAGAAGCGAGGAGGCTGAAAACTGGATGGACCGAGAGCAATGATTGTTCAGCACTGTAAGGCTGAGAAAGTTTAATAAACAAAAAAATCCCTGTTACTGATATTTTGCTTCTGATAACCTATAAAATGTATTCCCTCCCCTCCAAGTATAGCTCTGACAGTTAGGCAGGCTTTTTTAAAAAATGTGTAACTGCCTACCTGTATTTATGGAGTATATTTGTGTTTAGCAGGGCTCCTAACAAAACCATGTTAATTTAGTTCACTCAACTAAGAATCAAGGGACATAATTATGAACACAATGGTGGCATAACTTCAAGTTGTTGGTTAAGAAGTAAAAGATGCTGTTTTTTCACATTTTTTAGAGTCCCTAATAACAAACTATTTGGGGTTTTTTTGTTTTTTTTTAATTCAAGCACAGTCAATGTACTCTAGTTTCAGGTGTACACACACTGTTTTGACATTTAAATTCATTACAAAATGATCACAGTACGTCTAGTAACAGTTACCGTACAAAGTTACTACAGTATTACTGACTATTCCCTATACTGTATATATAAACCCCAATGACCCATAATTGGGAAAACATGGAATGCTTCACAAATTTGTGTATCATCCTTGCACAGGGGCCACATCAATCTCTTCTGTATCATTAGAATTGTAGCACATGTGCTGCCAAAGTGAGCACTCTAATTATAGCTGGAAGTTAAGCGTGCTGACCCCCCACCCCAGTCAAAAGTCCAAGTATAACTTAGCCATAGTTCCACATTCACGGATTCAACCAATCGCTGATTGTACAGTTCCACAGTACATATTGTATACTACTGTAGTACATATTTATTGAAACAATCCAAGTACAAGCAGACCAGCATAGTTCAAACTCATGTTCTTCTATGGTCAACGGTATTTTTCTAAACAACTGAAGTGACTTTTTAATTATAAATGGCCCAATTTTGGGGATGCTGAATGGCAGCAAAGAACCCATTTACAGAGCTTTATGATCTAGTCCGTTCTTCAATTTTAAAACCTCTTGGAAATCACTAAGCTATCAAGAAGCAATAAAAAATAAAGAATGAGGGGCAGGGAACAACAAACCTCTTCCAGTTTGTCAATGATCATAGCAAAGGCTTTAAAGATGGCATTAGTGGGTCCAGCCAAAGTGATAATCCTTTCAGGACAATTCCCTTCTGAGATGTTTATACGTGCACCACTCTGGATAGGAAACAGAGCCAAAAGGTTAACAGACAAGAGAGATCTAAGCACAGACACACACACAAATATATAAATAATCCCTCTTAAACAAGATGGGCAAGAAGCTGCCTATGTACATGATCCTGACATAAGGCACCATCGACATCATTTTAAATACAGCTCCATATTTGTCCTCCAACAAACTACGGAAGCTGCTTTAAGTCTTGAATGCAGACTTCCTAAAACTACATTTCCCAGCATACTATTTGTCATTACCAACAACCCAAGCCAGAAAAATACCAGCTTCTCCTATTAAGATCTTCCCTTTTCTGAGACACATCCCTGGTGGTTTAGTGGTTAAGAATCCATGCTTCCACTGCAGGGGCATGGCTGCCCAGGTTGGGGAACTAAGATCCCACATGCCCACAGTGTGGCCAAAAAATTAAAAAAAAGAAAAAGAAAACCTTCCCCCTTCCAATCTCTCATTAAACACCAACTTTGCTTTTGTTTTAGAAGTTTCTAACTTCCCAAGTTTAACAGTCCCTGTTCCTCCATCCCCAATAACTCACCTCCTCGCGCATCTTCTTAACTGATTCTCCTTTCTGAAAGGGGAAAAGTCACAAATGAGTTCCAATTATTATTTAAACCCAGGCTGACTAAATAGTAATTAGAGTTGAACTGATGTCTTACCTTTCCGATGATACTGCCAACTTCCTACAATGGAGAATACTAGTGTCAAATACGAGGAAACTTGAAGCAATGGTTATCACAAAAAGTAATTTTTAACAATCCAAAGCAATGGAAAAACTAGGATTCATTGGGAAGGGGAATGGAAAGGTTTATTATTTTCTTTGCTCAAAACATAAGGGAAACTTTCAAAGAACTGTGAAGAAATAGTGGAGTAATAAAGTGTTGTCTTTAATATAAATCATTTTCTAAAATATCAAATCCCAGTTCATCTTAAAGTTACCCAAAATTGTTTGGGCAGTGGAATCTACCTATCACAAGCTATAGCAACATCCATGAGAAAAATCTTATTATCCAGATAGTTTTGGCTCTAGCCTTTGGTTAAGCCTTTCGTGCTCAGTGGAGCTTCCTAGTAAAGTCTGTCCATTTTCCCACTACACTCTCATCTAGTCCACCAGACGAGGAGTGCTAAAGCCAGACTTCCCACAGAGCTAATCTGATGAGCTCCAAGATCCATGCCCTCTCTTCCTGGCCCCTCCTCTAGGAGTTACTATGACCCAATTTCCCAAGCTGTTGCATACCTTTCCATGCATAAGTAGCCGGATGGTGAGAGTGACATTTAATCCACCTTCAATCACACCGGTGTCCATGTCGAGCAGTGTTCTGAGGAGCTGGACTTTGAGTGGTCAAGTCTTTGGTCACTGGTGGGGGTGAAAGCCAAAAACTGAAATGCAAACATAACCAAAATCAGAGTAGGAAAACAACAGAAATAGTTCCCAATGTTACTTTAATCATTGTCAATGTTTTCTAGCTGACTCTTCCTTAAATGACAGTCTATCAGTTGGCAGGCTTGTATACATCCAGCACAACTGCATTAACAGCTCAGATTCTGTTACAAAGTATATAAAGCAACTTTCCAGTCTACTCTCATTAATGATAGGGTTTCCGCTGACTCTCAGGATGTGAAAGATTTCTTCAATTGGCAACGGTTCTAAGGGAACTGCTGAACGTGCACCAGTTGTCCTTCAGCAGAGTAAGCTTCAAAAGAATACAGAAACACCTGGAAATCATGAGGGCAAACCTCAAGCTATACACTGAGGGCTACAACTTTTGCTTCCCTGTTATGAAGCCATTCAGGTTGAAAGCTACAAAGGACACATGTAAATGTTTTTATTGGCAGCAATTTCTACGTAAAAAAACTAAGATGTATCTTCATCTTAAAATTCTGAATGGGAATACATGTCACCAAATAATTTTTAAAAGATTTAAATCAACAACCTCACTGAAAAAGGCATTATCTGAAATGCCTTCTATGCAGGCTGGGTTCCATATTCCCCTTTGGGAAATGACTCAATACATTAAGTGCAGCCTGAGTCCTCTTTTCCCAACCAAACTTGATAGTCACTCAAGATCTGAGTATTTTCCTTGTTTCCGCATTAACCTGTTACCACTCAAGTCTTTATTCAAATTAATCCTAAATTTTCTTCCAAAGAAAACAATCAAAATGATAGCTGGTATCGCTAAAAATTTATTGTGTGGTTGTTTTAAGCAACAGCAGTAATAAGACTTTCCTACTGAGGCCCTTTCCCCACCTAAGCACTCAAACAATGCTACTAACATTTCTGCTTTAATTGATAAAGAATGTTCTTGAATATACTTCAGCCTACAATGCTTCCTTAGGATCTAAGGAAGTGTTAGTTTTGAAAAGGACCTCCCCAAAGTGGTGAAATTTCTCCAGTGCCATTTTTAGTATCCACCTCTTCAAAACAACATCAATGATCTCTCTCCTACAGCCGGTCTTCCTCCTTCACAAAACCAGCCACCTTTTTAACTTTGCTCTAACACAAAGCCACATCCTAAAAATCCTAAAAATATTAAGGGGCTGTCAGACCTGTATACGTCCTGTATATGGCAAGCTGCCCCATGGCTACCTCAAGTGTGTGATTACTTAAAAGGAAGGGCTCTGCATCCCCAAAGCACCTCATTCCCCCATTTTCAGAATATAATTGCTGGAAAAAATCCCAGAATTCAACACTTTCCACTCAAGGAAAAACAACTGTAATGGGGGTAGGGAGAAAATGGGAGTTGGGTCTGTAAGGACGACTTTAGTGAGACATGGAAAAAATCTGGCAGTGTAATTCCTTATCCTCACTCACAGAGTAAGCAGCACTTTACAAACACCATGACAAAAGCAAATTCGAAAGGGCAAGAAAATTGGAAACCTATTTAAAGCCATTTAGGTACGGCACAAAGGTGCATTTCCAACCCCAAACCACCCAAAAAATCCGTCATGTTTCTCTCCTAACTAGGAGAATGTAAGTGTACCCAATCCCAGGAATCCAGCTGTTAATCCTGCATCCATTACCCCTTCTCCTATAAATAGCTCGGTCTGGGTCTATAGCGGCAGGCATTTTGTAATTTCAAAATTCGTTACCCCGAGAAAACGTCCTGAATAACTCGGTAACTGGGAGCCCGTCTACCCTTTCTTTAACTCCACAACCCCCCTCCCCTTGGCCATCCAAGCATTTTCCACTCAAAAAATGTACCCCCCCATCCCTCCACTAGAAAAGCAGAGGAAAAAATAAACGGTTCGGTCGGGGGGGGGCGCTGCGATCCAGGGGGAGGGGCCAGACTAGTAGCGCCTCCTCGTGTGGCTGCGCCAGCGCCTGACCCCCGCGGGGAGCCGCGCTCACCCGCCCGGCCAGCAAGCCGGCCATCGCCTCCCCCACCCCCCTCAACCAACAAATCCACCGCCGCCCCCCCCTACCGCGCGCGCGCCCTCCTTGACTCCTGCGCAGCCGCCACCGGGAAAAGGCGGGGGGAAGGGGGAAAGGCCTTGCGCGAGGCCTACTAGGCCTCGTCGGAGCCAGGGCCTCGCGTGAATGGCCGGCCAAGCAGAGTGAGGGAGCAGGCGCACACGCGGGACTACGCGAGGCCGGGGCTCGTGACGAGGACCGGAGCCCGCTAAGAAAGATGGCAAGAGTAGAAATAGAGCCATAGCCGCGGGCGGAGGGAAAATTTTGAAGCTTACCTGCAGGCGCGAGGCGACTGAGGGGAAAAGGGGAGCGGGCGGGAAGGGGAAGGGCGGGAGGCCGGGGGCGGAACAATAGGGGCGGGCGGGAAGGCGAGGGGGGCCCCGCGGGCGGGCGGAGGAGGAAGGGGGGGGTGGAGGAGGAGGAGGAGGAAGGGGGAAAGAGACCCCGGGGCGGGTGGAGGGCGGCGGAGGGCGGGCGGGCGGGCGGAGGGCGGGCGGGCGGGAGAGGGCGCAGGCTGCGGCTGCTCCGGCTGCTGCCTCTGCTGGTCTGGGAGGGGGACGGGGCGGAGCGGCCCGCTTTCAACCCCGCGCACCCTCCGACCCCGGAAGTGCTAACCGCCCCGGGGGCCGGCGAGGCGACTGCGTCGTCCAAACCTTCCCCACGCAATGCAGACGGCCTCCCAACAGCCTAGAGCGGCTCCATGGACAACGTTGGCACCAGCGAGAGAACAACCGGTAGCAAATGGCGAAGAGCATGATAGAGCGGCAACTTGGGGGCAGGGAGGAAACTAGTGGCCCCTAGCGGGCTGGTTAGAAAGCCCACACGTTTAAGTGCGGAGAGAGTTGGCAATCGCCATGGATAAACCAGACAGGAAAATGGGATGTGTGAGGAGAGACTACTGGGACAAACCCCTAGTCTATAGTAATACAAATAGGGAAAAAAGCTAATTTGCCACCTTGGAGGTCACTTTTACACCAACTCCTTACTCTGAAAATTGGTAATTAAAATGAAAGAAGCACCTTTTCATCTAGGAAGAACTGTAGTTCATCTTTAGTCAATAAGGGAAAACTTTTTTTCAAGAATTCCATATAAGGAATGTAGAGAAATTTAAAAATTACAAAATCATTCATTCTCCAACCCAAAATGAAATAATTGACTTAAGCAAGTGTCATCAATCATCAAAACTTTAAGGGAAAATTTGTTAGGGAAAAGGATACTAACCTGGTGACAAATATCACATGGATTATTTGCAAAAAAAAAAGAAAGAAAAGAAGAAACCCCAAAATTTTAAATGGAAGGATCAGATAGGTCACCACCTTATCCAAGTGATCAAACCTTGTATCAGTAATAATACAACTGTGACATAGTCCTTGATGAGATGCAGTAAATACATAGCATTATCTATTAAGTATTCTTCTCAAGTGTTTAATCTTAATCTAATTAAACCTTCAGACCCAACTTGCAATTTACAGGAAATTTACAAGAAATCAAGGAAAAAATTAAATATATCATAGATAATCAGCAAATCCAGAATCCAAGACATTCAACAAGACAACCAGCCTGTTCTCATCAAAATGAAAATGTAATAGAGAGGGAGGAAAGAGGATAAATTCAAAAGACAATAATAATCAAATATAATGTGTGGATCTTATTTGGACTTTTTTTTAATAGTTATATAAAACATTTTGGAGACAGGAGGAAATTCAGACATGAATATTAGCTAATATTAGGAAGTATTGTTAATTTTCTTAAGTGTGGTAATGGAATTATGGCTATCCAGGAGAAATGCTGTTCTAAGAGGTATGTGATGAACTATTTAAAGTGAAGGGTCATGATGCATGGAACAGACTTTCAAATATTTCACATCGTTATATCAATAAAGCAAATTTGGTAAAAATGTTAACAGTTGTTGAGTACAGATGGTAGGTTTATAGGTGATCATTGTACTGTTCTTCAAACTTTTAAAAAATAATTTTTATTTTTTAGGGAATTTGTTTATTTATTTATTTTTCAGGGAATTCCCTTTTGCTCCAGTGACTAGGACTCTGCACCTTCACTGCTGTGGCCCAGGTTCAACCCCTGGTCAGGGAACTAAGATCCTATAAGTTGTGTGGCATGCCCAAAAATAACAATAATTTTCACAATAAAAATTGGAAAAAATATGATGTGGAATGGAACAAGATTGGCAAAGTGTGGGACTTCCCTGGAGGTCCGGTCCAGTAACTAAGACGCCACGCTCCCAGGGGGCCCAGGTTTCATCCCTAGTCAGGGAACTAGATCCCACATGCCACAGGGAAGATCCTGTGTGTGGCAACAAGGAACCTATGTGCCACCAACTACAACCCAGCACAGCCAAATAAATGAATAAATAAAGCAAGGCACTGCTGGGTCATATTTTTTAAATGCTTAAAAAAAAGTCTCTGTGCTTCCACTGCAGGGGTTTCAGGATTGATCCCTGGTTGGGGTGTGTGAAACACACATACACACACACAAACCAACTGAACAAACTGTTAATAATTACTGGAGTTAGGTATGGGAAATCTGCTTTCCCTACTCTTGTACATATCTGTAAATTTCCACATTAAAACTTTTGTTCAAAAAATAGAGAAGAAACCTGAAAGAGAATAAAACTAAATTTTAAAAAAAAAAGGTTACTGAAAGAGACAGCTACTACAGGGTTATTGTTTACCCACATTCAAGTTCTTTGGGTGTCAGCTCTGGCCTGGAGAAGGAAATGGCAACCCACTCCAGTATTCTTGCCTGGAAAATTCCATGGATGGAGGAGCCTGGTGGGCTACAGTCCATGGGGTCGCAAAAAGTCGGACACGACTGAGTGACTTCACTAACTCTGGCCTTAATATTCATCAGGTTTTATTGGGCAAGTTCAATTCAGTGGAGTTATCTAAAGAGACATAGCTTTCTGAAGTGGAAAATAAAGCCTGGGGACTCCATCGTCTTTCCTGCCACCCTCCAAATGATAGGTGGGCATTAGGAACAGTGTGAGAAATAAAAAGAAGTCTGTCATTTAACAAAGGCAAAGGGCAGAGCAAATACTGAGAGAGTAAAGGAAGTAGGAAAATGTTAGGACACCCAGAGAAAAGCAAACCCAAGAGCAGGCTTACTATGAGGCCTAGCTTGCTCAGTCACTTCATGTCGGACTCTTTGTGATCCCATGGACTGTAGTCCACCAGGCATCTCTGTCCATAGGATTCTCCAAGCAAGAATACTGAAGTGGAATGCCATGACCTTTTCCAGGGGATCTTCCTGACCTAGGGATCGAACCCACGTCTATTGCTGCTTTGCAGGCAGATTCTTACCCACTGAATCACCTGGGAAGCCCCAGTGAGGGCCTGGGCTGAAGGTCAAATTAACCTCAAGATTTTGCAGTTGAGTCATTTACACCCCAAGAGCTCTAAAAGCTGGACTAAAAGTGAGTGGCAAAAACATAAAGTGAGTGGCTATCTGTGAAGTCATCTCTAATAATGGTAGACAAAATAAAGATCAAATTAAAAGTTGATAAAATAACACGACTTAGTGACTGAACAAGAAAATAACACAACATAATTCTATTAACAATAACCTGGCTTCTGTTGGGGCCAGCCAACAGTTGCAGCCAGCTTTGAAAGAGATGCATCCAATAGCAATATTCAATGGTTTTATGAATTAATAAATTATTCTCAGAAGGAGAACCGAACTAGTCAAGAGAGTAAACTTGTCTGTGACTACAAAACACCCTGATGCAGGGAAATGATTCCAGAAAGACAGCAAACTGATGATTCGTCCCATGACTTACAGTCTTAAAGCTGCAGTGTCAATTTGCATTTTAGATTTAATGGGTTTCCTATCCTTTCCCATCTTCAATTAATTGTGTGGAACTCTTACTATACTCAGTTTCTAGTAAGGACAGAATGGTAGAACTCCAGATTCTCTCATGGATACCGGGCATAAAATAAAAACATTTGAGAACCACTATCTTTAGAGTCTTACACTGATGCACAAAACAGGGCGCGCCAACCCAATGCTCTGGAGAGCCAGGTAACTAATATAACTTGCCTCAAGAAAGGCAACAGGAAGCTGAAAGGATGATTAAGACTGGAGAGTATGCATGCCTGCCTAAGTCGCTTCAGTCGTGTCCAACTCTTTGCGACCCTATGGACTGTAGCCCACCAGGCTCCTCTGTCCATGGGATTCTCCAGGCAAGAAGACTGAAGTGGGTTGCCCTGCCCTCCTCCAGGGGATTGAACCCAAGTCTCTTATGCCTCCTGCATTGCCAAGTGGGTTCTTTACCACTAGTGCCACCTGGGAAGCCCATGGAGAATATAGGATCCATCTATAAGGAATGATCAGTAGTGGTTCAGAAATTTCTGTCTTCAGAAATGTGAAATCTGAACCTTTATTGAAAAGGTCTGATAATTAACAGAGTAGTCCCTCAAAAAAAAAAAAGTCCATAGCCAGAAATAGCCATGAGCAACCAATGTTGCAACCTCTGGCAAAGATATACATACCAAAACGTTTCCCATAGCAGTTAAGTGTATAGCAAAGATGGAAACATTTAAAAATTCCAGCAAAAAAAAGATTGAATAAAATACTATTAAAACAATGTTACACACCCACACTGATATGGAATCAACTCCAAAATAGATAATTAAATGGGAAAATATTAGATCCAAAAGAGGGCTCTCATTTGATATAAAGTGGGCTAGGAGCAATAGGAACCGTGTAAGGTAGGACAGAGAGGATGTTTACTTATGTGCAGAACAGCTCTGAAAGTTTACAAAAGAATTTAGTAGTCTTAGTTGCCTTTGGGGAGTAAATTAGAAATCTGCTATGAGGAGAACCTTACTTTTCTGCTGAACATCCTATTAATGTTACATTCCCCCTCAACCAGGTACATGTATTTCTTTTAGCTTTCAAAAAGTTAATCAACTTTTGAGAAACAACCATAGCAAAATAGCAAGGTGCTGTTAGAAAAAGAAAAGGCAGGAAGGGGAAATGGGCTGTTTATGGCTAAAACTGGGGAAGGAGGTGGGTGAATTTTCTCCCTAACTTGTTTCTCTGTGTTTTCTCCCTTGAGCCATTTCTCATGGTCTCTCCTTAATTTGTGGTTTGTCAACACTGTTTTTTTCACCTCACAATCCCCTTATGCCCACCTTTCCCTTCTCCTGGAAAAGGAAGTGCTAATAAATAAATGAAAACAGAGTGTTACAGAGGAAGAAACCCTTAGAATGGCCCCCAAATTCAGGACACTGGAAAACAGGTCTTGGTGCTCAGTCACTCAATCGTGTCTGACTCTTTGTGACCCCATGGACTGTAGCCCGCCAGGCTCCTCTGTCCATGGAATTTTCCAGGCAAGAATACTGGAGTGGGTTGCCATTTCCTTCTCCAGCTTGGTCTTGGATTTCCTAATAAAATTAGAAGCTAGATCTAATATATTCAAGCATGTTTTTCATATATCTCACTCCCAGGACAAGTCACAGATGAAACCCAGTCAACTAAAAACACAACTTCCCTGTTCAATTCCCACACTTAAAACCCAGTCAACTAAAAACACAACTTCCCTGTTCAATTCCCACACTTAAATCCCTAAACCCTGTGGGTTCCACCTAAGAAACATCGCTCAGGTCCACTCCTTCCTCTAAACCCATGAGAGCCTCACTTCCTGCTATCAGGCTCTGGTATGGTATCTCAGGCTCAGGAATTCCTGAACGTCCATCCTTCGCCTTTTTACAAATCTTTGCCTCTGCAAAACTGCTTCTTCTGCTGGAAACCCACTGGGTTACAAGCACAGACACAGGAGCCACACTGCCCAAGTTCAAATCCTGACTGAAGTTTTCTTCTTCCTCAAAACAGGAACAGCAGTACCTACCTCATAGAGCTGCCATGAAGACATAACAGGGAAACCCCTATGTGTCCAGAGGCCCAGCCAGGACCCCACTCATTTCCCAGTGGCACTGTCGCTCCCTCCTTTGCTCCCCCACCACTTAATCCCTGTCTTACTCACTTCTATACTATAATAACCTATTCATATATTCACACGACCATCTGCTTCATTAGCTCTCAAAGGCCATGAAGGGCAGAGACTGTGTTATTCTATGTCTTTGTACTTTCAGCACCAAAACACAGTATTTCCTCAATAAACACTTTCCAGGGAACTAATCTAGGCCCACTAGGAGAACTGTGTTTCCCAAACATGCTGTGGAGCTTTAGACCCTGTCCCTAAGCACATGCCTTTCCCAGCTCCTCTCCACCATCCACTTGATAAATCTATTCTTTCATTTTTTCTAGGGCAGCAGAACTAGTAGAAGGTGCTAGGCCCAACCAAGGTAACGGTACAGGTGAACAGAGACCAGGAGAAACAGCTTTATTTGGACTGAGAGGTGGAGAGTGAGAGGAGGGCCTGAGACAACATACTGAGTGAGAGAACAGAGATTTGTTTTCAAAATGGCAGTCAGAGCTCATCAACCAAATGGACTCCACTTGCCATCAGCCTTGCAGTGAATGCCATCAATAAGAGGCCTGCTGGGAAATGTTTATTTGCCACTAAATCACCCAAGCATGCTACAATTACAAGAAAGGTACAGGTCGTTTTTCCTTTCCATAACTCAATGTCCACAGCATCTCCTCAATTGTAAGTGTTACAAAAGAAAGTTTAAAAAAAAAAAAAATCACATTTTACAGATCTTAGACTTGTCTTTAGCATTTAGCTCAAATCTTACCATCTTCAAAAAACAGTTCTCCTGTCAAACTCATCAGCTAAAAGTTCCATCCAAGCAGTGAGAAGATGGCCTTTGTTAGCCTGTGGCAATTCTTTTCCGATTTGTCCTAGCTAGTGAGCGCTGAACAGCAGAATGAGGCTTAGATTGCAGGGGTGGGGTTGAAGCGGTAGCAAGAGTTAATTTCCCCAGCACAAGATGGCATCTGAAGCTTGATGGGAGAGCTGAACTGGAGAGACTTGAGGGAAGGGTCCAGGCCCTGTATTCAGTCAGAGTCACTGCTGGAAGAGGAGGAGGAGGAGGAGGAATGCTGCAAGGGGAAAGGGGAAAGGATACATCAGATCCAAATGACTTTTGTTACTTCATGGGACATTCTTTGGTGCCCTATACCTCCACCCCAGTGCCCTTTGCTTTCTAAGAAGGTCAGGAGTCTTCAACTCAACTGTCCCTTAAACAGCAAAAGCAAGGATTTCCTTCATCAGTGAGCATACAGGAATGGATGAAACCATCCTAAATCACTGCACAGAATTTAACATACTACATTTGGAGAAAGTTCCCAATTTTCTTTACCTGAGCCAATGCCTAAGCAAGGAATAAATTATAGGCACTAGAGTAGAACTGTACAAGGAAACAGCTGCTCCCTTATAGTATTTATTAGCTGCATGGACATTCCTAGTGGCTATGAGACAAAGAAAAGTGAGTAGAATCAGGAGCTGTGTGTGCATCTATTTCTACTTTTTCCTAAGTTCCAACTAAGAGAAAATGAGGAAGGTGGGAGAGGAGGCTGGGAGAATACTAGTCAAGGTTCTTTACACGTATACTCCCACCAAAACTGTCATCAAAAACATTTTTGAATGTCTCCATTCAAGCTCACCTTTTCTTCTCCTCAGACTTCTACCAAAGATGGAGAACTAGAATTAGCATCCAAAGTCAGAAGGCAAATATTAGGCAGAAAAATGTATATTAAGGCCTCCTCAAGATCGGGGTTGGTTCACTCCTTCCAGAGTTGTCCTGAGAGCTACTTTTACCCTTGCCAATGAACAGTCCTCTGGAGTGAAGATATTTAACCTTGGGGCTGAGCATGAAACTCGGGTTTTATTAGAGGCTGAGAGTCTGACTTCTCTCGTCCTCAGTTTCCCTACTGAATAGTAGGATAATGGGGCCCATGTAACTAACACAACACCCTGAGAACACTGAGGGAGAGAAAGAAACTCCAGGACCTAGGGCCAGATTATTACAAGTTAATTATTATATAAGATTTTGCTCTGTCAAAGGACTGACTCTATTACTTGATATTTGACCACCTCAGTGGGTGTGTCCAACTTGCTAAAACAAGCATGGCGTGGGGCTGGCGTGGGGCTGGGGTGGGCAGTTCTGGGAAGAGAAAGGCAAACTAGAAAGACTTTTGACGCTGACATCCATCCTGAGGCTCAGCCTAGCACCTCTCAGATAGAAGGCCTAATAAGCCTAATAAATTTTTTAAGATGATCAGATTCTTCCCAGTGGGGATCCTTTACGCAGTCACTGTCCCACATCCTCAGACTTCAAACCCCACATCCCTTGCCCTCCCCCTGCCCGCTTAGCCCCTGTGAAGGGTGCCCCTTCCCAGCCAGGCTCCAGGGGCACTTACCTTGCCATGTTTATGGTGCTTCTGCTTCTTTTTATGAGCTTTCTTCATTTTCTTGTGCACCTTCTTGTCAATCACTATTCCTGGTCCTACTATACCAGGAACCAATGGATTCACAGGACACATGCCAGGGGCAGGTGGTGGGTATGGAGGGGGGTAGGGACCTGAGGGCTGGCATCCTGGATATCCTGGTTGTGGCACGGGATGACAGGGCCCACCAGGGGGAAAGGCTGGATTCCCCTGGGGTGCTCCTGGGGGAGTGGGAAAGGGGCCTGGAGGAAACGGAGGGTTGGCAGGTGGCGGATGGGCAGGATTGCAACCTCCAGGATACCCGGCGTTAGGGGGGTGTGGATATGGTCCTGGCTGCGCTGGTGGAAGAAACAAAGAATAAATTAAGATTACACTTCCCAGAGCCTCTGACAACAAACAACAACAAAAAGAATCACTCAAAAAAAAAAGAATAACTCAACAGTTAAAGGCAAATGGGAAGTGAGGAAAGAGAATGAAGGGAAGGGGAGGCAAACTTACAGGAGACAAAGGGAAGGAACCTGGCAGGGCGGGGGAGAAACGGAGACAGTGAACTCCAGGAAAAGACGAGAGGATGGGTCAGCGACTAAGGACTTTGCTTTTGCGGGTTAGTGGAGAGGAGGAGGATAAACTGACACAGAAACCTCCTGTTGTGGTCCATCTGAAAAGGGGTTGGGGCAAGAGAAGCGATCCCCCAAACACCTACCGGCATTGGGATTCCACATATTCAGATGTTTCCTTCAGCCTGAGAAAGAAATGAAGGCAAATAGCTGATGACCCAGAGGTGGGTGGGGGGTTTAGAGACCAAACCCCAAGCCCAACTCCAACGACTCTGGCTCCACTCTATGCAGTCCCTTAGAGAACTTCTACGACCTCCACGGAAGAAAGGTTTCTTTCCACCCATTCCTTCGCCTCCAATATTTAATTCTATCCCTAGTTCCCTAGCCACAGGAACCTAGCTCCCAGAGACCCTCCACCTTCCACTAGCGCTGGCCGCGGCAGGAGGCTTCTAACTCCTCGCGAGAGAGGCTGAGTCCGTGAATCTCCCTAAACCTAAATCCCTATTGATTCATCTGCCTTTTCGTGACCGAGTCCGGAAGACTTTTAAGCACCCAGAGGCTGCGGAAAGACCTTAAACACTTTACCGCTCCCGGCGGAGAGTGACGGGGGACAAGACTCCCACCCCAGGCTAAGAGAAGGAACTGACTTGGGGGCGAAAGGAGGTAGGAAGATCAGGAAAGATCCTCAAATGCTTACATAGTAGACACACCCCCTCCCCCCACCCCATTCAAAAGGGCAAATAGAGATCCTGACTCCCAGCTGTGAAGGGACTCCTCACGCAGGAATGGAGAAAGAAGCAGACTTGGGTATCTAGATGTCCGGTCACCCTTACACCACTGCCGGCGCGGACTTGTCCTTCTTAGCCTCCACTCACTTCCTGGTAACCCTCCCACCGTAGGCTTCAGCATCCGCCCCTGCTACCGTCTAATTGGCAATATGTGTTCATTCTGCGTTAGGATTGGAGAACGTGCTCGTCAATCACTCCATTCCCCTCTAGGCTAGAAGGCAATGGTTGCAGTAGGGGCGGAGCCAAGGGCTTCAGGGAGAGGCGGGTGCAAAAGGACAGCCGGAAATCCCCGTGGGCGGGGCTCGGAGAAATGTACGCTCTGAGAGGGCCCGGGCAGTTTCTGGGCGAGGTCCCCAAGTGCCTAGAGGAAATTCGACCCTTGACTTCTGAGCTGTTAGTCTAGTGGGTGTCACACCCTTCCAATATGAATTTATGTTCAAGTTGTGAACTTTCGAAGATGTGAATGTGCGTGTGTTCACGTGTCCAATTAGGTAAGTTGGTTCACGGGGCCGACGTACATTGTCACATGCAGCTTGCTCCCTGTCTCCTATCGCTGACGAATCCCTCCGCTCTACCCTCTGCCACCTCTTCTCCCTCCTCCAGCTAGTAATTTTTCTTCTGTTCTCTTGATGCCAGTTCCTGTATGTCAGCTGTTATACTACTGTATGCCAGCTGTACTGTATTACTATAGTTTTCAAGGCACTTTAAGATCACATTTATTTTCCTTGTTTTTTGTATGTATTATTTGTGTGAAAAGTATTATAAACCTATTACAGTACAGAGACATCACTCTGCTGACCAAGGTCCCATATGGTCAAAGCTATGGTTTTTCCTATAGTCATGATGTATGGATCAGAGAAGGCAATGGCACCCCACTCCAGTACTCTTGCCTGGAAAATCCTATGGACGGAGGAGCTCAGTAGGCTGCAGTCCATGGGGTCTCGAAGAGTCGAGTGACTTCACTTTCACTTTTCACTTTCATGCATTGGAGAAGGAAATGGCAACCCACTCCAGTGCTCTTGCCTGGAGAATCCCAGGGACGGGGGAGCCTGGTGGGCTGCTGTCTGTGGGGTCGCACAGACTCGGACACGACTGAAGCGACTTAGCAGCAGCAGCAGCATGTATGGATATGAGAGTTGGACCATAAAGAAGGCTGAAGAATTGATGTTTTCCAATTGTGGTCCTAGAGAAGACTCTTGAGAGTCCCTTGGACTGCAAGGAGATCAAACCAGTCAATCCTAAAGGAAATCAACCTTGAATATTCATTGAAAGGACTGATGCTGAAGCTGAAATACTGTGGCCACCTGATGCAAAGAGCCGACTCATTGGAAGACACCCTGATGCTGGGAAAGATTGACAGCAGGAGAAGAGGGCGAGATGTTGGATGGCATCACCGACTCAATGGACATGAGTTTGAGCAAACTCCGGGAGATAGTGAAGAACAGGGAAGCCTGGTGTGCTGCAGTCTATGGGGTCACAAAGAGTGGAATGTGACTTAGCAACTGAAGAACAAATATATAGCCTATTGTGTTAGCCTATATAGCCAAAGTTAGTTAGGTAACCAGGCTAACTTTGTTGAACTTACAAACAAACTGGACTTATGAACACACTCTCGGAATGGAACTTATTCTTACCTAGGGGATTTACCGTACTGTGATGTGTTGTACAGATATACATGCATACACAGAGGGCTTAAGGAATGGCAGGAGCTGCTCTCACCCACAGCCTCAATATTTGCCACTGCCCTGTTGGCCCCCATAGAAAGCAAAGAAACATTCTTGGGGGAAATATAGATGTCTAATCTCTCCTAGAATTCCCTATCTCAATTTCATATATCTTGGCAACCCACTCCAGTATTCTTGCCTGGAAAAGTCCATGAACAGAGGAGCCTGGCGGCTACAGTCCTTGGAGTTACATGACTGAGCATGCATGCATGAGGGTGGAGGGAGATGGGTTAGCAATAAACTGGTAGAACTTAAAAAAAAAAAAGTTTTTTTTAAATTTCATGTATCTGCCATCTGGCAAATTGCATAAACAAGAAACCAAGAAAGTCATCCTTACATCCTCTACATTCCTCCCATCCCCCTCCAACATCAGGATGGGTCTGTTTTGTTTCCCAAATAAATCTGGAATCCCTACACTTCTCTTCATCTTCTCTGCTCCTAGCCTACCATCATCTCTTAACTGGACTGCTACAATGGCCTCAGTTTTTTTTTTAGTAACCCACTTAACAAGCTTGATTTAATAAACATATGTAGAACCATTCACCCCAAGTAAAAACTACTTATCCCTCTTAAGCATACGTAAAACATTTTAAAGATCAGTCTCAATGAATGTAATTCAAACTTCAGAGAGTTGTGTAATACACACTGTATTCTTTGACTACAGTGTAAAATATAAATACAAATGAAACTAAGCGGGCCCTGTGGGGCTTTCACGTGTACCTGTGAAGGCCCCGCAAGCCTTTTCCTCGTCCCCTTTTCTTTTTCTTTTTTTCCCTTTTCTTGTTTGTAGAAAACCGGATTCAACTTCCTAGCATATGTGTTAAATCACTTCTGTCATGTCCCACTCTCTGTGACCCTATGGACTGTAGCTCTCCAGGCTCCTCTGTCCATGGGATTCTCCAGGCAAGAATACTGGAGTGGGTTGTTGTGCCCTCCTCCAGGGAATCTTCCCAACCCAGTGATCGAACCTGCATCTCTTATGCCTCCTGCACTGGCAGGCGGGTTCTTTACCACTAGTGCCACCTGGGAAGCCCTCAGCTTCCTAGACCGTCCCTGAATTCCAAGGGCTTCCTGGTGGCTCAGATGGTAAAGCATCTGTCTGCATTGCTGAAGACCTGGGTTCGATCCCTGGGTGGGGAAGACCCCCTGGAGAAGGAAATGGCAACCCACTCCAGTACTCTTGCCTGGAAAATCCCATGGATAGAGGAGCCTGGTGGGCTATAGTCCACAAAGGGCAGATTCAAATAGTTACTAATCAGGGAAGAGAGAGAATGCAGAAACAAAGGAGGAACTGTCAAAAAACAATAGTGCAGTCATAAAGCAGAGCCCTGGTTTCTTCTCAAGGGAAATACACAGCAATTTATTTTTAGTTTTTCTATGGCAAATAAGCCCCCCAACCAGGTAAAGAATGGTAACTTCTGAGCACAACATTCCTGCAATACCATACTGTTACCTCACCACCAACCAATCAGAAGAAAGTCACGTGCCCTGCAGGCCTAGCCCCCAATTTTGCTTGTAAAAACTCCTCTCCAAAACCTATCACAAAAGTTTGGGTTTTTTGAACACTAACCACCAATTCTCCTTGCTCAGTTCAGCAACATACCTTTCTCTGTTCCAAACTCCAATGTTCTGGTTTGTTTGGCCTTCACTGTGTGTTGGACACATGAGCTTGCGTGCATTCAACAAAACAAACATATATGTGGAAGTTAAAAAAGCAAGTCTTCCAAATTAATCTGAGTCAAAGAATAAAACAGTATGGAAATAAAATATTTTAAACCAAACCATAATGAAAATATTACATCCCCAATTTGTGAGGTACTAAAATATGAAGATAGATCTTATGCTGAGTTTATCATCTTGAACTAAAATTGATAGATTTTTAATTTTTTAATTAAAAGTTTTTGCTATATATTTTATTGAAATACACTTGACATACAATACTATGTTTTGCATAACCATAATACATTTTGATATATTTTTATATCAGGCTTGTACTAAGTATTTAAGATGAATTGTAACTTTTTTTAAAGGCAATTTATATCTGATTTTTTTCTTTCTTGAAAGATCATTGAGTTTGAGAGAAATTATGGATATGTCTCTATGGGCATGATTCCTCTTAGAATTTCTAATTTATTTATTGTATTTTTTTTGGTTGTGCTGGGTCTTTGTTGCTGCGCACGGGTTTTCTCTAGTTGTGGCAAGTGGGGGCTAGTCTTCACTGTGGTGCCTGGGCTTCTCATTGCAGTGGCTTCTCTTGTTGTGGAGCACGGGCTCTAGACACACAGGCTTCAGTAGTTGCAGTATGTGGGCTTAGTCCCCCTGCAATATGTGGGGTCTTAGTTCACCGACCAGCGATTGAACTTGTTTCCTCTTCATTGCAAGATGGACTCTTAACCACTGGACCACCGGGGAAATTCGAAAACTCTCTCTTATTTAAAGTAGCTTTATTGAAATATAGTTCATATACCATACAATTCACCCATTTAAAGTGTACAGTCAATGGTTTTTAGTGAATCATGAGCTATTATCTAATTTTAGAACATTTGGTCCCCCTTAAAATAATTTATACCCATTAATAGTGAATCCTCATTTGTCTCCTTACCTCTCCCTCATTTTACTCAAGCCCTAAGCAACCACTAATTACTGTTCTGCT